AAAGTATTATTTGTCACCAAAATAAATGAGAAAAGATTTTTTTTTTTTAAATCATATTCGGGCAGCTCGCTGTTCCCCCCCCCCCACATTACTGGCGAAGTGCATAAGCTTTGATGCTTCATTAAATTATTAGAGAAAGAAGACGATTCTTTGTACCATTCTCGTCTCTTAATCCTTGTTTACAAAGCTTTCCCCCTTCAGCACGAGGCGTGGAAGCTTTTACGTTTTATTAAATTATTAGAGAAAGAAGATGATTCGTTGTTCCATTCTCGACTCTTAATCCTTGTTTTAATTTATTTTTCATAAAATTATTAGAGAAAAAGGTCTAGCGACGCCCCTGTGCGTACCCTATACTGAGTGGGTGGGGAAGAGTAAAGTCGGATGAGAAAGGGGGAAAGAAAAGGAAATGGCGCTAAGTGACAGTAACGACGAATAAGGGAAAACTGTAATCCGGAGATTTGGGGGTCATTCCTGAAGGCTTGGCAAACGTTATTGAATAGAGGGGGCCGGGCCGGCTGCATAAAATCTCGAGCCGCGGATTCAAAGTTAAACGTTAAAAACAGCCCCTGCGCTACAAAGGTCATCACTCTTTAGTGAGAAATTTGAAAAGGGCACAATATGTTGGATCTCTTTTAAATAGAAACTATATACTCAACAGTCAGATTTTAAATAAACGGTAGGGCGCTTCACAACTCTTATTTTACCCTTCATTTGGATTCAGCTCACAACCAACTCGCTTGTGTTTGTATTTGAACTAATGTTGGTAGTAATCATGGACAGGGGCGGCAATCCTGGATCCGATACGGGGACACAATCCCCAGGAAATTTAGTAATATAGCTAGAAAGAAATCTAGCGGAAAGAACGTACATAATTATTGAGCTTATAGGGATTTTCTAGAATACATGATTTCAGCATTCAACATTGCAAAATCTCGCTTGGTCGCTACGTACACCCCGGTCCTCGCCCGATAACACAAAACTATGATATGACGCTCCCGGGCCGTGATTTATCCATGGTTGGTGTAATAGATCTGTTTTTATGCCTCCGCCACCGAAGGTGGTGCCGGAGGCATCATGTTTTCGGGTTGTCCGTCCGTACGTCCGTCCGTCCGTACGTCCGTCCGTCCGTCCGTCCGTCCGTCCGTCCGTCCGTCCGTACGTCCGTCCCGTTTGACCGTTATCACAATATCTCAAGAACCATTTAAGATTTAAACTTAAGACTCGGGAATAGTATTTATCACCATAGGAAGACGATCTGATTAGATTTTGGAGTACGTAGGTCAAAGGTCACAGGTCACAGAGGTCAACTTATGAAATTCCTTGTATTGAGTTTGTTAGCGCGATATCTCAAGAACCATTTGAGATTTAAACTTCAAACTTAAGGATAGTATGTATCACCATAGGAAGACGATCTGATTAGATTTTGGAGCACGTATGTCAAAGGTCAAGGGTCACAGAGGTCAACTTATGAAATTCCATACATTGAGATTGTTATCATGATATCTCAAGAACCACTGGAGATTTAAACTTCAAACTTAGTGATAGTGTGTATCACTATAGGAAAACAATCTGATTAGATTTTGGAGCACGTATGTCAAAGGTCAAGGGTCACAGAGGTCAACTTATGAAATTCCATACATTGAGATTGTTATCATGATATCTCAAGAACCACTGGAGATTTAAACTTCAAACTTAGTGATAGTGTGTATCACTATAGGAAAACAATCTGATTAGATTTTGGAGCACGTATGTCAAAGGTCAAGGGTCACAGAGGTCAACTTATGAAATTCCATACATTGAGATTGTTATCATGATATCTCAAGAACCACTGGAGATTTAAACTTCAAACTTAGTGATAGTGTGTATCACTATAGGAAAACAATCTGATTAGATTTTGGAGCACGTAGGTCAAAGGTCAAGGGTCACAGAGGTCAACTTATGAAATTCCATACATTGAGATTGTTATCATGATATCTCAAGAACCACTGGAGATTTAAACTCCAAACTTGTTTAAATTGCTCTATGGCGGAGGCATCATTTTCGACTGCGCGCAGTCAAAATTCCATCTAGTTTCTTTCATTTCTACTAACCTAATTATGTGCTATCACAATCATGATTGTTTCATTTTCCCTTTAAAGCAGGCGCGTAGATAGGGGCGGTAGGGGCAGTAAGAGGACATAGGACGAAAAAGGAGCAGACAAAGCAACATTTTTGGAAATTCTGACAAGTCGAGAACGGTACAACGAATCGTCTTCTTTCTCTAATAATAAATGAAACGTCAAAGCTTCCACGCCTCGTGCTGAAGGGGGAAAGCTGAATTCAAACAAGGATTAAGAGACGAGAATGGAACAAAGAATCGTCTTCTTTCTCTAATAATTTAAAGAAAACTGAATTCAAACAAGTATTAAGAATCGAGAATGGAACAACCAATCATCTTCTTTCTCTCATAATTTAATGAAGCGTCAGAAGTTTACGCGCGGGCGGAGAAAATTTAATTTAGACAAGGATTGAGAGTCGAGAATGGAACAACGAATAATCTTCTATCTCTAATAATTTAATAAAACGTCAAAGCTTATGCGCTTCGCCAGTAATGGGAGGGGGGAACAGCGAGCTGCCCGAATATGATTTTTTTTTATCTTTTCTCATTTATTTTGGTGACAAATAACACTTTCACAAAATACAATTTATGCTCAAATCTTTGCTCGCTCGCCTCGCTAGCCGAATTGTGAAACCAGAAAATTACTTTTTCGTGCAAGGGGCTATAGCCCCCCCCCCCCCCGATGTTCCGGTATCGTGCTTCCATTATGACCTTGTCAGTATTGGTATATTGAGTTGGACAAAAACGGTCTGCGCAATTTTTAAATTTCCGCCCCCCCCCCCCCCCCCCCCCCCCCTATTGGAAAATCCTGGATCCGCGCCTGAGTGATGTGTAGACAAAACAATACAATTACCCAAAGATAGAAATTTTGGAACACGTAGAATGCAGCTTGGAACATGTACAATGCAATAATTTGAATAATGGGAGTGTGAAGTCAAAACAATACAATTACCAAAAGATAGAAAATTTGGAACACGTAGAATGCAGCTTGGAACATGTACAATGCAATAATTTGAAAGATGGGAGTGCAGTGTAGGCAAAACAATATTATCCCCTAAAGATAGAAATTTTGGAATACGTAGAATGCAGCTTGGAACATATACAATGCAATAACTTAAATAATGGGAGTGTGTAGTCAAAACAATACAATTACCAAAAGATAGAAAATTTGGAACACGTAGAATGCAGCTTGGAACATGTACAATGCAATAATTTGAAAGATGGGAGTGTGTAGGCAAAACAACACAATTACCAAAAGATAGGAAATTTGGAACACGTAGAATGCAGTTTGGAACATGTACAATGCAATAATTTGAATAATGGGAGTGTGAAGTCAAAACAATACAATTACCAAAAGATAGAAATTTTGGAACACGTAGAATGCAGCTTGGAACATGTACAATGCAATAATTTGAATAATGGGAGTGTGAAGTCAAAACAATACAATTACCAAAAGATAGAAATTTTGGAACACGTAGAATGCAGCTTGGAACATGTACAATGCAATAATTTGAAAGATGGGAGTGCAGTGTAGGCAAAACAATATTATCCCCTAATGATAGAAATTTTGGAACACGTAGAATGCAGCTTGGAACATGTACAATGTAATAATTTGAATGATGGGAGTGTGTAGGCAAAACAATACAATTACCCAAAGATAGAAATTTTGGAACACGTAGAATGCAGCTTGGAACATTATACAATGCAATAACTTAAATAATGGGAGTGTGTAGTCAAAACAATACAATTACCAAAAGATAGAAATTTTGGAACACGTAGAATGCAGCTTGGAATATGTACAATGCAATAATTTGAATGATGGGAGTGTGTAGGCAAAACAATACAATTACCCAAAGATAGAAATTTTGAAACACGTAGAATGCAGCTTGGAACATGTACAATATGCAATAATTTGAATGATGGGAGTGTGTAGGCAAAACAATACAATTACCCAAAGATAGAAATTTTGGAACACGTAGAATGCAGCTTGGAACATGTACAATGCAATAATTTGAATAATGGGAGTGTGAAGTCAAAACAATACAATTACCCAAAGATAGAAATTTTGAAACACGTAGAATGCAGCTTGGAACATGTACAATGCAATAATTTGAATGATGGGAGTGTGTAGGCAAAACAATACAATTACCCAAAGATAGAAATTTTGGAACACGTAGAATGCAGCTTGGAACATGTACAATGCAATAATTTGAATAATGGGAGTGTGAAGTCAAAACAATACAATTACCAAAAGATAGAAATTTTGGAACACGTAGAATGCAGCTTGGAACATGTACAATGCAATAATTTGAAAGATGGGAGTGCAGTGTAGGCAAAACAATATTATCCCCTAAAGATAGAAATTTTGGAACACGTAGAATGCAGCTTGGAACATGTACAATGTAATAATTTGAATGATGGGAGTGTGTAGGCAAAACAATACAATTACCCAAAGATAGAAATTTTGGAACACGTAGAATGCAGCTTGGAACATGTACAATGCAATAACTTGATTGATGCAAACAATGCACCCATGACAAAGATATAAATTTGGGACACGCAAAATGCAGTTTGGAACAGGTTAGATGCAACAACTTATATTGATGCAAGTATGAAGTCACAACAGTACAATACAAATATAGAAATGCACTAACTTAATTGATGCAAGTATAGATGCAATTAATGTATTCAAAACAATACAAGTGTAGTGAAATACATATATTCTCTTGCTTGAATCAGTAGTGCAGATGTGCTGTCATAGCCTATGCACAGCGTGTACGGACAGTACACACGTCATGTCGGCACAAGCATAATGCATATTCATTAGGGGGCGTCAACATTTCCTTTACGTAGTGACGTGCGCAAACCTCTACAGGTTCCAAAAGATTGCCCACCCATCATAAACCGTGCACATAACGAAAACAAAGGTGATCAAGCCAAGATCTAGTTCGGTAGTTCGGTGCTCGCAATATCAATACTGAGAATAGTAACAATATCATCGATAATTCTGGCACTGGTAATACCCCTGATCAACATGGCGACGGGAGAACAGCTTCATAGAATGACAGAAAATGTCTACAGGGTAAGAATTACTTAATTTCTTCGTAATATCTGTGATTTGCTTGGGTTTTGAGCCGTAGACTCGATCGAGAGCGGGGGTACCTACATCATGAATCCCTTCCCCGCCTGACCTCGACTGGGCAGGGTAGGTGTGGCAGGTGTCTGCTTGTCTCTATTGCGATGCGTGCACTTGAAGCAAAAGGAGACTCCGCAGCACCAAATCCAAACCCGATTCAGCTGTTGTTCTATTTCATGTGTTTTGTTTATGTATCAATGCATGTGTTACATAAATATTAATACATTTATTTATTTATTATCATTATTAACTGATGCATTTATTTCCTAGAAGCAGTGCAATGACAATACATGCGTAACAATATTTCAGAAATCAGAATTGTAATGAAATATTAAGATATTTCAGAACTGCAATGAAGTATTACTTGACCAACTGTCACCAACAACACTCAACAGTGAATAGTCATTTTTTTTAAAGACCCCTATTGGAGAATTCTAGATTAATGATTTTAAGTGTTGTCCATGTTAAACAGAAATTTAATCTTTCATTGGTGTTACTTGGAATAGAAAGAGACTCGTCTACTAAACACGGTGTCTTGTGATGATTGAGAATGAGAAGGGGTCACTAAGAGTATTATGACTAAACTCTTTTCTGGCTCTCAGCAGATGGTCACAAGAAAATAATCCTTGCGAGAGAATAAAAGAGGAAGAGAGAAAGGAGGAGAAAGAGAGAGAAAGAGACAGACACAAAAATATATATGTGAATATATACATGTAAAAGAGAGAGAGAGAAGGAGAGAGAGAGAGAGGGGGAGAGGGAGAGGGAGGGGGAGAGAGAGGGAGAGAAAGAGAGAGGGAGGGAGATACGGAAACTAAATACAAAAGTTAATTCTCTTGAATAAAATATGGAGTCGATTGAATGTTATGAATTTTTTTCACATAGATTGTGATTTAGTTTGTTCGTTTTCTAATCATGGAAAGGCTGTATAACAATACCAATCTGTTTATTTCTATTTCCAGCATACAATAGATGGGTTCAATCCTGAATTACGGAATCTAGTTACTCTCGGCCGAGCTTATGAGAAAGCCTTACAAAGTAAGTGTACTTCTAAAACTTGTGCATCCTTACAATTAAGAATATAATGGTCTTGATATCAGCTTATATATAATGTTTTCTAGACATACCATATACCTGTACGTGCTAGGATTTTTTGAGAGGTTTACCCTTAAGTAACAAATCTTTGTATTACTGTGTTACACATCTTATAAAAAACATGTAAAGGTTGATGGGCACAGAGAGGCAATCTGATCATAGTCCAATCTGGAGTTCACCACTTAAAACAGTCAGGGTAAACATTACTTTTTCAGTAATGTTTTGTATTTCTTGAGCATTCAAGGTGTGAGAGTTTGGTCATTCAACTTTTACTCATCTTGTTATGATTACAGTAAGGGTGCGTTTAATCGACACTTTTTCACCCTAGAATCACGGTTTCTAAAGACGTTTAGTTTAAAACGCAATGCGTTCAAGCGATTTTTTCGTCGGTCGTAAAAATAAACGTGTTTGAAAACACAAACATGAAACGCTGAAAAAGATGCGTTTTGTATCATGATTCAAAAGAATCACGGTCGCTAAAATTCGATTGAACGGACGGAGTTCTCAATCATGATTGTATGACGAAGCCTCTTCCGGTTTGGGAAAAACCGCGCGCCCGCTTTGCATGCAATTTGCGTTCACTATACCATCGTGGCCTGTTCCATTATGTTATTCATTGTTTTTCCTTCTATCATTTTCTCTTTCTGTCTTTCCTTATGTTATTCTTTGTTTCTTCCTTCTATTCTTATGTTATTCTTTGTTTTTTTTCCTTCTATCACCTTTTCTTATGTTATTCTTTGTTTTTATCATTCTATCATTTGCTCTTTCTGTCTTTCCTTATGTTATTCTTTGTTTCTTCCTTCTATACTTATGTTATTCTTTGTTTTTTCCTTCTATCACCTTTTCTTATGTAATTCTTTGTTTTTATCATTCTATCATTTGCTCTTTCTGTCTTTCCTTATGTTATTCTTTGTTTCTTCCTTCTATACTTATGTTATTCTTTGTTTTTTCCTTCTATCACCTTTTCTTATGTAATTCTTTGTTTTTTATCATTCTATCATTTTCTCTTTCTGTCTTTCCTTATGTTATTCTTTGTTTCTTCCTTCTATTCTTATGTTATTCTTTGTTTTTTTTTCCTTCTATCACCTTTTCTTATGTTATTCTTTGTTTTTATCATTCTATCATTTGTTCTTTCTGTCTTTCCTTATGTTATTCTTTGTTTCTTCCTTCTATACTTATGTTATTCTTTGTTTTTTCCTTCTATCACCTTTTCTTATGTAATTCTTTGTTTTAAGCATTCTATCAATTTCTCTTTCTGTCTTTCCTTATGTTATTCTTTGTTTCTTCCTTTTATCATCTTCTCTTATGTTATTCTTTGTTTTTATAATTCTATCACTTTCTCTTATGTTATTTTTTGTTTTAATCATTCTGTTACTTTCTCTTTCTATCTTTCCTTATGTTATTCTTTGATTCTTCCTTCTTTCACCTTCTCTTATGTTATTCTTTGTTTTAATCATTCTATCACTTTCTCTTTCTGTTCTTCCTTATGTCATTCTTTGTTCCTTCCTTTTTCACATTCTCTTTCTGTCTTTCCTTATGTTATTCTTTGTTTCTTCCTTCTATTTTTATGTTATTCTTTGTTTTTTCCTTCTATTACCTTCTCTTTTGTTATTCTTTGTTTCTTCCTTCTATTCTTATGTTATGCTTTGTTTTTTCCTTCTATCACCTTTTATGTAATTCTTTGTTTTAAGCATATTCTATCACTCTCTCTTTCTGTCTTTCTGTCTTTCCTTATGTTATTCTTCGATTCTTCCTTCTTTCACCTTCTCTTATGTTATTCTTTGTTTTAATTATTCTATCGACTTTATCTTTCTGTCTTTCCTTATGTTATTCTTTGTTTCTTCCTTCTATCACCTTCTCATTCTTTGTCTTATTATTGCGATCTATGCTCAAAACAGCAGTCGACAGTCGGCCGTAAACAATTCCAGAAAGCGCGCGCCGAAGTTCCTGGGCCATACTGCGCAGTGTGATGCGCAGTGGTTTGGCTCGCAATGAGCTAGAATCAGCGTTGATGAAAAATCGCTTGAACGCAAACCGCAGTGACCTTGCTTTTTGTAACGGCGTTTTGAATTGTGATTCATGTTTGTGATTCTAGCTTCGAAAATTCGATTGAACGCACCCTAAAAGTGAACAATGAAAACACTCTGGCAGTATATGAAGCCTTGTATTACCATCAAATCTACACAAGGTCAAGGTGTGGATCAGATATCAATGTGGTATTATGATCAGGGTTGCCTGTCAGGGTCACCTACAAGTCTCTCTAGGCCTGTCTTCACTACATGTGTCTCGAGATTGCCAAATATCCATCTATTTGAACTATCCCGATCGGAAACTATCCAGCTAATTTGCGTCTTCATCAGACAGAAGTAGCAATTAGAAGGATATTTGGTCGGGATTGTCATCCCAAGTTTGCAAAATATCCCACTATTTTGGCAAAATATCCAGCTATTTGTCCTGTGCGTCTTCACTAGACTGAAGATGCGCAATACGCACTAACGCTGAGCAAAATATCTCGAGCTAATTTCTCAAGGTCGAGTTTCATGTTTGGAGGTCGAATCTCGAGATAGTGAAGACGCAATTTGTTACTTCGGGATTATTTCCCAAATAACAGGCTATTTGGCAATCTCGAGATATTTGGCAATCTCGAGATGATGAAGACGCGCCTTCTCTCTCTCTCTCTCTCTCTCTCTTTCTTTAAAGTTCCATATTGATTGACTTTGGCGATCATGCTGTTCCACAACCCTCTGCTCCTAGCCCTTCTCTATAGTATTAGCACCACTCCCAGTTCTTTCACTCCTCTCTCTTTTAACAATTTCTGCATATTGTCCATCCAAAGTATCCTTCTTATTCCCCTACTCCTCCCACATTACATGTTAACTGTCCACTATATGCTATGAGCCATTGAGGAAGTATCAACCTTTGGCACGGTGATGCCCAGGCTCTAAATGCGCCCAAAAAGTTCACAAAAATAATTGTCGTTACTAAGATTTGTGAAACATGTCTGGTACATTCCATTGGTAGGATGGATAGTACAGGTCCAAAATACTAAAGAAATGTAGCTGTTTGTTTCACTTCCAATAATGCCTCCATCTACCAAAGGTGGTGCTGGAGGCATGTTTTGGGGTCGTCCATCCCACTTTCTTGTTACCTCAATATCTCAAAAACCACTTGAGGTATGAACTTCAAACTCAGGCCTTGTGGATAATATACAAGTATCACTATAGGAAATGATCTGATCAAATTTGAGGGTAAACAGGTCAAAGGTCATAGAGCTCAATTCTGAAATTACAGTTTTTAGTTGAGCTTTATCGCAATATCTCAAGGTACATGTACAGGTGTACCTAAGATTTGTTATAAAGTTGAGCGATGCAAAAAAGAATTATCAGCTTTCAAAGGCAAAGACGTCAAATTTACTCTAGTTTCCCCTACATACTGTATGTTCTTGTACATGTATGAACATGTATGTTGTTCTTTCTACTGCATGTCTGTGTGTTATGATGCATTTGTCCATCCTGTAACTACGAGTTCCAAATTACTTTGAAGATCCTGCCCACCACCAACCCACAGTGAATCTCTGTTAAAAACCACAGTGCTGTAATCGTAGTGAAAAGATTGGACAACAGGAAACTTGGAAGGAAGTGGAAATTGGAAAAGCAGCTATGTTTTCCTTCTTCCCTGTATCCTCTTTATTTCCTGTGCACTGTGTGTATATAAGTACTACACAGTAGTGTAGACTCTTGGAAAGAGGTGTACATTGAAAGATATGTTCACATGGCACTGTTGTACATAGTTTTAAAGTTAAAGTATAAACAAAGATCCACTAACAATGACAACGTTTCACACATGACCGCAACAACAGGTTATTTGAAGTTAACTACTACAAGTTCAACCCAGGAAAAGCATCCATTTTAACCACAACCTGGAGTAAACTCAAAGTTAATTGGGTTTCCATGACACGGTCATTGTGTAACTTTGAGTGAAGACTCCCCACTTTCTGCTGAACATACATGTAGTTTATATTACGATAACCTTTATATCTGTCATGGTTTGTAACTATGAGGTAAATAACGTAAATTAAAATTGAATAACCATTTGTGCGTATTCACAGTCACAGTATTCAAGATAACTTTGAAGTGTAAAACCATGAAATAAATTTAAAGTTAATGGGCTGCCGTGTGAACCTCACCTAAATAAAATCGACAGATGAGAAAAAAACAAATACAAACCAAGTGCCTGGATTGATAAAAAAAAGGTACTGAAGAATATGATTTATTGAGTAAACATACTGAAGTATCAGTACTTGAAACTATTTATAGCTAAATTAAGTCTATTTTTTATGTAATACAATGACTCAAAATGTATCAAAATAAACTGTACCAGGCAGATACCACACCAAGCTACTTTTAATCTCAGCAATTGTGTATTAAAGTGCTCGCTAGCATCAAGTTGGGAGTTTTTCACGCACTTGATACGGGTATTTAAAATAACATGATTGTAGTAATCCATATTCATTGTAGAAGAAGGAAAACAAAAAGTTTTTATAAGGCCTGGCTTCATCAGGTCGAGTTTGCCAAATAACTCAGTAATTTCAGAATCAGGATATTATCCAGGAAGCTCGAAAGTGCGTCCTCACTAGACCGATACGCTCATCACAAACTGCATACTGTATGTACATTACATTGTAGCTCGACGGGTCAAATAAGCCTGCTATTTCCCAAATAGTGGGATATTTTGGAAACGAAACCAACATTTCTTGGGATGTATTCCTGACCAAATATCCCGCTAATTGCAACTGCTGACTTATGAAAACACAAATTAACTGGTTAATTTACGATCGGGAATAGTTAAAATATCAGGTTATTTGGCAAAATTGGGCTGATGAAAACGGGCCTACAGTCAAACCTGTCTCTATAGAGGACACCCAAGAAAGAAAAGTGGTAACTGTAGGCAGGTGGCCTCTCTAGACAGGTTTCTTGAGGGAGACAAAATACATGGCCGCTATACACAGGTGTCCATTATAGAGAGGTGGCCACCATATTAGTACCTCCACAGTATGATGCTGCTAAGTTTACATGAATCATGAATACAATTTTGTGAGACAAGTTTTCAGTCATCCTACAGTATATGTATATAAATAAATATTTATTATACAATAAAGGAAACAATAATTTCTTTGTACATTACTCCCCCCTCCCCTAAAAAGAAGAATCAACCAAAAAGAATACCGGAAAGTGAAAAAAAAAAAAAAAAATAGCAATTAACTGTTAGTCAGTACTTACAGTGTACATGTATAGTGTAAGTGATTGCTTCAGAAGTTCAGATGATAGTGGTACTTCAGTTTTCTTTACCACAAAAATACTTGTAAGAGGTCATCAAACACTACTGGTGATAAATACTCCCTCTAAATACTCCAGTTAACTGATATTTTAAATCAAATTTTTGTCAAACGTTCTGCTGTACTCACTAAGTCAATCGACCAAGCAAATTATTAATAAATTCCAACAGAAAAAAAATATAATACCTGTACATAACAAGATAAAACTATTTTTGTTATTGATATGGTTTTGTCAAATTTCATTGATTTCCCATATATTTCATCCTTTCAGGTGTATCACAGGCAGCTAAGGATTATTTCAATGCCATAGTAGCTGTTGGTGAACTAGCAAGTGAGACTAAAGATTCAAGACAACTAGGTGAGTACATGTACATTTATTAAGTAAGCCACAAATGTTTTTATATAGTACCTGTTGCAACCCGACTTGACTGGTAATTACTTGGATCGGGTACTGAACCCTAGGATAAAAATAAGAAAAGAATTGTTGGCATATCCCTAACCCTGAAAATTTCCCATACACTATTTAAATAAATCGCTATCCTGATTCCCAATCATGTGTGCAAAGTCTGTGAGTAAAACCATCCCATCTTCAAGGAGAAATTAAGAATCCACCTACCTACATGTATCCCTATTTTGCTATGGCCCTTTAATCCAATACAACTTTCATCGTACCTTTAAAGGTAAAGACCAGTTTTGGAAATGCCCCCCTCTCAAAACATGAAACGGAAGCTCTATTACCAATCATGTGAAAGAATATGTTTTGACCAATACGTGATGATACAAATTTTGCCTAGAAACCACCTACTTATTGATATATTTGGTAAATTATTATATCTATTTGGACCTGATAGATATAACGCATGTGTCGGGCATGTGTCGGGCACGTGTCGCGTAGTCCCATATACATCTTTCTGTGTACAGTGCTTGTAACTTTACTAAGACTGGGCTAGATTTCTTAACATTTTGATGATTCCAGAACCTTGCAGTACACACCAATGCTCATATGCTAGATGATCAACCCTTTTTTGATCGATTCCACAACGTTTCTTTCACAATGCAATCGCATGACCATAACTGGTCTTTATCTTTAAGTGTAGCCTTCACTTTTGCGCGTGTAAATTATCATTCAACACTCGGTACTCTCCACATTATAATCTAATCGGTAAGGTGGGATTAGATCATTAGATTAGGTTGGATGATTACAAGCATTTATAATTATACACACGCTTGAAGGGGCATCAATTTCTGCTAATTAGTCTGCAATAAAAACTCAGATTATGGCCACTTACAGTTAATTTTATATGGTATTGAATCGTGCCTCTTGGGCATAATAAAACACATTTTTTTGGAAGTATCCTCGTCATGATAAGTACATGTGCGTGTTACCTCAATGGAATTGCCCTTATATTTTGTACAATAAATGTTTGATGAGGTTTTAAAACTCATTGTATTCAAAGTACATGTACCATCATAAATGTGAACTACAAACATGTGTCCTTGGACAATTAACATGTATACGTAGACAGACTGACTTGAGTTTGTTATCTGATGAGGCTCGTACAAGTGCAATATGAATATCATACCATGCATGCACTGGGCGTGAACTCATTCCACATTTCTTTCTTCAGAAATGATTGTTTAAACATACGTCGGAATTGCTCTCTGCGTTTCTATATACATTTACATGGTTGTGGCTTTATGTGTACTAGAGATTGTATGTAAGCGTGTAACCTGGAGCTCATTAAAAAAGCAGATAAATTGGTGCATTCTTCTTTCTGTTATTGGGTTCATTGTAGTTTCATTTCTAATCTGCATCAAGGGAACTGCATGTAATTAGGCTAATTAGATATTAGATATAGATATGCTATCAGAAAGAGAGTGTTCAAATTATTTTGTCAGGCATATAGCATGGATTTGAGTTTCACACTCTTTACAATATACTGTATACGGTATATACACAGCTTCTAAACTTCTATCTTCCATTGAAATTATGAAACTTTTGGATCATAATTCACAAGTGATCCTGCATACATGTAGTAAAAATGTTGATAATAGCTACAGGTATGTACATAAATTTCAGCAACATATTGATCCGTCTTGTTTCGGCAGTAAATCCTGCTTTAAAAGAGAATCCAACCTTGATTGCAAACTACATGTATTCAAAGAAAGCAGAAAAGTCAGAGAAATAGACGGGTGAAAGGTTGAACAAAAATCTGACAACCGATGAGAAATAAGTTACTAACCAAATTACCAAATTGAGATTTGCCTCTAATATTTAAATTATTCATAACTCTGATTATTAACTAGATTTATTTCAAACTTTTGCCATTCTGTTTCTTTTATGTTTGTGCTTTCATACACTAGACCCTAAATATATTAGATTGTCCTTTCACTTAGAATAAGATGAATAGCATAGAGGAGATAGTCAATGTGTACATTGCAAAGATGGTTTCAATTTGATTTGATGAATCAAATTTTCAAAAGTTGATGAATACACACATGTCTGATGATTGTACTTGGGCATGACACTATTACAGGCCCCCTGGACTCATGGGTGCCCAAAAGCTAGGTCCGGTTCACCCAAATTCCAAAATGTTTACATACTGTATATTAGAGCTCATACATAAAGACTCTAGAAAGTTGTAAAAATCAGGACGACCCACTTCTAAAAATCTTGGTGTGGAGCTCTAATCATACATACACAATTGGCACTCACAGGTGAGAACTGTAAGTACTACAGTAAACATTTCTAATGACACGTACATGTAGAGTACCTGTGGCAGTTCTTTGGTTATGCTTTTGTTAACTGCCATACCTGTGTTTTCATTACCTGACAGAAAGTGAAAGTCACAGGTCAAGTCAACACAATGAAGTTGGAAAGTTAACTCCTCATTGTATTCTTACCCATGGGCAACAACTTGTGGGGAAAGCGGTGATTAGGGTGGGGGGGGGGGGGGGAGGGAATAGGATGCCCCTCCCTTAGGTTTTGACAGGTAATCAATTGTAATGCAATATGTTGTTCACTTCAGAGGGAACAGAAAGTGTTCTTTACCTTTGAGCAACAAGTGTACAGTAAATGTAGCTATAGGGGGAATGAGCCATTATTGCCCCCTCCGCGTTCAACACGTACTGTTGTGCCCCCCCCCCCCGACATGGTTGGACACATGTTATGCCACCATGTATCAGATAGTACAGTCATTTCTGTCTTTGACAGGAGGGAGAAGGCTCGTCTCTTGTCAGTTGTCACTTTTATTAGATGTGTCGATTGGTTTGAACTAACAATGTAGGAGTCTGCCGACAGTTTTAAAGGGATAGGTTAGGATGTTTGACTTTAGTATTTAATATCTTTATGGAGATTTGGATAAATAATTACCAATTGAATACGTCATATATTGTAAATAAAAAGTACAAATTATTTCAAGCTTCTGGATACTTATTCTGAAAAGCTGAACAAATTAGGAGTGTCCTTATTCAATAGGGCAGTATTTTAGGGCTTTTTAAAGACGTACACTGTAAAACAAAACTTTTTTTTAATAGGAATTTAATTTTCATCATTGATGCGGATTTAAATGCTATTCAATGAAGACTTTATATGATAATGTCCAATATCTAGATATATATGCTGTTTTCTACTAAAAAAAACCCCAATCTGTTATAGAGAGTAATCACGTATTTAAAAAATGATCTTTCTGATTATGTTATTATAATAATGAAATCAATGTATTGAAAGTAGTTCATCAAAGCTTCATTGTGCATACATGTACTGTACATGTAAATACACATGGACTCATGAGTATCTTGTATCATACATATGTACATGTATCCTTTTTTATTAATAAGTGGGACGTGCAGCTCGATCAGCTAAAGACTGAGTGTATGCATGCTGCCTTGTGCTTGGCAGTCTGTATAAGTAACAAAGGAAGAAACATGAACGATTCACAACGAGCTGTTCAGAAAACAGGAAACTACCTTTTCCTCAGGCTCCCGTAACGAGGGGAACCCGGCTAGTTCTCTTCTTCAAATATGTGCTGAGAGAGAACAAGGGGGTCCTAGCTGACTCATTAAACAATCCAGACACAGGATATTTCAAAGGGGTTCTTGAGTGTGACAGACTCAGAGTGTACATGTACATTTACAGAACCGGTACATTGTAGAAATTAATGTGCACTCTACATGTATGAAACCTGGTATTATTGTTAAGTTATTTGGCAAAGACAAATATCAAGAAAGCAGTAGTTTAAGTTTCAAGTAAGTCACATGGATGGCTGAAAAAAGAGAAACATTAACTATTATGACTATTTAACCCAAAGAACTTCTTTTTCCATTTCATTTGACATTACATACATTGTAAATTTAATGTCTTGAATCTACTCACATAATAGAACAATACAACAAATTATGATATGGGGAAAACAATGATGTTGTATTTTGTATATGTCTCCAGATATGAACAAGGGAGAAGGAAAAAAGGGCCTTTGCATCATAATGCTATGAAGTGGAAGGATAGATTGATAAAGGATAAAAGGGAGAAAAGAAGAAAAAGAGAAGCAAAAGAAAAGAAAAGAAAGAGAAAGTTTTGATGTGATACTATAGTAGCTTTTGAAATTGTTTACATTTCTTTTCTTTCTTTCAATCCAATTCCTATGCAGGTCAGTCACTACTTCAAATTGCTGAGACTTACAGGCAGATAGAAACCGAGAGAGAAATCACGGTAAGTACAAAGTATATGGGCAGGGTCGATGTTTACATCTTCTTATCAACCGTAGAAGAATCATGTTGCAGAGAACCTTTGTGTATACATGTACTTTAATATGTAGATCTCAAAGTTGTACTTTATCACTGTTGAATCATAAAAGGTGTCAGATTACAATACAATGTACATGTTACTGCTTTGCTTTTATCTTATTAAGATTAAGTTGCGAATGATATGGTTTTCTGTGTCTTATTGTTTTGTCCTGGACTGACTTCCTAACCTGTTGACAACCGGATTCTCACGTTGCCATAGGCTTCATACAGGTTCAACCCAGTTCCAGAAGGAAATGGGTTAAAGAATGTACAGCATGCAAGTGGCTACATTCATTTAAACGCATGGTGGCTTGATTTGGCTTCCTGCATGTATTTTCTCCATAAGGTTTTCTGAGCTAACCATGTGGACTTTTGTGTTGAAATATTCATGTTAAAGTAAGCAATATATTTGAAGTGTAAACAGTTTACATGTATGTACATGTTTGTGTAGGTTTCTGGTAATAGAGGTATATTGTTGATCACTTTGAAAGTTATAGAAGAAAATTTTACACCATAAAACAAAAATTAAAAAAAAGCTAAACATGAATCATTATACAGAGTTTGATGTCCAAGTTTTAAGTAATGTATTTGTTATAACATTAATGTGAATTTGATCCTACAAGAAGGAAAAAGTGAGCAAGAAAATGACAAGAAAATGAAATCAAAGAAGTATTCGAGGAATGAAAACATAGTAGGTTACATCTATATTTTCAATTTCAATGAATTATTTTTCTTCTGTTCATTATTCAGGTGCATGCATTGAGGAAAGAGCTTTTGCATCCATTAGAAGGTAAACTAGAGCAGGAATGGAAGACTGTGCTTCAGGTTCAGAAATCATACCTATCAGAAAACAAAGCAAAATCAGAGGTGAGTAAGATTCAATTAGCTGAGAAATAGATTTGATTTTGTAAAGGAGCAAAACAAAACAAATTATTTGTATGCCCATGTTAAAGTACTCTATTCATAAACTTCAAACTTCACTCGTTTTTGTAAGTGTTTTTCACATGAATTTTGACATATTGCAATTTATATTTAATTTTTTTCCTTTTTAAAATTACTATTAGAGTTTGCTTAGCTCGCTTTTACTTTGTATATATTCAAGCATTTCTTTTCCATATTATGTGTTCATGTACGTGGACTGGACTAATACTTTTTTTGTTTTGGTTTTTGTTTTGTTATTCTTTTATTTACATATCCATAAATTGAGCTGTCAAATAACATACTAGTACAAGATTCCTCATGTGATACCTAATGTACTTTGGATTAATGACCCCTTTGTTTGTTCTGTAGGCTGTGGAGAAATGTCGCTCAGAGGTGAAGAAAGTAATTAGCTCTTAAATGCATAGTTACACACTTGCTAGATTTGTTATCTTTCCTGTAATGAATGTACTTTGAATTCGAGACCCCTTTGTTTGTTTTGTAGGCTGTCGAAAAATGTCGCTCAGAGGTGAAGAAATTTAATTGTCAAACGCATACATACTTGTAGTCCTGTCTTCATCAGCTCGAGATTGCCAAATAGCCTATTATTTCTAATTTGGGAAATAAGCCAAAAGTTACAAATCGCGTCTTCGTCAGCTCGAGACTCAAGACTCGAAACTTGGGTCAAGATATTTTGATCAGCGTTCGCGCATAGTGCTAGTCTTCTTGCTGGTGAAGACGCAACGGACAAATAGCGGGACATTTTGTGAACAAGCTCAAGATATCTTGGGATGATTATCCCGACCAATTATCCTGCTAACTGCAACTGCGGGCTGATGAAGATGCAAATTAGCTGGATAGTTTGCGATCAGGATAGTTAAAATAGCAGGTTATTTAGCAATCTCGAGCTGATGGAAACGGCTTACTTATACTACATGTAGGTTCCTCATTTGATATCTTTTGTGTAATAATGTACTTTGAATTTGTTACCCATTTGTTTGTTTGTTTTGTAGGCTGTGGATAAGTGTCGCTCCGAGGTGAAGAAACTTCAGAAGAAAACCCAGAAGAATCACAGTGAAAAGTACATAGAGAAAGAACAGAGGACGGCAGAAGAGCTTCAACTTCTCACCAAACAACTACATAACTTCAGATCTAATGGGCTGAGAGAGGTAAGAAATGTTATGTGGTGATATCTAATAATAATAATAATAATACAAATACATGTAGGCATTTATACAGCGCCGTCTATCTAGACAATTCTATTCCGAGGCGCACAAATTGTAAATACCCCGGCTTTAGCCTAGCTGCAATCTTAGCGCTCTAGCATTTCAATGAATTAATTCCTGCCAGGTACCCATTTACCTCACCTGGGTCGAGTGTGGCAAATGTAGATTAATGCCTTGCCAGAGGACATTAGTGCCATGGCAGGGATCCAACAACAACCTTTGAATTTCACGTCAAGTGCTTAAACCACTCAATTTTGTATGAAAAAAAACATAAAATTTATAGCTAGGACAGTGTGTGTGGATGTAGAAGAATGCTATAGGAGGAATATACTTCAGTAAAATATCTGAGAGAACTTGGCATGGTGGTATTAAACACTTAAGTTTTCTTTCCCAAGATCCTCTAAGGACAAGCTTTATATTGAGGGCTAAATTCATCACATATTGCTCTTCTAATAATTGGCAACAATAATATTTTTCTTTTATTTTATACATTGTCAAAATAAAAAGTGTGTCTCTGAAAACAAGAATGTTGTTGAAAGAATGAAAAAAAATGACCAATTTAGATTAAAAAAAACATTGATTTGGAATCTTTCAATGTGTTGCCAATTTGAGGAATTTAAAGCTTATTTTCCTTTTTATAAATTTCTGGCATCAAATACAATATAGTCATGAACAAATATGGAGGCAGTGTGTTCAGAACTCTTTGCCCTTTCTTCCCTGAATAAATGATTGTTGGGCCAAACCACAGAGTATGAAATGATTATCAAGGAAGGGGTTCAGTATTGAGGAAAAAATGTCTAGACTCCTCTGTAATGTAAAAAAAAAAATAGAACATTAATGTTGTTGTTCATCTTGCATACCAGTACATGATATGTACAACTGGACAATGTTTCATTTTAAGTATACAGTTCATGTTACTACTTTAAATATTACATCTTTGAAATGTTATGTATTATTCACTTCAGCCAAACTTTTTATCCTCTTCTCCTCGTAATTCATGATAATTGTAATAAAGAAATTGAAGTTTTATTGCATTTTATTCACAGTGAATGAAACAAGATCTCCATCTCCATATGTTTCCAAAGTGCTTTAGAAATTCAGAATCGCTTTCAGTCGAAGCAATTTTGTTCATTCTATTAATACATCACATCATATAGTTTGATTTTATTAGGTTGCTCATATTTAAGCCTTTCTTTTTCTGCTGGTTGCTTATTTCTGCTGAGTTATGGCTGAAGTCCCTGCGGCATTAAGCAAATATCTTTGGACGGGGGCAGGAGGGGGATGTTATATTAAGGCTATCCTGCCTTGGAGGTTCATGAACTCTTTAATTGGCAGTTAATCTAGCTTCTGCAGTGGCATGAGGCAGGATTATGGGGATTACTCTCAATTAACAGGTAGCCATGATATGTAACAAAGTCCACGCAATCAACTTGTAAGTCTTGTACTGTACATGTGCATATTTTACATGGACATGCACATACCTAGACTAAAATATTGTCAACAAAATATAAGGGTACTTATGTATCTAACCAACTTTTGGGGAAATCATATATATGCTCAAATTGGATGGTTATTGCTCAGTTTGTAGATAGTCATGTTTGGGCAAAACATTACCAAAGTTGGTTGTAATATTGCCCAAAATTGGTCTGGCACAAAGTTGCCCTTAAGGACCGTCACTACTACTGGGCCAGAAGGGATTAGACCACATAGAGAGCCATCGAGGTCACTGTGACAGGTGGCTATCTCATTAACTCAGCTCTCATTTAACATAAGAAAAAGAGGATCATGGGGGACCAACAGGCACCGATTGGGGAAGTTTTCTATATAGAGGGAGCAAGTAGCTACAAGTATGGCAGTGTGCCTTTAATTGGTCGCATCCTACTAGGTAACCATTTAACCCCTAGGTGGAGAGGAGCAATGTAGACAAAATGCCTTGCTGAAGGACATAGATATGTTATTGCCGTGCTGGGATTTGAACCCACAACCTTCGCATTTCCAGTCAAGGGATTAAACCACTCGACTGCTAGACCTCCACGGAGTAAACAAAGATCCCACCACCATATCGTACTTCGGGATGTGTATCACTTTTTAAAGAAATAATAACAATTAAGTATTTGAATCCTGCACGTTTCGACAAATGAACTTTTGATTCAGAGTCTTTTTGTTAATAAATCACTTTTAATCAGCTAGAATACCTGGGACCCGATTCATAAAACTGGTTACCATTGATAACAAAGTTACATAAACTACTGGATATTTAATTGGCAGTGAGCAAATTTGATATAGAAAACAAGACATTATTTATTTTAAATGAGATTATAAGCCCTGGATGGGCAGGCAATGAGAGTATATCCTGGCTCATTTATTATTACCATAAACTGTTCTAAAGATAACAAAGAAAATAAGTTTCTGTGTGTGGGAGTGGCGGAGTGCACTTAAACCCAATACATACCGACAGATATGTGGTTTTGTGAATAATCTCAGGCAACTATTCTCAGCATATGTATTTCTGATCGTGACGTGTATTAATGGGCTGTTCAGACTTAAGAAAATTTATACAAAACTCCTAAAGAAACGTCATCTAAAGAATCGACATTTAGCAATAGGTGCGTACAGACTAGACAAATTCTTGTTTAAAGAAATGTCGTATTAAGAAACTAATATATTGAAGAGATCAATTGATATGATAAGTCCTGCCTAGTTGAACACGATTTTGGTTTGATGCAATGTTCATGTGTTTTGCTCTATGACATTTTGTTACACCACATTTCATTAAACAATATCCAAAATAGATAAGAGGTGGCTGTATCATACATGTATATACATTGTAGCTGTACCAGAGGGAAAAAATACACAGGGGCTCTGGGCGAAGTAGTCCCCGAAATTTATTCTGAATTTTTAATGGAAAATAAATAAATGAAATGAAATGAAAAAAAAGTTTCCCTGAAAGTCATAAAAGAGCCCCAATAAATTTGCATACCGGTACATGTAGAGTTCAATGAAAACAACTTGTAAAGAGTGTTTTTTTCATGCAAGCAAGCTTTAAAAGTAGCCCCCCCAATTTTTAAATATATTTTTTTCCCTGAGCTGTACGATTCTTGTATTGCTATATACAATAAATTCAGGTAGTCTGAATACATAGTAATACTCTCTCTCCATTGTCAACACAGACCTTTGTAGCAGGAAGTCCACTATCTCTGCTCTGCCCACCAGTGATAATCATAGACTTCCTTTAATACAGTTCTAATTTCAGGGTGCCCTTTCAATGGAATTTCCAGTGCTCTTTTTAAAAATGAGAATGCAAATGATAGTTTGCCTATATATCAAAGTAGCTACATAGAAAGCTTGGTTTGGTAGCTTTGTTTATAAAGTCGTTGGGTAGAAAGTTTGGTTGGAAAGTGTTGTTTAGAAAGTGTCTGTTTAGAAAATTTGGTAGGAAATAATTAGGTCAGAATATAGGGATTGTTCATAGCTGTCGGTGCAGGTCGGGGGCGGGGGATAAACATAAAACAAGAGGGAAAGAACATGAACAACGTCTTAATTTGATACCTCCAATACAACTACCAAGCCTGAGCTAAAGAACTTACAATCTCATGCACTTCTTTTATTGTATATTGTATGTATATTGCAGTTGTTTATTAGAAGTTAGTGAACTTCGCTAGTATGTTCAATTCAATTCAATTTTAAATTCAATTTTAAATTCAATTCAGTGTGGTTTATTAAGCATACAAAGTATAGTAGCCCAGGGACTAATTGCACGATGTTTACAATGTAAAATGTGAATTGATATGATTTGAATTCAACATGCCGAAGGTCAATGCTGATTCCTCGAGATAGCTAAATGATGAGAATTTCTAACATGCTTACGTGGAATAACAGTGTGTGTGTACAGTATGTGTGTATGTAGCCTATACGCCCATCGTTCCGCTCTCACAGACAATTGACTACCGGTATTTAACCTTTAGACAATCCAAATAAAAGTTTGGAACCAATATAAATTGAATTGTTGTTTCAATTTTATTCATCCCTCTAGCAAATGATGAGAATTCCTAACGGGCTTACATAGGATATCCATATGTAGCCTACCCCATTGTTCCATTTGACCTAATAGATAATACAAATACAAAGTTTGGAATTTGAACGATATAGTTTTTGAACCCAATATGGCAATAAATGAGAGATGATTTGTGTTTTGGTTAATTGCTTTTTGCTGAATAGAAATAGATAATATTGGGCTTACCTGGCATAGCAAAATTTAGTGCTCGGACTATTGAAGAACTGATAACTGATAGTTTTTATCCTGTAAGTTGACACTTTGGGAAGGATAAGGTAAAGGTAAGATTGAATTCTGGTAAAGATAAAAGGAATTTGTGAGTTTTTTCATCCTTTTTATTGTCAATTCTTAAGAATGTCCTCTGGAAAGGATTACTCTTCAAGTGCTTTTATACTATTTCAATATAATTAAAAAATGACAAGAAATTGCTGAAAAGTTTGGACCAACCTATCATTCCGGGTATGTGTCGTCCCATTGCCCGTTACTGTGTGCATGCAATCTTCAGCTAGATTGAGAACATTACATGTAGGTTGGTTTTGATCATTCCAAAACCTCACAGTACATAAGGTATGAATTCTTGTGGGCCACATTATATTTAATTACCTATTTAATTACCTATGGAAACTTCTGAATGCAGGCTTAAAGGTAAAGACCAGTATTGGAAACGCCCCAATTTCAAAAAATGAAATGGAAGCTCTTATTACCAATCATGTGAAAGAATATGTTTTGACTAATACATGATGATAACAAATTTGCCAGGAAACCGCCTACTTATTCATATATTTGGTAAAATTGCTTCTCTCATGGACTGTGAGAGATATAGGGTAGTCCCATATACACCTTTCTTTGTATAGTGCTTGTAACTTTACGAAGAATGGGCCAAATTTCTTATCATTTTGATGATTCCAGAACCTTGCAGATGCTAGATGATCAACCTTTTCTGATCGATTCCACAACGTTTCTTTCACAATGCAATCGCATGACCATAACTGGTCTTTACCTTTAAGCCTTTTTATTCAGTTCTGAATCATAATCACCCCTTCCCACCCTTCCCAAATGGGTTCAGACAATGTCTTTCACATTGCAATCAAATGACCATTACTTAACCTTATCTTTAAGAGTGGCTCTCAGGTCTACATCCGATTTGTGCCAAATTACAAAGTCATACAGTTGCATTTGAATAGTACCCTACTAACAAATGTATCATGTGCATGGGAAAATGCTGTCCTTCAGATAATATACAATTGGCGTTGATCGATCTAATTGAGACTGACTCATTGCTTTATAACTTCAGAAGGACTGATAAATCTCAACAATAGAACGATTAAATGAATAAATAAGTCGTGCTGTTTGCACACTCCTTAGTTCAATGACAGGCTGAAGATAAGAAACGAGGAGTTACAATCATAAAATGTCATTAAGATGTATTTAAAGTACTTTGCACTTTAGTCTTGAAAGAGAAGTCCTCTGTGATATTGAGTTGGTCTAAAGAAAAACCTACATAATGAGAGAAACAGATTAGTGAAAGTTTGTAGAAATTGATGAAGTTTTACCATTGGAAACAATCAGAAAACAATATGGAAACCTTGTGCTTTTCCTTGTAAGCCCCTCGATCATCTCAACTTTGTTGTGTGTCTTTCTCAGGTGGTCTGCCAAGCGCAGGTCTTTACACTATAAAAGTGACTAGACTAGAGCCATCAATTATTTCTCCATCCCTCTCTATCTTTAGCCTCCTTCTTAAATGTCACACGATCTATCACCTAAGGAAATCTCATATATATACTATTTTATCATAAAGGAAATATGTAATCACGCCTGTGTCAGACATGTGGAATTATTTATCGGATGCATATTTTGGCACACGCTTTCGCTGTTCCCTAATCAATAACTAAAAAGTGTTTTTTATGAAGAGTTTTAAAAAGAGTTTCATGGAATTTTTAGATGAAAACAAATGAAAGGATCGATGCACACAAGGTAAATCACAGAGATGTCCATTTGTGATTGGTTGAGAGTTATTTAAATTATTCTTAAAGGTAAAGACCAGTATTGGAAACGCCCCAATTTAAAAAAATGAAATGGAAGCTCTCATTACCAATCATGTGAAAGAATATGTTTTGACTAATACATGATGATAAAAAATTTGCCGGAAAACCGCCTACTAATTCATATATTTGGTACATTTGTTTCTCTCATGGTCTGTGAGAGATATAGGGTAGTCCCATATACATCTTTCTGTGTATAGTGCTTGTAACTTTACGAAGAATGGGCCAAATTTTTTTATCATTTTGATGATTCCAGAACCTTGCAGACGCTAGATGCTAGATGATCAACCTTTTCTGATCGATTCCACAACGTTTCTTTCACAATGCAATCGCATGACCATAACTGGTCTTTACCTTTAACTTTTATATCCATTATAAGACCCTCCTCAATTTTTATGTAATCTGTATTATTTTCTAATATATTCCTTCTTTTATTTAAACCAACTTAAAATACTCTGTTGTAACCCCCAAAACCAATTATTGCTATATTTTTCAAACTCCGATTGGTAAATCTGATTAGCTAGTACCCTACTTAAAACCACTTTGTTTATTAGGTTGTAGTTTAGAATTCAATGACCATGGCCTCATTGTGGTTGGACCATGTGCCTGACAACCTTGTAAAATTGAGGTTTGGTAGAGGAAGTGTTCAAAAAGTAAAAAAAGGAAGGATATTTTGGGTATTTCTATTACTCTATTCTGGAGAAGGAAATACTTGGCTGTAGTTGATTTACTATGAGTTGTGTCTGTCATTGTAGTGTGCACTCTGAGTTATTACATTTATGCATTTTATAGGGATAGGATAATTAGGATTAGACTTTAATATATTTATGATTCTTCATTTATTTGCTCTTGAGTTCATGACCAAACTTGAAATGTTAAACTTTACGAAAGCTCATTACATTTAAATAAGTTCAAGTAGAAGGTAACGTAATATTTGACTTATTGTTGCTGGTATCACATGGAAATTGAATTGATTTTCATTTCATAGTACTAGCAGGGTGATAACGAAACTCAAAATAAACGGCAAGGACAAAAAAAAAGGGGGGGGGGGAATCAATGGTGAATAGAAACACAGTAATTTTTTTTGTACAATGTCTAGATTGAATTTCATTAATTAATCATACCATGGTTTAGAATGATATATTTTACATGTGTGTTTTATAGTATGCATGTGTTTAGCATTTACATGAACACATTGTCTGTACAGGGCCAGGAGGGTGTTAACTCTGTTCTAAAGTATGTGACTTAACGCCCTTTTGGTCCCAAAGTCCAACTAGATGACATATGTTTTATAGCGTATCAAGGGCATCTATCCGACAGTGTTCAAGATGAAACATGAAACCAGCAAGGGATGTTATTGTAATTATATGAATTCCATTTATTAAAGAGGGAGCTAGACTAGCTCATGAAGAAATCTCACTCTCTTTTCTCCTTTCTCTTCTTTCAAACTGTCTCCTCAACACGCTACCAAAATTCTAGTGCTACACCGATATATATTAATATGGAGTATACGTATTTCTTGAAAATTGCTCTAAATTTCCTTGTACTTTCCCATTTCTTCTTTTTATTACTCTTTGTTCATGGACCTAAATCTCCTGGTACCCTCGTCTTTATGAAGTAATTCTCAATTGTTGTCACCTCTTCTCCCTTCAAACGTAAGGACAAGTTTTCCTAAAAGCAGGGCTCAAACTAGCAGGCACCTGGGACACATGGGCGCCAAGAATCTAGGATCTAGAATTTTGGACCTCCAAAATGTCAAGTTTGTTTGTACATAGGGCTCCTGCATAAAGACTCTAAAAAGTGAAATCCAGACTCCCTTCCAAAAATATTAGTGTTGGGGCCTGCTGAAAGTTTTGTTTCAAGAAAAATAAAAGTTTCTTTAGGAATAGGGGAAGTTTTGTTATAAGTATTCAATAAGAATGAGTTTGATCCTATTTTTGATGAGATATGAACAATCATACATTTGCATGTTACTATATAGCAATAGTTTTCAGATTCAAGGAAAGCAGTCTTTTTGGCACCCTCAAATAAAATTGTGCTTCCCATAAACTCTTTGGATTGACGTTTCAGCATGTATTTTCAAAAGCCCAATAGTACTTTGACGTGCTTGGTTGATTTTAAAGGAAATAATAATGATGTCTGAGAATCAATTTTTATGGGCTTCCTTACATATGTACCAGCACAATTTTTATTTACATTATTGAAGTTACCCTGTTTAGGCTATTACACCTTATAGAGTGGTGAAGTGTGACGTCATTAAAAATCTATTTTGAAAATTTCTCATTTTTTTCTTTGTTTTCCGAAAGAGCATCACAAATAATGTCCATCTGTCAAAAACCAATTGAATATGTTAAGTATTGGCTGAGATATGACCATCTGAATAAATATATGTCCTATAGGAACTCAGTGTTATTTGCTCTGGCTCCTAACCATTATGAGCCAGAGCATATAACACTGAGTTCCCATCGGCAATCTTTTTATTCAGATGGTCATATCTCAATTGGTTTTCGACATTTGGACATTATTTTTGATGCTCTTTCGGAAAACGAAGAAAAAAATGAGAAATTCTCAAAATAGATTTCTATGACGTCACAGCTTCGGTACTCTATATGCATTTGAAACTCGTCTTTTCGCTTCCCACTCTAATTCGCTAAGCTACATTATTTGCTTGTATGTTCAGTTCTAATCATGTTTTATGTGGCTCTTGTTAAAGTTAATTAACCATCATCTTATTTCCTCTTGTTTCTTTATCTCTCTCTTTACAGGCATGGACCGAAGAGAGGAGACGCTATTGTTACCTTGTCGATAGGTATTGCTCTCTCATCAAAAACAATGCTGCTTTCTTTAGCAAGGTGGGGTGGCGGTCTACTAAACATCTATCTCTTATTATAAAATCATCAATTATATACTATACATAATGTCGTAGCACATTTTCTCATAAAATAAACGATAACATTTGATATGCATAATCAAAGAGCATCATATAAACAAGCACCATATATATTTTCCCATTGTTTTAATGGCAACCTTTGTGTAATTGAGGAAGGAATCAGATTATGGGACATGCACATTGTACTTGTTTGTACATTGCTAGTCTTTCCTTCCTGAATTTATTACCTCAGACATTGGATTGTATTGCTTCTTGTAACTGGGCCCTCTTTCATCCAAATGTTATCAAACAAGTTACAATAACTGTTATAAGCTACTGAAATCATGGCATAATTTGTTCGGCCGAGAGCAACTTTGTCATAGAAGGTTAGCATTTGTTATTAATACAACCTATTAGGGAACTGGGCCCAGGTTTTTCGTACCTAATATGAAGTAAACTAAACAAATCTTTCTAAATTTTGCTGTGGTTGAAGTCTTATGCACAACACTGAAATACCATTCATATCTAAAAGCTATCATAACCCCACAACATATATCATCCGTTGAGAGGAAGAAAGACATTATCTTTGTGTTTAAAGGATATGATTTAATGCCCTTCTGGCTCTCAGCAGGCAATATATTCCTATCTATTCTTGTCATTAAAATGCTGAGAGCACCTTCCGCTATAATCTACTCTGCATACAGGAACTAGCCATCTTAATGTATTTGATCAGTAAATAACAGCATAGTGGGATTTAGATTAAAGCTTTTTCTCTGTTTACTTCCCGACTATCCTACATATTCCTTAACATACAATATATTACCTTACATGTATGTAGAATACATTTTTAGATTGGCTTTCCCTACATTCAGAATCATTTCCTATTTGAAGTCCATTTGTACTTGATATTCATTTCAAAACTACATGGTATTAGTTCATCCTTTCATGACAAGTTTTGAGAGATTTTTCATCCTTTTCTTTTTAAATGACAAGTTTTGATAAGTTTGCCAAGCACTACACAGAAAGATTCCTTGTTTTCTTTGGCATTTCCTTTTGTGGATGATGAACAGCCATTGTTTCTCATTAAGCATCCAAATTAAAATCACAAGATAAATGTATTGGTCCCCTTGGAGTCTGGACAGATTCCAGTTTACAATGTTGCCAACAATAGTTTGTTTTAACTGCTATTTTAGAGTACAAAGGCAATAAGAAATATGAGCAATATGGAATTCTAATCCTTCACAATTCACCAGGAAGTTAAAGAGGGCAAAAGTCACTTTCTTGGTAATTGAATCTGCAGAGATGATGGAAGTTTCAAAACATTCTTCCCCTGCAAAGGCTCTGACATACAAATGCAAAGCAAAATAAGGTTCTTATTTCAATATCAGATTTGATATTTATGCCTTGTATCCATAAACAAACACATGGGAGAGGAAACCATTGTATCGACAAGTTTATGTTAAAAGATGTACTGTGTACTTCTGTATGTACATGAACTTCAGGGTATTGTTTAAGATTTGTTTTGCTATCTACTATTTAGACTCCACTTCTGTAGTAGCAGTCTGTAGCTTTCACTTTGAACAATTGAAATTCATGTTTGCTGTGTTCACATTTAATAGCTTATAATAAAATCTGCCAGGTTTAGATATCCTAGACCAAAATGTAAACCTAACCTAACCTAACATGTACTTTCCCTAACCTTATATAACCCTACCACTAACCGCAAACTAACCTTAAATGAACCTAAGCTTTCAATCTTTGTCTTTGAAAAGAAAAAAGTGTGTGCCAAAGATACTGGAGCAATGTCAAATTACCACAAATCAACCGCAATGCATTGAATACTAATAGCCTGACAAAACTATAGCTGAGATCAAAAATTGAAAATATATGAATACCACCAACAAAAAAACAAAAAAATAAGTGCCTCATTGTAGGACAGTTACCAAACTGTTTTTCCATGTAGCTTAAGTCTGCTAACTGTACACATCTGAGGAAGATGTCTGACCCAACAAACTGGCATAGGTTAACAAATTTGGGATGTGTCATAGAACTTACTTCTAATTATTCAAACGGTTATGATGAACCTGTTCAGCACATTTATAGGGCTTTCACAGAAATTACAATTTAATTTTTATCATCCAAAATGTTTTTCCAGTAGGTGGACACTCCAGTAAGGTGTGTAAATTAGTTACCCATTGCTTCAATTTGATCGGCATAAACCTTTTTCACTGGCTTTACCATTTAGCAACTCACTTTGAAAACGTAAATCAACCCGTTGATTCCTTCTCATGTGAACAACCCCTAGGTGTTTTCACACTCTAAACTTGGTTGAAGTGAGTTGTTCTCATTTGCACCATCCTTAAGGTTTCAGTTCCCTAGCTGACACACGTAAACAGGTGACAGTTGGATATCATTTATTTACTCAGGTGAAGTACATGTAGGTTGCTAGGTGTACCTTGTAGAATGAATGTCTCGTCTGGTGCAATGATTGATGAGATAACGTGGTCTACACAGTTACGACCGACCGTTATCTGTAACTGATGTTCGAATGAGGAAGCTTGGCATGGGAAAATACTGTCCGGTGACAACCCTAAGACCCCAGAATTGATGATTATAGATTGTTTACTAGATTACTTATTTTATCTAGAAAACAACTACAGAAATATATGCACTAAAGTTTTGAATTTCAATATCAGCTTTTGCATGTAACTAAGAGCTGATAACTAAACTTGTCATACATGTAAGTTCCTTGTATGAAATTAATTATTTCAATAACTCCAGAGAGAAGCTTTCAGAGTCTCAGGATATATCACTGTTCAATATCTGTTAATTAATCATGATCATTATTCTTTTCTCTTTGCCCTTTCTCTTTCTATCTGCCTGGCTATTTGTACCCCCCTCCCCCACCATCTCTCTCTCTCTCACCTTATTTTTCCTTTCTTCCTTCTGGTATTCTCAAATGTCTGCCTTTTCATTTATGTCACCCCCTCACCCCTTCCCGCTCTCGCACTCTCTCTCTCTCTTACTCTCTTACTCTCTCTTACCCTCTCTTAAATTTCTCTGTCTTGTTCTGTCTCTTGCTATATCTCTCTCTTTCTGTCTCTCTGTCTGTCTGTCTCTTCTGCTTTTTGTCTCTTTCTGTCCATCTTTCTCTTTCTTTTCTATTTTCTCTGTCTCTCTAACCCTTTCTCTCTTTCTCTTCCCTTCTCTTCCTCTATCTTTCTATCTCTGTCTGTCTGTCTCTCCTGATTTTTTGTCTCTCTATATGTCTTTCACTTTTCTTTTTTTCTGTCTTTTCTCTGTCTCTCTGACCCTTTCTCCCTTTCTCTACCTTTCTATATCTGTCTGTCTGTCTGTGTGTGTCTGTCTTCAGGCTCAGAGTGTTCTTCATCATCGCCTTCCCAAGTGGAATGAGTCATGTGACAAACCAGACAAGCTGCCTGAAGAATGTGAAGACATCCTCAGCTTTGTGAGTAACCTTACAAACCTCATTTGTACTTATTTACTCATACATACATATACCCAGGGTGTTCCACAAGATGTTTAAGCATGTAAGAACAAAAGGTTTGAATTCTGTCTGTTGTACAGGTTTGAAAATCTGCTACATGTTTGAATTTTTATTACTGGTTTGAAAATCTGATACAGGTTTGAACTAAGATTGTACAGATTTGAAGATCTGTTACATTTTTGAATTTCTATTGTACAGGTTTGAAAATCGGCTACCGGTTTGAATTTTTATTATAATGGTTTGAACATCTGGTACTGGTTTGAATTCAGATTGTACAGGTGTACAAATTTGCCATCGGTTTGAATATTTATCATACAGGTTAGAAAATCTGCTACCTGTTTGAATTTTTATTGTACAGGTTTAAAAATCTGATACAGGTTTGAATTAAGATTGTACAGGTTATTGCACAGGTTTGAAAATCTGTTACAGTTTTGAATTAAGATTGAACAGGGTCGAAAATCTGCTACTGGTTCAAATTAAGATTGTACAGGTTTGAAAATATGTTAAAGGTTAACAACCTAAATGCACCAAAGTGCATCTGAAGACCTTAGAGCTCTTCAGTAAGCACTGGCCACAAGGGACTTCCTGCTTTGCATGTCAGCTAAGTTCCTTCCACTTTCTAACTTAACATGTTTGAACTTTGTTTGTGGATCACCCTGATGCGCCTTTGAATAGATCAAGTATAAAGTACCCTATACAGGTATCGTCACATTAATAAAATAAATGTTTAAGGAAGTTTTGATACTTCTCATTCTGTAGTCTCGGTTTAGTTTCTGATTCAATTGATTTAGGCGCTTTGCATTTTGATAAAGTCCTCAAATTTTGTTTGGAGACAAAGTAAATGCAAAAGCTCATAATGGTGATTAGTGTAAAGTTGTACCTGTAATGGGCTTACGGCCTTTCATTGATTCTGAGTTTATTATGCTATTAGTGTGTGGATTTAATTAGTAGTAACTGTACATGTATTATGTAGTGTTATTATTTGATTGGTTTCTATGTGGACCGTATATGTTATTGATACAAAATGTTTAGTTTGATGTGGAACAAGAACAAAGATTAACACAGTACAATACTCTGATGTTCCTAGATTCTTTGAAACTTTCAAACTGGCCCTTGTAGTACTAGTACAGAATCATCTAAAAGACTCTTTGTGTATAGAGATGACCCTTCAGGTAGAGGTAAGGAAGTCCAGAAGATATTAGAAAATAACTTTAAAGCCCCTTTAAAGTGTTGGGAGACCCAAAACTTTGATGGCAACAATTCACTTGCACTGTATCATAATGTGAAAGAGGATGTCATTTATGACACATATCTGCAAGGATTTTCAAAACAAACGTATTTGAAGTCGAATATTGTGAAAGAATACAAAATTTAGGTTTTCTGCATACAACACAAAACCCAGATTGTGTATTCTTTTATCAATATTCGACTTCAACATTTTTTAAGGGGAATTTTTGCTAAAGTGTGTCTGAAATGACATTCTCTTTCACATTATGATACCATTTAAAGCCCGTCTGCACAAGTTTTGCCAGGAGGTATGAGACCACCTAGCGAGGTCACTGACAGGTGGCTATCTCATCAACTCAGCTCTCACTTAACATAAGAAAAAGAGGATCATGGGGGACCAACGGGTACCGCTTAGTCATTGTTTTCTATATAAAGGGAGCAAGTAGCTATATATATAGTGCAGTGGGGCTTTAAGTGAAATCTTGCCGTCAAATTTTTGGCGAATTTGGGGCTTCCAATACTTTAGAGGGTCTTTAACCTCAGTATCTACAGCATGATGATGATGAGTCTAGCTTCCTCATTGAGTTTCTCTTGGTCTGTCTTACAGGATTTCTCGGGTCCCCTTGAGACGCCCCTTCAGGTAGAGCTGAGGAACTCTAGAAGACTCTACGAACGCAACGTCCTGCTCACCCAGAATGAAGAGAGAATCAAGAAGTCACCCGTACATGAGGTAGGCTATTAAATTGGCAACACCAATTTATTTGTCAACTATCGGCGTAATAATTTTTGTAGGAATATGTAGCAAAGTGAGTCATGAAATGTAATAACATGAGACATTAAAGAAAGCACTCCAACAACAAGATAAATGTTTTTGTTGGCAATACTATTTTAACTGCAGCATATATGAAAAACACAAAACAACAAAATCAAACTCACATACTCAGTGAATGTACTATTATTTGGAGATTATCATATTAAAGAAGAAAAAAACTTTAAAAGATATCCTGTCTGCACATTTAATTTTGACCATGATTGTTGACAGGTTTTACATACAGCTTAATTGGTTAAATATAAAGGATTACCGGTAGCTTAAAAATATTTCTTGGTTCTTTTAATTTTTAATTTTTTCTTCAAAACTTTGCCGTCATATGCCTACATACATGTAACCTTGTTTTTATTTCCTGTGAAGTTAATTTTTCATGTCCCTGTCCCCGTGGGCTAAACCAATGTTTGTTTTATCTATGGCTACCATATACCAAGAATAGAATTAAGAGACTTTAGCCTTGAGTAGATCACATATAAACAGGTGTGTTGCCATGGGATACTAGTTCAGCTTTGAAACAGTAACATACATTAAAGGGTCAGTTCTGTGCGATGTGCGCGTGCTCTCTCTCTCTCTCTCTCTCCCCCCTCTCCTCCCCCCCTCCCCCTCACTCTCTCTCTCTCTCTTACACACTCTGCAGGAAATTTCTTTTATAGTATGTCATCTAACAATGAAACAATCTCTTGATTTGAATGTTGAAGAATCGTTTTGATACTGAAAGAACCAATAGTCATTGGTCATATCAAGATATTTTTCATTTTTGGATGAAATTAAATGGAAAGAAGTCAAATGTCATATAGACTCAATGCATCGATAGGCCTAAAGATATTAATAACTGTTGAGAATGCATATTGAAAAATGAGCCCAAAAGGAGACAAGATTGAATAATAACATTCATGTGGAATTCCTTTGCAAGCACTGTTGTTATGGCACAATGTATGGTTTTATGAGAATTCAATTATCATTTTTAATGAAAACAAACATTGATTTTGCTTTTACTATTAAAAATATTGATTGTTTTCCTTCAGTGCTTTTACATGTAACGTCATTCAAATCCAACAAATAAACAACGTATTTCTACATGTACTTTCAAAGCCATGTTAACCGATACCCTTGACAACTGAGCCCAAAATGGTTAGTTTCACATCCATTGGAAACGCAAGAATGATTTAGCTAGTTCTTCTTTTAAAAAACTGTCAACACTTAACCATTCTCTGATTGTGTCATTCTCCTCCTGAAACTTGTTTAGGACAGCTAGTACATGGCTACACTCAAGAAATGCCTATTAGACCAAAAATGACATTTACGCTAACTGACAGTGATTATGTGGTTTGCGTTGCGCTGAGTCACTAATGAAAGGCAAGTTAAGGCAAGGTCCTATACTCCGACAACCGGCTCGTCAACCCTATTGACTTGTGATACTGATTGCTCTTAAAGATGAAGTTGAGTTCTGGTCATGCGATTGTATTGTGAAAGAAACGGTGTGGAATCGACCAGAAAAGGTTGATCATCTAGCATATAAGAATTTGTGTGTATTGCAAGGTTCTGGAATCATCAAAATGATAAGAAATTTGGCCAAGTCTTGGTAAAGTTACAAACACTGTACACAGAAAGATGTATATGGGACTACACGAACACGTGGCGTAAAAATCCTACCCTGGATTTTTACGATGTTACATGACATATTTAGAATATGAAGGCTTTTGAAGAGCGATGCTTTTCAGGGAACATGTCTTATCTGATGTTTTTCCACACTTGCATAATAAGAATGATAATGCTCACAAATTATTTTTCACCTCTTCCCAGAACTTAACCTTCTCTTTAAATATACACCCCTTCCTTCTCTTCATTTTGCTTGCTTGAAATAATCTTGATTCATCATGAGTGACTGTGTAAGTGGAATAGACAAACATTGGTTGAGATAAGCGCACCCTAGTAACATGCACCTCCCTGCTTTAAGGTCATACAATTAAGCCATGTTTGAAATATCACAGATCCTGATCTTGAAACTTCAAGAAAGTACTTTATGAGATAATTGATCCCAGAAAGACACTGCATTGCTTGAAGAAAAAAAAATGACTAAATTCAAATCTTTGACAAACTCATTAACCTGTCTGTTGACCCTTGATGACTCTGATACTCTCAAATCATTCAACAAACCAATGGCTTGTCTCCTGATGACCAAGAGCTGTTTGTTGATACAGCAGTTAAATTACAATGTTTCTCTTTAAGTAAATTTTCCAGGAGTTGGTTTTAAGGTCTTTTGTGCCATCTCACCAGAATTCAGATCATTTGATGAACCTCATGACCTGTCTGATGACCCTGAGAGGTTCATGGAGGGATGTTACAAACCTTTCTTTAGAGCTCAGTTTTTCCTGACTACCTGCAGGACTAATTTTCCTGAAGTTACTTTTGAGAACTTTCCCTTGGCTTTAGTCCCATTTGAATTAGAATCACCTGACAAACCCAATGACCTGTCTGATGACCTCAGTCTTTGACGGGGCAGGGGTGTTAAGAAGGTTTCCCCCTCTAATTAATTAGGAGATCCTTATTAAGCCCATGACCGTAGGGCAGGTGTTTCTCATAAGCAGGCTTGAATCAATGGCCTGCATCCTCCTTGTTGAGAGAGAAAGGGAGGGAGAGAGGGGGAGAGAGAGAGAGGGGGGGGGGGGGGGGGGGGAGGGGGATAAGAGAAAAGAGGGAGGGACAGAGAGAGAGAGATAGACAAAGAGAGAGGGACAGAGAGAGATAGACAAAGAGAGAGATAGAGAAAGAGAGAGAGAGGGGGGGGGGGGAGGGATGGAGGGAAGGAGGGAGTGAGGGAGGTATGGGCTGAGAGAAAGAGGGATAGAGAAGAGAGGGGGGTAGAGAAGGGACGAGAAAGAGAAAGAGAGAGAGAGAGAGAGAGGGAGGGAGGTACATGTACATGTAGGGGATGAGAAAAAGAGTGATAGAGAGGGTTAGAAAAGTGGGAGCGAGAAGGTGTGAGAGAGAGAGAGAGAGAGAGAGAGAGGGTGAGAGAAGAGAGGAAGGAAAGGTAGATATTTGAGGCAGGATGAAGGGAATCAAGGCAGCCACAGCAAGTTAGTCTGGCTTTCAGGCTGACTAAACAGTCCCTCACCCCTGAGTGATTGTGTACATGTAGGACAAGAAACTTTCACATGTCATGAAGTTTTTACATTTCTTCAGATTCCCCAAAGTGTCATTCTGTGAAATAATTGAATCACAATTAACACAACGTAACATTTTTACATTTAGCGAAAGTATCTTGTTTGATACACAGTACCCTTTTTAATCGACTGCTATGAAGGGTTTAGTCTGGATTTCAAATATGAAATGAAAGCTGTTTCTCTGAATGGTGGGCTTAATGAGAGAACAAAACAACATCCATGATGACCTTTAGGGGAGGTGTCATTGTTAAGGGGTGTTCACACTTGACTTTCGATGAAGAGGTTGAGTTTTCAAATCCCAGCCTGCAGGCCATGGCAATAGCGTCAATTGAAAATGTAGTCGTTCATCCACAATTGCTACTCTCAACCTAATATTCATTTGGTACGTACATTGCTGGCCACTTGGCTATGATCTGAGTAACATTGTTGGGAGTTTCTGGACCATTACCTTGTGACGGACATGGCATGTGAAATAAATTGTTACCCTTTCGTTTTCAAAATTTCCTTAAACAGTCGGACCAGGGCCCCAGCTTCTAAAGAGTTGCGATTGATTTAAATCAATCGCAACTCTTTATAATACAGGGCCAAGCTGGGTAACTCTGCATTAACATAAATTAGCATCATTTATCATGCAAATTGACCTGCTAACATCACATTAATCAGGAAAAGAATGTATTTTGCTTTCAAGGGAACGTTGGTCTAATTACTTTCATTTCTCGACGTTGTTTCAAGATGTCCAATTATTCAATTGAAATGAGGTTAATTTGTGATGATAATTGGTATTGATTTGTGACATGCACCTGTAATTAAGAGGATGTTAATTAATGGAATCTAGATACTATTGTACCTGTGAGTAATTGGTTGCAGTCTTTGCTACAGTACTGTAACTTTCGATCCTGCATGTACATTTATTACCTGCTGTGTCATGCTATATTTATATTAATTAAAGAAGTTTGTCTACAAATGTAAGTTATTAAAAAAAAACACTTATCAATCAATCAATCAATGATACAATCTGCCAGTCAGTCGTCCAATCGATCCACTGATTGGTGTGAATTCCAAGGTATGGTCATGATGTACCCAAGAAAAGGCTTCAAGCATGTTAGGGGAGATTTATAATAGAGAACATTTATAATGTGCCATGTCTGTCAAAAATTGACACTCCTAACCGTAATGCAGTTATATTTTGTGGGCATACGTCTATCAAGTAATTCAAGAAAGAAAGCAAAATGTACATAAGTTTGAGTTTAACATACTTCAAGGCATAATATTGCAAAAATAGAATTACAACATCATATTTAACATAAAAGCAAGGTTACATACGCTTAATATACAGGTATGAATTGAAACATATAGGAGAAACTGTTGTTAATATCCAAAACAAGGTACGTGTATACAGTATTACAGTAACAAAAGTTATATTTAAGGGTAGTACAGAGTATTAGACATACTGGTAATAAAAACAAGCTAAGATGTTGGGAACAGAAGCGGTTTTAATGTGCGAATGTAATTACATGTACATGACAACACAACCTGTCTCATTAAAAATTAATTCTGACTATTAATAATAATAATATAATAGTCGGTTCTTGTATAGGGCTCATGTCTGTCAGACTTGACACTCCTGGTGCTCCCTATTGAGGCAGTCTTGAAAGGTTGTCTATGCTTTTACTTGAGAATCGGGGATTGAAATCTGGATGAGTCAATTACATGTATAGTGATCAGATGTTATCTCCAGTGGCATCTCTTAATTGGCCGGGGTGTAGTAAACGAACATGGGGAATGAAGACATTCCTAGAATCTTTGGAGCTCACTCTCTACAGATGCACTGCTCATCTACCGTACTCTCATACTCTCATGGAGAGAGTCAAAAAATATCTTGGTTAAAGACCCTATAGCTATTTTAATCTGTGTTTTACTGTTACCGGTATATCATTTCAATGATCCTTACTCTTATCTTTATATAATGAAGATACATGTATCAATGTTAATTATTTGAGTTGTATAGCAATATTTTCTGGAGATTCAAAGTGCTAGATTCATTTATCACCCTGGCTTTGATTAACTTCAAAGATGAGATGCTCAAGCAGTCTCAAATATGCAGAATTTCCTCCTACTGGGTATCCATTATGAAAAAAGCATGAATAGGTACAAAAAACACAAACTGGTAATACATTAAAACTAACTGATATAAAACAGTGTTTAGAGAAAGAATTCATTAACGTTTTGCTTTATTTTTCCAACAGCCTCACTCCCCCAAAACTGGTAACAATCCCGACCGGCCCCTTTCTGTGGATGTTGAGCCCCAGCAGCCGCCCCCTCCCAGCAGCACGGGGATGACCTCCAGCTACAGCGCTACCCTCCCCAACATCAAGAAACTAGGGAGTGGTTCGTCGCACCCCTCCGTCCACCAGCTACCCCCCTTCCAGAGCAACCAGCAACAGATGGTCCCCCCGATGACCCAGGCCGCCACAACACCGTCATCGCCACCACCGCAATCACCCCAGCCACAGACTAATGTGCCTTCGGGTTTAGCAGGGAGGCATTCCAAGTCTCTTAAGTCGCCTCATCATCTCAATGGTAACAGTAGTATGAAATTAGAATTTGATCGTTCTATTCATGCAATTGTTCATCCTGAAAAATCTAATTACGAATGTGATTACTAGAAAAAGAAGTGGGGTCCTTGGATGTGTACTGAAGAGATTAAATAATCAAAATCATAGTTTTCATGATAAAATAGTCGGTTTAATATTGAAGGCTTGTTTTTATAATGGTTTTTCTTCTTCGTCAGAAATGAGTACTAATTTATGATTTCACATCAAATGGAAAGTGAAAATGAAATTGATTTGATTAATGATTTCATCAACTTAAGTTTGTTGTGCCACCAACTTCTGAAACATTTCTAGAATACCAGTTCAAGAGACAAGTTATCCATCATTTCATTTGTCATCATCATTGCTTGATAACCTTTCATGTAATTCCACAATTCTTGAATCTAATCCCAATTTTCAAACGAAAAGTGAAACATTAGTTTTGTTCAAAGTGTTTGATGCAACATCAATTAATGCAGATTTGGAACTACATACCTTTTAATCATTAATGTCAGATTTTTACGTGCTTTCCAGATTGCCTCCTGTTCAATTCAATCCAAATTCAATTTAAAAAATGATTTATTAGACTACCTGTCTTGCAGCAATATGCTGAATTGTTCACATATCTAAAAGATAAGAACAACATTGAAGATGCAATTTACATAGGAATATGTACAAGTTATAAAAAATGTTGTCATAATTTTTTTTTGCTAGGTACATATAAAATTGTGAATACACAGTCTGATCATTTCCGTCTTTGTCATAAATTTCTTTGCAGCCATATCTCAGACGATGCCTCGTCAAACATTCATGCGTCGGGTATCGGAGGCAGGTGACATGATGGAGAATGAGCAGAAGATGCCTCGCGTTCAGGCCGTCTACACCCACGCTGCGACGGGAGAAACCCAACTTCCTTTCAATGAGGTATGACATCAATAAGGCAGGGAAAAGAAGCATCTTGAAACCAAAAAGCATTTTAAGTTTTGGTGGTATTAGTAATGTTTATTCACTTATATCCTCTGTTCAAAGCCTAAAAGGCATTGTTTCAAAACTCAGTGTTTAAGTTTAAGTACAAGAGTTTATGTCTTTCTGACTCCAAACAGAAGATAAATGCTTGACTGATTTTGTATTACGAAGTCTAATCAAGGCCATATAATTATTGTACCAGGTCTGTGATCTAAAGATATGGTTTGACCTCTGTGCCATGACAAATTATGATTTTCCACAATTATGCATCTCTTAATGTTCCATTACATTTTGTTCAGTAGCTTTATGTAAGATGGTATGTACATGTATTCACTTGGTAAATCGTAAAACTTTACTAAAAAATCGGAAGAAAATATGCCTTGAAGCAACTTTGATGCTGAAGCGAGATGTCACAATGGGAAAAACGTCTGCCTTTCGAGTGAAGTCTTGTTGGCTGGGATTCTGCTTGAGCAAATGACTAAAGTCTGCCACATCAAAGATGCAGGCTAGGAAAACAATGGGATAATTTAGTCTTTCATATGGAATGTTGACATTTCTATGTGTAGGATATCCATCCCATATGGTTTTCTTATGAAGAGTAAGATGAAAACATGTGGAAACCTGCACACATCATTATCATCGCCACTGTCATCCTCTTCCTCCTCATCCTCCTCCGTCTTATCTTCATCATTGTCATCACCATCATTCTTCTCTTCTTCCTCATGATCATCACCACCTAATCAGTCTCATTACCTTTCTTCCAGGGAGACATCATTGGCTTGGTCGGTCCTAAGAACAACGGCTGGTTCTATGGACACAACTACAGGAGTAGGAGGAATGGATGGTTTCCTATTACCTACACACAACCCTTGCCTGAAATCTCACCCAAGACTAATGGAACAAGGTGAGTTTGTATGCTTCACTCTGGCTCCAGTGAGCCTAACTTGAAGCCTGTCTGCACTAGTTTGGCCAGGAGAGATTAGACCACCCAGTGTGGTCACTGACAGGTGGTTATCTCATCAACTCAGCTCTCAATTAACATAAGGGGAAAAAGGGGATCATGGGGGACCAACAGGCACAGCTTATGCATCGGTTTCCATATAGAGGGAGCAAGTAGCTACAAGTAGTGCAGTGGGGCTTTAAGAGTAATTGGTTGAGACATGTTTAAGGGACAGGGTCGTCAGTTTCCAGATGCAAGGAGGCCACAATTGGCTGACACCAGACTGGGTGGAAATACCATTCATGGGAGTACAAGTCTGCAAGCAGCAAACCCGTCGTCCTATCCAGAAATACTCATTAGTCTCTTGGAGAGTCTTCGGATGAGGAAATGAAAGATAGTGACTTTACCAAAATGGGGAATGGGTGGAAAAAACAATGCATTACTTAAGCCTCTTGGTCATAAAACTAAACGCTAGTCCTGGTTAATGACAACACCTGTTATTAGATAAACACCCAAATGGTGTCTAGTTTCCCATGAGAGCACACTACTGCTCTTTAAACAGTTGTTTGCTCTTTGTTAGATTACATTTACAAACAGTTTATGCAGGTAACATTTGAATGGCATTTCCTGCTATTTAGAAAGAAATGTACATTTTCTTGTAACACATTTGCAGACTTCCAAATCTACTCCTTAGTTTCAGTTCATTTGAAAGTGAGAGCCATTTTAATTTGTAACTTCAAGACTTCGCAACTGTAAGTTCCTTGAAACTTAATCGGTGCTCACAGTGCGTATCAAAATTATCAAGCTGCACATATCCATTGTAACATGAATTACAGGTACAAGTATTTCTCAGAAATATACAGGATGTGTGGATTGCGCAACACAATTAGTTGACTGTTGTAAAATGTTCCCGACATGAATTTAGTATGAAGTGCTGTCTAATACATGTATGTTTATGAGATCATGCTATAGCATGAAAGTGTCCATTTTAAAAGGCAATTGTATACTTCAAAGGTTTCTAAAATATGTAATTTTGCTTCAAAAGGAAAATGGAAGTTACTATTTTATTGCCAGTTTGTGTTAAGTTACACATCAAAGTATTATTTATATTCCTTCTTGGCAGTAACATATTGAGCACCAAGGGTGTAGCAGCCAGTATGGACAACCTCCAATCCGTGGGCAATGACTACCCTACCCCTGACTACTCCGGCCCCGGCAGCCCTGTCTCCCCCATGGCCCCCGCTGCATCAACCCTCTCCCTCCCCCAGGTTGGCATCGCCGTACCGACCAACCTCTCGACCGTGTCGCCCTACACCAACCCCTCCTCATCCTCCTCCAACAACAATGGAATGGGAAACGGTGGGGTGAAACCCTCGGGGTTGCTGATGACCGCACCCGTGGGAGTGGTCGAGGGAGAGGAGAGGAACACCTTTCAGAATCAGCAGAAACAGCAGACCGGAAACTCGACCTTTAATACCGCTGTGCCAAACGCTCTTGCTCAAAAGCAGTCTGCTTCCATCCAGGTACAGAAACTTTTGAAAGTGATTTATACGAGTATAAGACTTGAGACCTTGGGTGAGGGAACATTTCTAGTCTGAATATTGTATGATGTCTTTAAAGGTAGCAATAAATGCCCATTTTTATTGTTATTTAAAGCCCATCTGCACTAGTTTGGCCAGGAGGGATTAGACCTCACTGACAGGTGGTTATCTCATCAATTCAGCTCTCAATTAACATAAGAAAAAGGGGATCATGGGGGGACCAATAGTCACAGATTAGGCAATGTTTGCTATATAGAGGGCACAAGTAGCTACAATGCCCCCTTTTAAATCTAAAGATCTTTCTATTTAATGAAATATTCAATGCAATTTTTTGAAAATTCTTTCCTTCATAAAATTGCCTAAAATGTATGCAGTTCTAGTGTGAATTACCATACTTATTCTTCACAATTAGGTGTGGATTAGATTGGACTTTATTCTACCAAAAGATCGACGTATTATATTAGTCTTGACGTGATCTACCCAAGCAGTAAAGTAAAGCGTAATGTACTTGTATATATACTGTAGATGGCGAGTCTTCTACTTTCTACACATGGAGCATCTGTTTCACATGCTATTCAACAGACCAAGGATTTTCCGTTATAACCTAGCTCGCTTCTCTGAAAAATGAGGGGTGTGTTCTGCGGCCAGGACAACTTTCCAAATGACAATAATAAAATAGTAATAATAATAATAATATTGGGTTTTTGTATAGCTCTCATATTTATCAGGCTTGACTCTCCTAACTATCAGCAATTGGATGTGTAATGTTTATTGTTATAATGAAATTATAAGTCGTCAAAGATTACGAGTGCTTACATTTGTTTTATTTTATTTATTTAATTTGTTGGTGATAGCCTGATGTCCAGCTTTCTCAAATTCAACTCTCTGTGCCTGATGAAAACACCAATGTGCCCTCACAAAACAACGGAGATCAGGGAGATGGGTAATTATTATTATTAAACAGCAATAAACCAGATAGTTTTGTAATCGTAGGCTTTTAACTACCCTAGATAATATTAAACTTTGTTTTTCTTTTTTTAAAGATCAGAACTACATGGTTTCACTTTTTAAGTGGATCAATCTCCTATAAAATATGACTTGTGTACAGCTAACATGTATACATTCAATCTCAAATAACTCTATCAGGCATTCTATGGGCTAATAGGTAAGGAGTATGAAGAAAACAAAAAAATCACATAAAATTGTTTAAAAACTGTGCAGGCCATATTTAATGCAAGCATGTACGGGAGCATGGTCTTGTCTACTCACAAGATTCTTTTATGTTAGTTGAGAGTGTGTTTAAATTTCCAATATCTCTTTATTGAAGTATCGTTTTAAGCTCATACATGTACACAATTATGCTTTTGAATATAGTGTAGCAGCATTGAACTACTATCATACAGAGCACACAGTATGTTTAGTGATCACACAGTATGTTTAGTGATTTGAACACTTTAAGATGAGGATTCATTTCTTTTAAAAGTGGTATTTCTCTTCTCTTTCCTTCTCCAGCAACCCTTTCGGATCGATCCAGCTTCGTAAGACGGTGACGAATGATCGTTCAGCTCCTATCATCCCTAGAGACTATCAGATGGGTGAATTTGCACGGTAGGTGGACAGTTAGACATTCTTTCTGAAGGAGGGAGGGAGGCTCAGGCATATGTGCCCAAATTCACAAAGGAGGTTTAACCGCATCCATGGTTCGAACCCTCATTTACTTAACCCATGGTTTAAAAATTAGCACAAAACAAGCGTACCTTGCCTTGCCTCTAATACTGAACCTTTGACTGTGACGCGCTTATTTTGCGCTAATTTTAGACCATGGGTTATGTAAATGAAGATTTAAACCATGGATTAAATGTAAACCTCCTTTGTGAACTCGGACCATAATCTCTTCAGAGCCAGAAGAACGTTAACTCTGTGTAAAAGTAATTCCCCTTCTTGGTCCAAACAGATGATGGGCTCTGTTTATTATTGCTCTGGGCTCACTTTCACCAAAGATATAGGGTTAGGGTTAGAGTTAGGGTTGGAATTGGGACATGTATTAGGTTCTGGTTTAGGATTAGGATCGGGGTAGTTGTTGGTCCAGGGTTGAAGTTGGGAATTTTGTTAGCATAGGATATTGACACCAGAGCGATTGTCGCCAAAGCATGTGTCTGTCTGTACAACTGAAGGAAGTGCATTCTGGGAGACTTGAGATCCCTTCGTATCAAGAGCTGTCTTTGATCCCATTTGATTACAAATTTCCCCCATCATTGGAATTTCATTAGCTTAGCAAGATATAATCACAGCAAAGGTTCCACCAAAACATAGCAGGCACAATCATTGGTGATGTGTCGGTGCATGTGAGAGTGTCATCCGACTACATATTTTCTGAATGGAATTGTAATGTGTTGATTTTGGGTGCTGCAAGTTATGCTTCATACAAAAAGGAGAGGCAAAGTTCACCTCATAGTCTAAGCTTGCTGCAGTTTTCCTTCTTTGAAATTGCCAAGTTTTTGTTTTCAGTATTAAAAGATCTACGCACTTCCAGTATGTCATGCCTGAACAAAATTACAGCAAAAGTGCAAAGAAAAATCTTGCCAATGTGGAAATGGTGATTCCTTATTCTCTGTCGAGTATCCTGTCCGTGTATTCTTAAAAAACAAACCATCAAGTGGCTTATATTGAAAACATTCCAAATAAATCTTAAATGGAGTAACATTTGTGATGTAGTGATAATCTGAGATGGATGGCCCTATGTGTATGTTTGTGATATGGTGTAATATCGAAGCCCTAAAAAAATGTGCTTCAAAATGATCATCGAGTGCCTCAAAAAAGTAAAAATCTTTGAGTGACCAGTTTTACCATAGTTGTTTTCCCCAATAAACTATAGTTTTATGAAAACCCTTGTATAAACTGTATTTTTATGAAAACCGTTTGGAAAACGCAAAATTTGATTTCGATTTCCAATCATAAATATCTTGATAATCAGACAGGCAATCGGCTTGTAAAAGACATGGGGTTCCTGACTGACCTAAAGGTTTATAATTATCATTGCAGCATGAGCTAAATCCAGGATTTTGTTTCAGAATCTGAGACAAAGTTACCCAATCCCTTTAAATAGCTTACTCATGTAGGGGCTAATTGATTGATTCACACATGTATGTACAGACATAATGTACACTGTACATAGGTCTGCACCATATTTTCTTTCTCTATACTGGTGTGATCACCCTCAGAATGTGAGGAAACCCCTGTTGGATCTCGTCCAGGATTCAGATCCTATTTTTCTGAACCAGCTTCCCTCTTTGTCCAAGTTGCCCTTTGGTCTATTTCCTTTTGTTGGATATTGACCAGGCCAGGATGAATGACTTTGATACACATACTTTTTATGGATTTTTATCAAACCAAAGGGGAAGCAGTCTGCATTGTGAACTTAAGTTGTTGATAAAATGGAGTATGTTATCGTTTGCTGAGAGGCAGAGGGATGTCAGATCATATACAGTCTGTGTTTGGACAGACTTCATTTTGGATTGACCATGTCAAAATTATTACATTCAAAACATTTATGTCATCCTAGGAAATTGTTAGTTAAGCAGATGAATGATAGATTTACATTATTTCTGGTTAATTATATACATAAACAATGTGATACAAACATTCAGTATTGGAGTTGGATGTGAGGAAAGGTCTCCCCATGACTTTTTATGTAAGGAATTTTCTTTTAAAATCAATATTGATCAGGATAGGATGATTGATATGAGTTCTCATCTATTTTTGTATATATTTTTTTTACATATATAGGTACCGTTTTTTCATTCTCAAATGAAATTGAAAGCATTCAACCATTGCATACCACCTTAAACAGTGGAAAATAAACTTAAAAGCCATGTACAGTGCTTTGTAAGGCCCCTTTCTCTCCCCCCCCCCCCCAATTTCTTCAACTCCTTCTTCAAGGATGGCTTTGTGCAACACAATGGCTTTGCAAAGTGATATACATGTATGTTGCAAAAGGAATCCAGAGAATAACGGTTGCATAGCTGAAATAAAGTCAGGGAATTTTGATTCAAGCTACGCAATCATTATTTCACTCATTTCCTTTTGCATTGTATATATTTCCACAAGAGTTGCCAAAGCTGTTGTATATTTTATTTCCTTACACTTACACGTATGTAATATATAGTGTGATTTTGGAATAATTTTGGAATAATAAGTAGGAGTACATGTCCATAAATAGGTATAGTAATTTGCAAAAGGCTTCATGATGGCTTTGAAAGCTCACTGGCAAATCATTGAGAATTTGTGTATATTACTCCTTTTTGTAAAATACATTTATGTTTATATTCTACATTCATTTGACTCATGCATGCATGCACATAAAGCCTGGACACAAAACCAGCAGATGACATTGCAAAATGCGATGATGGCCCCCAACATGACCCGGCTACAACGGAAATTGATACAAATCGACAGAGAACTTGTAAACTTGGAGATGGGGATAGATCTCCCTCATTCTATTCATAATAATCAGGTCTGCTGTGCTGTAACCCCTTGATCCATAACCAGTGTTACATTGTTAAACCATATAGTGGACAATCTTGTTTTATGTTTTTCTTTGTCAGTGTGGTTCATCTTCTGAATTACATTGTTTGCAATCCGTGTTACTGCAGTGATGCTTATATTATGCAAAAAATATGATTTCAACATTTCTATACAATTTGTGTTACAATATTGTATTATAGTGTTGTGAATTTGTATTTTGTATAACATTTCGTTTCAATCAAAGTATGTCAATATTGAATTTCCTTGGCAGCCCCATCCCTTGAAAATGGTGTCATTATACATGTCCAACTCAACTTCATACCCTGTCTAAATGTTCAAGTACTTGTACATGTATGATGTTATATTCCAATATGCAGTCAATATCCTCATTGACTGGTTCTTTTTGTTTATATTTAGTTTTATCACTAACATTGGCTGATAATCTTGTACTCTGGCTAGTTTTTTTTGGATATATTTATATATTAATAGTAGATGAGCGATGTACATAAATTGTGTAGGCTTGACATTCCCATGTTCATTGATATAACACTAATATATATTTTTTATTCCCCTGCTAAAGCATATTAAAGTTTTGCTATGAGTGTGCACAGTCATGTCAATTTTATTGTTGCATCTGAAGAAAAAAAACCACACCTTCTAATGGCTGTGAGCAACCCTGTGTAATTATTGGAAATGCATATATATATATATATATTTATACTAAAAGATCATGAATTATTCTAATAAAGAAGTACATCAAGTTTGTTTGCTTTATTTGTGGAAAAAGCCAGGATACTGCTTAAAGTAATATAAATGTCTGAAGTACATAATGCACAACAATCCATTATTTCCTGGTCCTGCCTTACCTAGGTCTATTTGTTGGTCATATGCTATAAAGATTGTCAGTTCATATTTTAACAGGAATTTGACTTGGTGACATTTTCTCCGTAACAGCAATCCTAATGTTTGATATACTGTAGTCTTGCCATAAGTACATGACATATACATGATTAATATTTATAAAAAAGATGTTATTAAATTACTTCTTTACCCCACTTTATCATTAATTCAATTTTCTCCTTATTTGATATTCCCCTCTCTATTTTGCAGGCACTAATCTATTCTCCAAGCATACTGAAACAAGATATACCATTCAACTCGACTGAGAAGAAACGTTGTCAAACTCTGCAATATTATTTAACTCATGCGAGGAAAAACGTATATATACCATGCACTGAATATTATGGTAATATTACATCACAACATTCCCAAACACATCGTTGCCATGTCAGGCAACACACATGGATTTTCAAGGAATCAGGATCGCCTAGTGAAATTTGCGAGCATTTCTGTGATGTCATACTTTGTAATATTCAGAACAAATTTCTGTAGGTGATGCAGCTGGAACTACATGTAATTGTCCTAAAGTAAGATTTCTTGAAAGTCTTCGCGACAATGTCAGACTTGCTGTAAAGTCTTAGGTGGAAGTCAGTTGCTTTCATCCAACTCTACATATGCCAGTTACGTCATTTTTCGGAATGAAGATAGTATTTGCTTAAATTACAGGAGGGCATTAACTGATAAGGCTTTACATATGGTATACATGTATGTAATGCCCATCTGGCAGACAAACTGTAGTAAGAGTAATTACTAAAATATTGTGTCATTATTTGCAAGATAAATCTTGTTGTTATTTGGATTAAAAGGTGTACATTGTACATGCATTCACATGTATCTGTGTTTATGGATGTTATTAAAATTTGACAAATGGTCTTAAAATTTGATCTGAGACCAAAGTGGCCATTTTTTAGCCAAAATTTGTGCTATAAATGAGACAAAAGGTCTTTTGTATTATGCAACTCAACAAATTAATGTATGTGCCTACATATTGCCTTTCGTGTAAATTGCAATATTTTATGAACAAAATCAAATATAGTATCCTTTCTAGTCACATAAAGTGAGTACATACTTGTATTTAGAAGAATAAAACGGCTTTTATGTAAAATGATGCTGGTATTGGAATATATATTTGTATATGCATTTTGTTTTTCATATTGCATGTGTAAATAGACTAAACTGCAACTTGCAATATAATCATGTCGTTCAGATGTTGTATGCATTTGGCCGTCTTGTAAATAAGAAAGTTTTTAAGAATGCTCTTATGGTCAATATATTTGCCCATTTTTTTGTATATGTCTGAAGTAAAGCTTAAGAGAACTATGTCAAATCATGTCATATAATTATTGATTTTTTTTTAAATATTGCTTATTTATAATTTTTATGTTACCTTTATAAAATATCAGTTATCTCAAAATGCTACAACGTTTATATTATGATGTTAAAAGAGGCCTGTTTATAATAATTACACTGTTACAAATCACTGTACAGCTTGTGACAAATATTAAGAATACATCTAATTATTTTTGTATGCATGTATGATTTTTATAATGCCAAACAGTAAATTAGTAGCTATGCCAAGATGTCATCTATTTTAAGGTTTGGCAGTTAGTCATATCAAAGTTAGTTTTAAAACATCAATGTCACTTTATTACATCATGTGTAGCGTAGTCATAGACCTTAAACTATATGTAGCGATTTTCTTTAAGTTTGGAATGATGTTCTAAAATGTCTAACTGTAAAGAGGGAAAAGCTTTTGAAAGGAATCACAAAGTTACTTGCATGATATCATACAACGCCTGCCAATTGTGTTTTCAGCCATAACATATTCAAATCAGAGAATTACATGTGTCACCATAGCAACATTAATATTTTCTAAAACTCAACCCAAGGCAATTGCAACATCCTTGTAGGACACTATTGAAATGTGTGAAGATTAAAATGTTGAAAAAATTGTGAATTTTGATCGAAAAACAATGATTTATCTCTCAAAGTGTTGCCAATTTAAAGATTTGAAAGGTTTTTTTCCATTCTTTTCAAAATGCCTGGCATCGAACGCAATATACATGTAGACATGAAACAAAGATGGATGCAGGCAGAAATGTTGCGCTTTCTACTATTAAATGCGTCTGGCATATTTTCAGTGCTCTGTATCGAAGGTTATACATGTAGAGCCAAACCAGAAACTGTGGGATGATTATCGCGACAGTGTTAATGATTAAGGCTAAATGGATTATCATTACATATGAAGAGGCTGCAGTAGACAACTTTTAAATGATTTTGAGTGTGAAACATGGTCTGTTGATAGAAAGTATCTGCAGAAAGAGCAGTTATTGTAGAAACACAGTATTATCAATACACTGCATAGGCAAGTAATGTTGTACAATGTATATATGCAAACTTGTGCATTATATATCCAGAGTCTTCCAAACTTACAGGTTTACAAGGTCGCTCTCACAACTCATGGAAAAACAATATTTTTATCCGCATTATGTTTACAAGGTAACTGCTCTTTAAACTCAAGGAAAACTATTTTTGATAGAGAAATAAAGTTGAAGTTGTATGTACATGTAAAATGATGGTTTAGGAATTGACAAAAAATCTCATTTTTCTATACTAAAGCAAGAGGTGGGAGGATACTTTTGATTAATGATATTCAATGGTATCTTGCATCTGTTCTGCACATGAACACCACATAGGCCTAATCTGGACCCTGTTTCATATAACTTGTTATCAATTAGAAGTAATAAGCTACTGAAATTGTTGCATGTGATTGGCTGAGAACAAATTGTTTATTCTTGGAAATGTGACTCATGTTATTGATAACAAGTTTTATGAAACAAGGTCCTGAATTTCATCTGGATCAAAATGATGTACTGTTAACAACTAAATTATTCATACCAATCAATTTGATGTTGTTTGTGTTTAACGTAACTCAAGAATGAACAGTGTACTGGTTTAAATTAGGGCTTTTGTTGAATACGTTTTAAATGTAAGCTTTAACATGTCATTTTCTCAAGAAACATTAATGAGGACAAATCAATTTTTCACATACTTAAAAAATGACAAAACTTGGTAAGGGTATGTTCACTGTATTAGTACCTGTGTTTATTACACCTACATGTACATGTATGTTATAAAATACAGGCCCATTTGCATCATTTTAGTAATGAGAAATCAAGATATCAGAATAATGACTGTTTATCACATCGAACAATTACAATTTCTATCATGACACTTCCCCTCTTCTATGATACATGCGATTCTGTACATGTATCTGTGTACATGACAGATACTGCATTCAAGCTGCATGTATTTATAACTTATAATAATAATAATATTATGTATTTCTACTGTGCACTTCCTTATATCATATCACTCAAGGCACTACAATGTAATATGATATGATTTTGATACTTCAGTGTTATCTTATCAAAAAACAAAGAAACAACAAAAACAATATAAGTGATTTCTACAAAATAATCACAACACAATCTATAATTATGCACCGCACAACCTATTATGCACTTGTCCATCGGTAGACTGTTCGCAGGACGAAAGTATTCTAAGCACAATAAAAAAAACGACTGATATAATATTGTCTTTTTTTTTTTTTAAGGAAGTAGTATTGTTGCCAGAAGTTATCTTCTTAAATGCAGTGATAGTAAAAGATCACAAACTCCACAAGTTGTTTTCTTCAAGAACATTCTATATTTTTTAGAATAAATTTGAGATGATTAGATGTAATTTGTTGATGAATAGCTGTCAAAGTAAATTTGATGCAATTTACAGTCACTTGGTATGTTGGTTTGAAAAGACTGCAATACCAATTTGAAGATGAACATTTATTGTGATATATGTACATGTATAGTGCTTTCATAACTATTAAAAACATGTACAAGATTGTTTTTGTTTGTTCACGATTTTTGTGAAAATGTCGTTTTTAGTAATTCCTGAATGGTAAAAAGAATTGGAGTAAATGTAATTGATATGATCATGTTTTTTTAGAGAAGTAAAGACACTTTATAACTATTGTACAACTTACGTGAATGAGACAAGTTTCATTAAAAATCATTTCTTTAATAGATTGTTTCAATTAAACTGCAATGTTAGGCTAATGTTTAGAAGTATTTAAATGTTATTTTAAGTTACTGGTATCCTTAAATTTAAGTTTGAACACTCATAAATAGGTGCTTTAAAAACCTCAACGATATAATATATTTTTTACTCACATAAAGGCCTATTCTTTGTATTGCCTTTGTCGATACATGTATGTGTTGGATAATACTATATTGCACGTCCATAAGTTTTGTATATATTTGATGCACCAAAATGTGATTGATATAATGAATATTGATTGCTATTTTTGATTGTTTATATCAAAAGAGACAAGATCAAAGCAAATCATATATTTTGATAATTTAGAAAACTGATATGTAAGTCATGTTGAAGTATGGTATATAACAAAGCTTGTTTATTGCAATGACTTAATATTACGATCATGTTGTGCATTAGTATTTCACCAGTTAACATATGTTAACCAATGTGAAACTTTGTGAAAGATTAAAGAATAAATACACTGTAAATGTTCTCATATTGGCATTTGTATAATTGAGCAATTTGTTGTATTTTCATTCTTATATTATTACCTGGCATAACTTTTATTTAGAGATATAAATAAATTAACACAACTACATAAGAAATATAGATGTAGTGTTAGGGGAGGGGGTGTAGCTGCCCTTCTTAAGGTTTTGCTCAATAATTCCTATGGATCTTTTTCTTCTTCTTTGTTTCCTTTTCTTTCTCACACTCCCCTCTCTCTTTCTATCGCTCTCTCTCTCTCTCTCTCTCTCTCTCTCTCTCTCTCCCTCTCTCTCCCTCTATTTCCCGTCCTACTCTTGGATGAATTTTTTCCCATTAGCATATTTCCGTTTGACCTTCATGTAGAACAATATTTGACATTTTAAGCTATGCAACTTTGAAAGACAGAACGAGCTCACACAGTACTACTGTACCTGTCGGATGTATAACGCCCTCTATAGATCTGTCACTATTCCGTGATAAGTCTTGCCAATTTTCAAAAAAATAATAAAAACAAACACAACCACACTTCTTGTGGGGTTGGTGTAATAGAGTGAATGCGGAATTTTAAACGCAAAATACATGATTTCTGAAGTCCTGAAGATTATATATATATATATATATATATATATATTTCTTTCTTTTTTTCTGAAGATTAGATTTGATTAATTGAAGCACAAACTGAAATCTTTCGTGGTACAAATTTCAAGAAACTTTCTAGAAAACTGACGAATCAATATGAATAAGTTTTCTCCTGTTCTTGGGGGGGGGGGGGGGGTAGTACATTGTATTCTAATGCATGATTATCTTGACATACATAATTTTACACCCCAAAAATGTGTTTCCCTTCCTAACAAGGTTGTTGTTCGAACATTATATCTCTTAACCATATTTATAGTTTGATGCACACTAGAAATGTAACTGTAACACATTCGTTTCTTCTTGGCTCTTCTCTGTGTCTTTTTCTCTTCATTCTATTACATCTGTTAATCTCTGTTAAAGTAATGTTTGCATGTACTGTCCGCATGTCATCGTGTTTGTCTAAATACCGTCTGCCCGCTCTTTCACCCCACATGTTATCTTTCTCACCTTTTTTCCTGCTACTCTCAATATTTAATTCCCCCCCCCCAGGTGCATACGCAGGGGGTGTTGGGGGGGGGGGGGGGTAAACCCCTCAATTTTTTTTTGGGAAAAAACGAATACTCCTTACCCCCCCCCCCCCCCCTTCCTCCTCCACTGAGCGCACTATCGGTCGGCGCGATTTTCACATTTGAGGGGCAATTTTTTATGTTCACTACCCCCTCCCCACCCCCCCCCCGAAAAAAATGATGCTCACTACCCTCCCCTTCCCCCCCCCCCCCCCACCTGAGCGTAATATCGGTTGGCGCGATTTCCAAAATTTCAAACACCCTCCTTGAAAAAAATCCTGCGTACGCCACTGCCCCCCTCTCTCTCTTTCTCTCTCTCTCACTACTCTATACTTTCCCCTTTTCTATCTTTCCGTTTTTGTATTTTGTATATGCCATTGTTTTACCCCCATCCCATTCTCGTGTTCAAGTTTATCCCACTCTTCCCCTTTCTTTGTATGATTCTTCCCATCTCTCTCTCTCCCTCTCCCTCTCTCTCTCTCTCTCTCTCTTTCTCTCTCTCTCTCTCTCTCTCTCTCTCTCTCTTCCGTCTATCTATTCAGCACCACAATCGTTCCCTTTCTTCCACCAAATTCTCTCTTCTCTTTTCTCACGTTGATGTTGTTGTGAGAAACTTTTAGGGTCAGTAAAGTCAAGTGATATATCGCACACAGCCCCCTGCTATTATAGTGCTGGCCTCAAAATAGAGACCCTGCCATGATATTCCAGACATTACTTCAGTTCTAATCCTGCTGGCAGGGAAGACGCTCTGTTTCTCACAGCTTTTGCGCTCAGTCGTCGAGGAGATCGTTGTCGCTGGGGCGTTTCGAATATTCAGGAGCTTGGTGCTCGTCGAGGGAGTCATTGCGGTTGGCAAGTTTGTAGTTTCCATGATTTTCCACCGGACGGCGAAATCGTAGAACGGTAAGTATTTACTCTTTTATCAACACGACAAATGAAATGCCTTGAAATAATTGCATTAGCCAATCTGAAAGTGGGTGCCCCGGCCCCCACATCCCGATCTTTGCTCTAGATTTATCATGAAAAGAGAAGAAGGGGACGGAGAAGGACGAAGAGGGAGAAAAGAGGAAAAAGATGATGACGTAGAAGAAATAGAAGAACAACAAGAAGAAAAAGAACAAGAAAAAGAACAAGGAGAACAAGAATCCCCGGGAGGGGGAGGGAGGGGGGGGGGGGGGTTACGAAGATTTGGTTTGTACGGGGTGTGCCGCTCAAGCCTCGAAACCCTACCCATTTTTTAAGGGTCATTTGGAGGATTTTTCTCGAAACGAAGGCACACTTTTCACAATTTTCGGGTGTTTGCCATGCAAAAACCTGAAATATTTGTTTTTAAATTTCGACAAAGTGGACCCATGTTTAGTGATATTTTTGTTTTTAAATGGGACCCGTGTTTTGGGATTTGTGTGTGTGAAAAAGTGACCCATGAGAGCGGCACAACCCCGTTTGACTTAATATGTGAGTTACCCCCCCCCCCTTACCCCCGCCGGGACAAGAACAAGAAGGAAAAGAACTACGAGAGGAAGACGAGGATGATGATGATGATGAAGGAAAAAAGAAGAAGGGCAAGATCAAGAAGAAAAAATGAGAAGGAGAATGAGAAGAAGAAGATGGTGGTGATGATGCTAATGATGCAGAAGAAGATATAAGAAAGAAAAAAAAAGGTAGATAAAGGAAAATTGCCTACAACGACGAAATAGACTTTTTCGTTGAGGCAATAGAAATAGAGGCCGGAGAAGACGAGAAGATTTTAAACAAGTTGAGAAGTTCAAGGCCTCTTTGAAAACCTCACCATGAATGTGACTGCCAAACTGGGAACATTAAAAGATTTGCATCTCGTACTCACTGTACATATAGCTTGATACCACATTGATTGTTTTACGCCCCTTTCACGAGATGGAGAAAATAAAACAAAACAAAACAAACAACAATAATAATTTTCCCCGGTAACTGAAATGCTACCATCTTGTTCAATTAATTGTGGATAGATTGATGTAGAATTCAATCAATTCATTTTCCCTTGGAAACGGTTTTGAATTTCCCTTTGAAAGCTAGGAATAAGTCGTTTTTGTTCCATTTTCTACCATGTTCTTTATTCTTCATATAACTGGGTCAGGTAAGAAGGTCTTGGAATGCCAGTTCAGTTCATGTTGATATGTCATTGGATCTTGATTTTCAAATGTGCTTGTTGACATGAAAGGAACATTCCATGTTACCGTATATGATTATTATTGGCTCGGCTTGAACCATCACCCCTCCCCTTTATCCCGATTTCTACTGTATAAGTCTCCTTTAGTTGGCCTACTCAGACAAATGTGCTATCAAAATAAAGTAACATTCTTCTTCAGTCAAAACACTCTAAAAATAGCTGGGTAAACTTTTACCTACGTTTTGGTTTAAAAAAGGGGAGCATGAATGTTTGTTTGGTATGTAACCAAATATTGGGTAACACGTACCCAAGGTTGTGTACAATTTTACTCAACAAACATGCACATTCCATCTTTTTGCTTAAATAGGAATGCAATGTGAAGAAATGTTCAACTGTATAGAAACTGATTCTGAAGTACATTCATTCATGATAATATTTTTAAAAGATGATAAAAGATATTTCCATTAAAAAAAGAAAACAAGATGACAGGATACCACAATATATTTTCGAGGCTTATTTCAGTCAAATCGGGCGCTTTGTGATTTCATGCGAAAACCACGCACTTTTTGGCCCGAATTCACAAAGGAGTTTTGTCGACAAACCTAGGTTTATGTGCGTCATATGACGTGTTTCGACGCTTATTTTTTTTTTACAAACCTGGTTTGTAAAACGCGTGAATTCGGGACAAAAGTTCAAAGAAGTTCTGGATCCTTGTCCTAAATATCACAATGGCCGCCCCCGCCTCCTTAAAATGTCACCCTGTTCACCTACAAATTGACGCCCCCTAAATGTAATTCATTATAGAAAGTGTTTGACTTATACTCAGAAGAACATTGACAAAGGTGAACATCCCAAGAACAAAAAGCTAAACAACTTGAGGATACTTTTGTATCCACTCTCCCTTCTGACTTACAAGTTATTATTTAGACATGTTTTGATGTGCCCAGTTATGTTTGACCATAATCAGGGCGCTCATTTATTGTTTTTATTTACTAGCTATTTTCAAAAGTGTTAACACTTTTTTGACTTTGTATTTTTCACGAAAAACTAAACAAAACACTTTGACATGTCAGCACTTTCAACTAAACGAATTGATTTCTTCTAAGAATTAGGTCAAACGCCATGCACCCTCCAATTTCAATAGTCAAAGGGGTGAAGTGTCACGTCTTATAATATTTGGAAATCCATCTTGCAAACTACAGAAAACAGATGCTACAGCACTAGGTTTACGCTTTACATACACCCATTTATCAAGTAGTCACCTAGAATGTCAAAGTAGGTCACAAACTTGATCTAATTTCCAGAGAAAAAAAAACATACGTGAATCTGTATAGTTTAGAGTATTTCTCAGGGTTATCCTCATTATTCTACAATATGTGTTTCTCGTCTGATAAGTACTTGACCCGACTTAATTCTTTCGAATGCTGAGCAATGTGGGGAACAGTTTTATTTCTACTTAATACAACCTAGGCTTTATTCGAATCTAGCCTTTAATTTCCGTCGCTGACCGTCGAAATTTATATTTTGCTCTCACTGAAATGTCGACATATTTGATAAAATGTCGTTATTAACGCTTTGACAACTAAATTTCTCGTTTGCATAAGCGATAATCCTTGAGAATAACTACTTTAGGGATATAATAGCTGGTGTTTCATGAGTTTAAACCTAGCTAATGACACAACCATGACGGCAAAGACTTTCCATTAAACAAAACTAAGGCAGTTTTAATAGCCATGTCTATCACAATTTTGTGCGCGAGTGCTCTCAGTGACGTAATACGTATCGATTTCTATGGGATATAATATTCACGCAATGAAATTGCCCTAAACTAGATTTCTCAAAACAGCTTGGGTAAAAATTATGGTTTTATCAATAGTTTTTGTTTTTTGAAACTATTTCCTTGACGTTTTGTGTCAAAGGTCAAGCCACAGGAGGACATTCTTGGATTAAATTTGATTTAAGTTTTTATTAAATATCATGATCTGGTTTCTGAATCAGAGGCCTATTTAAAACTCAGGTGTGCGTACTTTATTCACACCAATAAAAAATATGTTGCTGGCGATTTTTGTGCTTTTCTTTTAAATCATAGACTCAGAATGTACCGGAAAATGTGAAACATTTTGTTGAAGTTAAGTTGATGTTGTCGCTGCTGTTGTCATTGTTGTTGTCATATCGTTGTTGTTATGGCTGCTTGCCAGAGATCTTTTTCTGAATTGGGCCTTTTTTTCCCTGTTCCGCCCCTGCCCTATATATTTCAAATAATAAGAATCTTCCTCAATTGCTTTGTTCACACGGCCCCAATTCGAAACTATTTAGTGTTTGGGGGGGGGGGGGGGGTGTGCCTACCAAGATTTACAAAAGCTTAAACTTTATGTTATGATTACCCCCAACTTATGAAAACTCCAGCAGAAATACCATTGCATTAATAGTTTGTATGTATTAACGTATGCCAAGTTTCGTCGAATTGTTGGGCGCACATAACTCTTCTTCCATATTCATTGGTATAGCGTTTTATAACTGGAAATCTAGCATTGATCTCTTTCTTTAAAGATTTTTTTTTCTTTAACCCTTCCGAATGCCTCGAGGTTAATTCAATCAGCTCTCGACCTGCATGGCAGGTTAAATCTCAACCCTAGATAATTGAAAATCATGACTTCTGCAGCGGGATTCTTTAAGTCACATGACAGCTGAAAAACGGGAGAACTCGATGAAAGAAGGATTGCAAATGGTGGGAAAATCCCATTTGATGCAGCAAGTCAAAAACGTTTTATTTAACATCGCGTAAATTGTTATCCCTTTTATGATACGTGCTCTCTCAACGTACACGAGTCTATGCTCACAATAGTGGATTCCACTCTCAAGCAGGCCCGTAGCCAGAGTTTGATGGGTTTTTTTTTTGGGGGGGGGGGGGGGAGGGGGGGGGGGCACATATTGTAATCGATCGAGGTAAACAAAAAAAGGGGTCTAAAAAAGTTCAACCGTTCTTGGAAAATGTTTTGGGGCACGTGCCCCAAACCCCCGTGCCCCCCGTGGCTACGTGCCTGCTCTCAAGAGAGTAATTTAACCGCTACTTGCGAGCGGATTGTGATATTATAGAGTGGATTCAACTTTGGAGGAAAGGAAGCGATCCCCCCAAAATATTCAAAAAATGTGGATTTCCAATTCCCTTGAATTTGTTTAAACAGAAAACATGGAGCAGAGCTAAAAGTACGTACAACAATGTTGCACGCACCGGTCAACTGCAAAAATGCAGAAAAATTAGAATTATTGAAATATTTCTTGTCAGTATTTACCTGTTATAGAAATGATTATAGAAACAAGACATCGGATTTTTATTGAACGATCAATAAACGGTAAAAGAAAAGTTCATCCTAATAACAATGACAAGCTTTAGACAGAATTTACAAGTACATGTAGCTTCAAGATCCAATACGAGTAATAATTTAGTTTTACAAAACGTACCTACGAATAGGAAAACAAAATATTGGAGCCAGCTTTTCTATCAAGAATTACATATCAGAGAATCCATCACAGATAAGAATTTTTATTTTCATAGTGTATCCATCTTCGGCTCTCAAGACTTTTTCACCTATTCACATATCCAAAGATTTTGTATAGGGCACATTTTTCAAACAAATTACATTAGCTTATAAAGCTCACTACGCCCAGCAGTGGTCCGTGGCATTTGAATTTGGCTACCCTAGAAAAATGTAGTCCGAGTATCGATTTATAAAATCAGGTTCTAGAACCTTCGCCAAAGGGTCAACATTTTCCCAAAATTTCCATCAACTAAAAAGAAGAAGAAGAAAAAAGAAAAAAAAAAGGATTTCCCTAGTTTGCCATTTTCACCCCCCCCCTCCCCCCTCCAAAAAAAAAGGAAAGAGGTGCTCATATTTTTCAAATATGCGGACAGGAAATTGAATACATTTGTCAGACAAACGGGACCGACACGAGACCGACTAAAGACCGAAAGGAAAATTGCAGAACCCTAAATCGGTGGGTCCAAACTCCAAACAGTTAGAGTCGGTTTTGCGGTGTGTCGAGGGTCTAACCTAATTTTCGAGGGGAGTTTGGGTGAGCGGTGGTGATTGATTAGTTGGCACATGATTATAGTAAATGCGAGGGGGCACCGTGGTATATTGATGAAGGCTCTTGACTCACATACGTAAGGTCATTGGTTCGATCCTCGCGTGGTGCATATAGTTCCTTGGACAAGGCGTTTTACCCTCATGATGTAATCCCTCTTTACCTGGCCCAGTTGTAAAAAGGGGTACCTGGCGATGTTGGGGGTAATTGCGTGTCCCGCATGAAGAACAGTACTGATGGACTATATACCCTTGGTATAATTAGACCCTGTTTTAGGAAAGGAAATGTGTATGTTCTAGATGATATAAAAACTTGAGCATTGTAACGGACATCTTTGGTACTGGTGCGACTGGTCTCTTTATTAATAAAGGCATATCAGAAAAATACAGACCTCATATTAATTTTTATCTCTAGTAACGAATTAAATTGTAGTTTATAAAGGTTTCGTCTGGCTGGTTGTGGTGATGCAGCAGGCTGCGGGTGGATGTTTCGTTTAGGCCGGCCGCGACCGGACGACCTATTTGTGACAAAGCTTTCTGACGCTCCATTCGGATGGCTGCGGCGGGGGCTGCGGCCGGCGCATACATGCGGATATCTTCGGTATAAGTGGTCAAAGAAAGCAGTGTTTTGCATTGAATATAGATAAAGGTAGGAATACTTTTCGTTGTAAAGAAATAAGAATGAAACGCGAAGTTTCTTTCAATACAAATAATCGTCCAGATGTCAAGCAGAGTCAAATTAAATTGGATTTCAAGAATCACCTGATCATTCGTTTTTGCCCGAATCGGCAAAAGTTGGAATGACAGATATATATTACCCCACCCAATGACTTCTCATACTTGACATAGTCATCATGTTGAGTCCTATTTGTCTTATTTATAATCGCAGAAGGGAAGCTGGGTAGTGGATTACATACAAACTAAGACCTTTGACCTACATGGATGTCGGTGACTTTTTTGGGGGAGTGGGGGGGGGGGGATTGGGTGAGGAGACCAGGATTTGAAGGTTGATCAAACGCACCATGCACGGATGCTGGTAGATTCATCATCTACTAGTTGCGACTTTTTAAGAAAGCTTTCAAAAGTTGCGGTTTTCTACGATGTAGCCAATATTTCAAATTCTCGGATGTAACGAATGCAGATTTTGTTACGTACTGTTACGAAACGCCCCGAAATGCCAGCCTGAATACCGCCCCATCGTCCGTCAGGCTCCATACACTTTAATCATATTAATAAGAAATCATCAATGAAAACGTTAATGCAAGTTGAATTGTAGGCTATTGCAAGGATTCTTGAAAATAGGAACTAGCTTGAATCAACGTCCATAAATCAAGTCCCAATCAATCATGTTATTACTGATTACTTTGAAGAGCTTATAAGTTTCGTTTTAAACACAATCGGTAAGACTTTCAGAAAATCAACCTGAGGCAATGTCGATAGCCTTTCAAAAAATAAACTTAGGCGGATTCGAGCACTTCTGGTATTTCCTATTTAAATCATGTTCAGTTTATTTGATAAGCAATCGTAATAGTTGAACATTTAAATAGGCTGGAAGCCTCGCTCTAATTTTATTTCTTGAATGTCTTTGCGATTATGTTTTGTTTTTGTTTTAGTACTTATGTTGTTGTTGCTAGCTGTGCGTGGTATTGTTTTCGACATGTAAGAATGTAATTATTGATTGAAGCCCAGTTGACAAAAACTAATTGCGAACTTTTATGGGTGACTCGAGCAGGGTATATCTTTTTAAAATCAATCTCTTTGAATTTAAATTTAGCTTTAATTTTTTTATTTTGTAGATAAGATTAACTCATTCTGATCTCGTATGAAAGCATTAACCTTTGAACCGATTAGGGATCCAAAGGCGACAATTATTGCCTCGTGGTCAACTTCCAACACTTGTCGAACTCCTAAATTTACTTGACATCAACCTGAAACACAATCAAGCACAATCAAATCTAAAGCTTTAACTCATACAATGATCTTTTCTTGACGAAATAAATATGAGATCACTTGACGTTGGATCATATCGGATCAACTTCTAAATGGACTTTAAAAATCAAGTTGATCTTATTGTTTTTCTTCATTAAATTGCTATTATGAAAGTCTCATGCCGTATAAAAACCACACATCAGAAAAAGAAAACAAACAAAGTTGGGCATAGGCTTAATTAATTAATGAAGAACTGGAAATACTGCACACTTAAAGGTATAGACCAGTTCTGGTCGTGCGATTGCATTGTGAAAGAAACGTTGTGGAATCAATCAGATATGGTTGATCACCTAGCATATATGTGTTGGTGTGTACTGCAAGGTTCTGGAATCATCAAAATGATAAGAAATTTGACCCAGTCTTCGTAAAGTTACAAGCACTGTTCACAGAAAAATGTATATGGGACTACGTTATATCTATCCAGTCCGGATATATACAATAATTTACCAAATATATCAATGAGTAGGCGGTTTCCCGTAAAAATTTGTAACACCACGTATTAGTCAAAACATATTCTTTCACATGATTGGTAATAAGGGCTTCCGTTTCATTTTTTTGAGAGGGGGGGGGGGGGGGGGGGCGTTTCCAAAACTGGTCTATACCTTTAAATCTAGATTGCCTTCATATTGAGTCGTTTACCTGCAAGAACTTACCTGGGAGAGAGCTGACATGAATGTAGCCTGCATGTGGCCTTACAGAGGTCACAATCAGAACGTGCCTATGACTCTGATCCCAATATTAGCCGATATCAGCAGGACTTCTGTTGCCATGCCAATTACAGATTCAGCTATCCAAATAATAAGGGGAGGGGTGTTGAATGTTTCCATCGGGATGGTTCCTGCCTGCTCCTAACTTGTTTGCATTGTCTACTATAGGCGGGATACAATACAACCATAAAAATAAGATATTGCATGTGCTGGATAGGTTGATGTTACAGTTGTATTAGGTAGATTTTTATCCTCTTACTTTTAACCGACTAAAATGAAATGAATCTGATTAATTCTTTCAAAATGTTGCTATTCTTATTTATTTAGTCATCTTAGTTTCTATTTCTATTTCTTTCTTTGTTCTACTTTCTTATTCCACTTTGCGGATAAGCAGACATTATCCTCTTTTAAGAGCTATTTAAGGGAGCAATGGACCTACCATGGATCTCGAATAATAGTTTAATGGTTTTAATCAAACATTACACAATTGTATTTGTGCTTAAATGGAAGACATAATGACCATCGATCCTTGACATTAATTTCATTGTCTTTGTTGAAGCCTGGTACCATACACTATTTACCTTTATCACTTGATATATTTCCCCCAATTGTCATAACTTCGATCCTTCTTTACAATGCCTTTAGCATGTCTAAATAGATTAAGAATTATCTAGGTACGTATTGAACTCCTGGGTCACGAGAGAAAACTGTAGATGAAATGCATTGTCTTTATATTTTACGAACCGAGTTATGAACGTACTCTTTACTAAATCTGGCTACAAACTTTTAATTCTAAATCAAGTGAATTATCCACTAACAAAGTTGATTACCATTAAAAATGATCAAACCAAACATTTATTCTTTCCCAACAGATACCAGTAAATTCTGCTTCATCTTGTTAAGGACGGACCCGTCATGGATCGATTTGTGCCAAGCTTATTAGCGGTTCTTTGTCTGATCGTCTCTCTTCAGTGCTCAACGGCCCGCCGCCGAGGACCCTACCAAGGTGAAAATAATGATGGATGCTGATAATGAAGACGACGACGACAGTGACGATGATGATGGTCATAATGATGATGATGAATAAGACGACGACGACAATGATGATAGATATGACGACGATGATGATGATGGTGATAGTAGCAGTGGTGATGGTAGTGGAGATGATGGTGTTCGCGATGATGAAGATGATGATGGTAGTGATAATGGTGATAATGATGGTTGTTGTTGTTGGTGGTGGGGTGTTGCTGATGAGTTGTTGTTGTTGGTGATGTTGATGGTGTTGGTAGTGGTCATGGTAGTGTTGATTTGATGGTAATGATGGTGATGACGATGATGAATATGATGATGAAGATTATGATGAAGATGATAAAAACTATAATAGTATTGATGATGTGGACGATGATCATTATGGAAATGATTGTAAATATATTTTTTACTACCATTACTGTTACCGGTTTTACTGTTACCATTAATAAAATTATCATTAGGATCATCGATAATAGTTTTTGTTTATGTCATTATCCTTGTAACAGCACTAATGTTTTTTGGCAAGACATTAATCTACATTTTCCACACTCTACCCAGGTGAGGTAAATGGGTATCCAGAAGTAGGAAATTCCTTGAATGCTAGAGCGCCTTTTCATGATAGCTCGGCTAAAGCCGGGGTAATAATTATGATTGCAGGGCCCTCAGGGAGAACAGTATCAATTAATTATGATGACACTACCCTGGATAAACAAGAAATATTATTATCATTATTATTATTATCACCTTTATCGCAGAAACAACAAATTGTGGATTCCAGAGAGCAGACCTGGCTCCTGAGTTAATGATCACCGGAGGCCGCATAGCCCAAGCGGGAGAATGGCCGTGGCAGGTGGCTTTGCTGTACGAAGATTCCTTTCTCTGCGGCGGACAACTTATCGTAGAGGACTGGGTCTTGACTGCATCGCATTGCATGTAAGTAGCGCATGCAGCCGTAGAGCGTTAATTCTTCTTTCCGTATACCGGTTGCATACGCAGCGTCATTTCCATTGCGCTGTTTAGTAGGACCAGGGTCTTTGGTATACAGTCAGGCACATAATGCATAATTATGACAATCCTATACTAGCATTCGCCAGGCACAGATGCAAGTCAATGGCGCAGGGATGCGATGGCTTAGCGCAAGGTTTGGGATTTAACAACAAAATTGACGTAGACGGAACATATATATATAGCGCATGTAACCGTCGACGTATTGTTCTTATTTCCTTTTACTGACTATACTGGGGGCGACACTTCCACCGCGCTACTTAGTATAGGACATTCAGACAGAAAATGCACAGCACAGGCCAAAAACTATTCCACAGGCACACACTTATTTCACAGGCACAGACGAAAGTCAGTGGCACAGGGATGCGACGGTTTAGCACAAAGTCATCAATCTGAGATGGATTGAAACCCATTATCTATAGTTTGACTGGCTTACGAGAGTCGATAGTCGCTCTTTGTTGACTAAAACCACCTCCCTTCCTCAAGTTCTTTTGTCCGTTGCACACAAGGCGTCACTTCAGTTGCCTAATCATCTGCGTTATATATATCTGAGAAGGCATGTAACACATGCGCCATGCAGATGTTAGAAACATTGTTTGCACTGTACATGATATCACTCCCACATGACGTGGCAAAGACCAGGGGGGCGTTTCACAAAACTTGTCATCAATGACAAATTACATGTTGTGTTATAAGCTACTGAAATCCTTGCTTCTGATTGGTTATCAGCAGAATTGTCACTGATTTTTGTCATTTGTCAGTGAAAAGAGCTTTGTAAAACGGGTCCCGGAACATTCAATCACTGACGCAGACCTACGCCAATGCATGCAGGTGACGCATCGTGTACTATGGATTTGACTTATTTCTCTTTTCATATCCTTATCCCTGAAGCACCCACTTGAACAACCCAATGGGACACAGTATCATGATGGGTAGCATCCACCTCAACAACTTCACCGATGGGAGATACACGCAGGTCAAGGAGGTCCTTGAAATCTTTCCTCATCCGAACTACTCTACGCTCATCAGCGACTTTGATCTCGCCCTCCTGCACCTAGCGGAACCTTTCGAGCTGACAGACTATGTCCAGACCATCTGCCTTGCCAAGGAAGGCATGGAAGAGATCTATGAACCTGGTACAGCCATGTGGGTGTCCGGATGGGGCGCCAAACAAGATATGGGTAAGAACAGAATTCCTTTAGACTGTGAAGCGTTGTCAAGTAAGATACGGTTACTATAGCTATAGGCGGACGGAGTACGTAAAAATTCGCCATGTGGATTTGAATCGTATTTATATAACTCCGACTGTGAGACTGATCTTGATATCTTAAAGCCTATCTGTACTAGTTTGGCCAGGGGGATTATAACTCCCTGCAAGGTCACTGACAAGTGGTTATCTCATCAAATCAGCTCTCAATTAACATAAGAAAAAGGGGATCACGGGGGACCAACAGGCACCGACTAGGCATTGTTTGCTATATAGAGGGCGCAAGTACCTATAAGTAGTGCAGTGGGGCTTTAAACTTTTCTCCCTCTTAAAATTCTCTTAATTTGAAATTGTATAGGTGTTAATATGTTGCGTTAAATTGCTATTGAGACACTACTTGTTGTTCAGGTTTCTATGAATTTCGATTGCTTTATGTCAATTATGATGATTTGAAATGGAAGTAAAATGTTTTGTGCCTGGGCGTATGTTGATATTTGTTTGTGATAAATAACAACCCAGCATGAGCCAAAATATTTTGGCGTGGTCATCGACCAACTATCGAGCTGATCCCATACATGTTCAATCAAATATCACCAGGGGTTCTTATAGCTTCTCTTTCTCTGTACGTTTGTATTGCGTACTTTGTTTTGTTCTTGTTTTTCTTATACAAATCGAAAGGTATACATTTTTTATTCCGTTACGGGGTTCCATCTTTCAATTTCATCCTTCATTGGGAACTTGTACACATGCCAAGACTTTTCTTCGAATAACGTTAGGCTTCCAATCCTGCTGGGTTTATAAAAGATCAACGACCCAGGTCGATTGAATACCAGATGCAAGCGCGGTAAATAATACCACCTGCTTGAATTAGCTTCAAAAGGATCATGATTTGGCAAGGTATATGTTGATATTAGGCGGGACTGCACTACCTGTAGCTACTTGCGCGCTCTATATAGCAAACAATGCCTAAGCGGTACCCGTTGGTCCCCCATGATCTCCTTTTTCTTATGTTAATTGAGAGCTGATTTGATGTGACTGATAACCACCGGTCAGTGACCATGCGGGGAGGTCTAACCCCTCCTGGCCAAACTAGTGCAGACAGGCTTTATGTCCCATTCGATTATCGAGCATGATAGAATGATTAATAAAAAGATAGTTACATGTAATTGTCATTCGTATTTCGTCGCATTCCAGCTTTGGTGTGGCTATCAAGTATCAAGTTACAATCAACCTTTGACATGCCCTTAGTTTAGAACAAGATTAGGGTTGTATGCAACGTCTCGTTCACGTACCGTCTGCAAAGCAAAAAAACTGAAGTAAAAATGTTTATTTTTTCATTCACTTATTTAAAAATAATTATAAATGGTTATAAAATAAATTCTCAGAAGAGCAATGGTCCGAAGGTTCAACCTTGGGGACCCCACATGAGCTCATTAAGGAATTAGATGAAAACCTACTGCACTCTGTTCACGGGGCAGTGTTAAAACATATATACGTGACAGTTATCAGAATAAAATCCTTGAATAAGAAAATTTATTAGAATTGATATGAAATTGACTCAGCCTACATTGGACTACACACTTCTGGTATGGCTGTTTGGTCCTCGCACTCAAGTTATTTCTGGTCATATTTTGAAGAGAAACCCTTTTCAGGAAACATTTCTCTTATGACTTTCTACCAAACTGATATGAAAAAATGACAAAGCCTTATCTCATTTGTAATTATTCACCTTTTTCCAGAATCTGGCTCTTCTTTAAACGTCAGTTGTGCCTTCCTTTCCTTTATGCTCCACAGGTGGACTTCCTAAAACCTTGCATGAAGTGGAGATTCCTATGGTAGACCATGAGCAATGTCGGGTCATGTACATAGGTGAAGATAATATCACACCCAACATGATATGTGCTGCACCTGTAGAAGGAGGGAAAGGACCATGTGGTGTAAGTATGATCATTAATGTATTCCCTTAACCTTTACCGGTCGATGATATAGAATCGCATGAATACATTACAACCATTTACCCTATTCTCTTAAAACACGATCGCAACTGCTTTCGAGAAATCAACCTATAAAGGCAATTTCAATATCCGTGTGCGTCACTTACTTAAAATGTGCGAACATGCCAATGATTTCTATGGAACATAAGATGTGTCGAATATATAACTCTACATCATGAATAGATGAGAGGTACATACACAATTTAAAGTTGGATGACATTAACTACAACAACAAGATCGTAACAACGAGTACATGCATGGGACAACATGAAACATTTCGACTTGTATTTCACCATCATAACACACAAGTAAGGAAACTTTGAATTTTATGAACTTTATTGCGATGGGCGAGGACCCTGTATATAAACACTGTGTTTACTTTTGACGATAGTTTGAATCATATTTCCTGTTTTGTTTGTATTGAAATACAAGATTTCAAAATCGGTTGCCAGTATGTCTACAAGATGTCTTACGGATATGTGGGTCATTGGCGCAACCAGGATTCTATGGGTCGGGGGGGGGGGGGTACATCTGAAAAAGTGTACTATGATTTTGATTTTCAAAGGAATATTTATGTCTGAATATTCTTTGACAAAAGCAAGAAAAAACTCCAATCTTCCGCAGAAGAGGAGGCACGCAATTTTGTCCCCCCCCCCTCCACCGGGAAAAGGGGGGGGGGATGCGTCCCATATGTCTCCCCCTTTAATCCATCATTGTACGTTCCTATGGAAATGTTGAAGGCGAATGAGAGGTATTGTGTGAAACAGTGCCTCAAAGTCCCCATGGGTTTGACATACGTGCTGTGAACCAATTCACTAACTCGACCTCCAAGTTCATGACTATTTTCCGGTAATTTTAACATTGGCGCAGCAGCGGGAAGCAAAGGGGCTAAGGGATCGTTTAACAATGTTAAATCTGAGATACACGGCCCTACATGTTATCAGTGTCTGTGATATGGTGTAATATTGAAGCCCTACAAAAATTGCGCTTCAAAATGATCAAGAAGTGCCTCAAAAAAGTAAAAAAAATCTTTGAGTGACCGGTTTTACCATACTCGTTTTCCCCAATAGACTGTAGTGTTTTGAAAACCGTCATGCGAACGGTTTTCAAAATTTGTAATTCCAATCATAAATATCTTGATAATCAGACAGGCGATCGGCTTGTAAAAGTCATGGGGGTCCTGACTGACCTAAAGGTTTATAATTATCATTGCATCTTGAGCTAAATCCAGAATTTAGTTTCAGAATCTGAGACAAAGTTACCGGATCCCTTTAACGGTGCATCGAATAACGAGGGTTAATAAGTTGAAAAAGAGATAAACAGAGGGAGAAAAGAAAGTAGAGAGAGGAACGGGAACCCAAACTCGTCCCAAACTCGTCCACGCCCTCTCCACCCTCCCCCCCCCCCGTCGACATGACATCATTGTCACTGAATACATTAAAGGGAAATCCAATCTTGATACCAGACTACTCTAGAAGAAAAGAGAAGAAGCTGAAAAGTTTGAATGAAGTCATACCAATAAATAGATAAGGTCATGAATTTTTGACAGAACTAATCACTATGGGTACGGGCTTTTAAAATGGGCTGAATTGGGACGTTTCTGTGATATAGGGGTGGACAACTTTCCGAATACGGAAAAGGCCTATTACAAATCGTCTCTCAATTCATTTTTTCCCTCCTTACTTTTCAAAATATCGTTTAGTCAATAACGCCATTTTGGGTCAGTTTAACTTAATTTAGTTAAGAAATCCTAGTTCCTGAAAAAACCTTATGCGTATTACATGCTTATACTGCTATTTCTATCAGTCACGACCATTATCACTATGACAATGATGGTGATTATTAATATTACCAACATTATTGTTAATATTGTTATCATCTTCGTCAATCGGTCGTACGTATTGATGATATTCTTCAAAATTTATAATCCTATGATTATCTTTTATAGTAATAATGTAATGGTTTTGTCTTTTATTGTTTTTTTCTTCTTCTTCTTCTTCTTCTCTTAATGTTTTTATCATCATTATTATCTTTGTCATTATCATTTTATTACTATTATCATTATCCTCATCATTATCATTATTATTGTAATTATCATCATCGTCATCATCATAATCGTCATTATCATCAGAATAGTCGCTAGTATTGATATTATTTGGAGTATATAATACATACGCTCTAGATGAGATGGTGGGGGAATGTGATTAGTTGACATTGATGGCACTGTCCAACTTGTACGTTTTTCGGTGATTTTTTTTTAAAGCTTTCAGAATGACAACGAAATTACCCTTAAGATATGATTTTCGTTGCCAGGGGGACAGTGGAGGACCTCTTGTGTTAAAGAGAGGTGATCAATGGTGGCTAGCCGGGACTGTACTGGGTGGTAATGGATGCGGCAGCCCAGACTTTCCAAACGTTTTCCAGAACGTCATCGCTTACCAGGAATGGATTGAACCGATTTTCAGTAACCGTCTCCCCGAAGCCCGTAAGTACCTATAGGGTTAACACCCTCCCCTTTTTTATGAAAAAGGAATGACCTATGAAGGTAATCATGATATCAACAAATATTATACTACATATACTTTGGCGAGATTTTTCTCCGCGATCAATGCCAGGCAATAATGGGTCGTTCACATATGACGCTTTTGACCGCCGCAGTTTCTCGCGTCATGTGCAAACGGACCTAAACACGAATTACTTTCTCCAACTCCTGACCAGCCACTCACCTAACCCTAATCATAAGCCAAATCCTAACCTTAAACCCGGTCGCAAGCTAGGAGTACACTCTATTTTTGATTTGATATTTTCAGGTGAAAGTGTCGACTGAGCAAATATCGGACCATCTGCATGTCTCAATTTGTTGCTACATATTTAATATGACTTCTTAAAACACACCAATGTAATCCACTTCAATATGAGTATCCTTAACCTTTCCAAGTACGAGACGGATAGACGTGTAGGTAAATAGTTAGATTCCAATTATGAAGTTCAGCCTCCTTTAGATCAAATCCACGAATCCGATACATCTACAGAATATTAAATGGAAGGGTTTAAGACGTTTGAAGGTATCTTAATAATCGAGTGGTTTAATCAATCGATTATAAATTACGAAGGTCGTCGGTTCGAGCCCCGGCACGACACGTATGTCCTTGAGCAAGGCACTTTATCTACATTGCTCCTCTCCACCCAGATGTCAATCGGATACCTAGTAAGATGCGAACGTCATCGTGGTTGTGCGCGTCCGTGAGGAAGGGAATCAGCTGGAATATTCCCCAGGGAGAGGAGAATGTACACTTTAATTTGTAGAATAGCAATTGAATTAAGTGACCGGGGTAATAATAATACTGTAAGTGCAGTGGTCAGTAAATTATGCTTTTTAAGAAACTGGTATTACAATTATTGTTAATAATAATTGATTAAATAATACTATTTATTTCTATACATATTTATCTGTTAATGTAGACATATCTAGTCATTTTTTTTTCTTCACATCTAGGCATTCATTTAGTTATTGATTATTGATTGATTGAATTGTCTCTTCTAATTCTTGCCAGAAACAACACGTTGCCGGGATGATCAGTTTAGCTGCAAAGAGGGTTGGTGCATTGATTACTGGAGACGATGTAACGTGCGTGAAGACTGTATGCTCTCCACCGATGAACTCTACTGTGGTAAGTACGGAGGAGTTATAGCCCTTCGTCCAATTGGTCCTATATCCCAGTGGTTCCTTGTCCAATAATTTCCCTTCGACCCTTTCTTACGCCCTATTGACCATACGCCGAGACAGACCTACGTCATATTTGGTCCTAGATGCCACTAGTCCGATAGGCCTATGCCCCATTGTAAGTTAGTCCAATTCGTCTTACGTTCCTTCGTTGTGCGTCACATTGGTCGAACATCCCGATAGCTTTAGGCTGGCTTCCTCCCATGTGTCCTCATTCCATCTGGTCTTACTGGTCCAACATGCATTAGGTCTTACATCTCATAGTTCGTACGTCACATTGATTCTATGTCCGATCGGTCTTACAACCCACTGTTCTTCATCCGACACCAAATTCAAACCATTCTTTCTATATCCCATACTTCACATATATAATCTGTCTAAGAACTCTAGGTAGGCCTGACACTGGTCTTGCGATCCACTGTTCTTGTTTCCTACTGGTCGTATGAGCCACTTTTCACATTCCAGTACGTCCCACTGATCTTACATCCACTTCGTCTTACAACCCATAGTTCCCACATCTGTGCTCCTCCGTAGGTAGTGGAAACTGTTTCCCCTAAATTCCACTGGTCCTACGTCCCTTTGGTTCTACAAATTCTTATTAAAAAAAAGTAACCATCGTTCCTGCATCTCTTTGATCATACATATGTTTATTTTCATAACCTAGTGTTTTTACATATTTGGTAGATTGAACTATTGAAATAGTAATCAAACGATGAGAACTGAAGTTACATGACGAAGTGCCCTGCCGACTGTAATTTAGTATTTTTTAAGTTCGACGATGTAGGCCTACATTGGGAAAAACAGATTTTTAAAAAACTTTATAGAAGATTTACAGAAAAAATCGTCACGCACGGACTGGATTATATCCTGATGGTATTGGACAAATAAATTTATCTTGCGGACACTGATACCATTTCAGGAAAATCTTCAAGCAAATACCGACAATTAGTTCTGTAAAAACTGTTATGCCATCCGTTTCCTAAAGCAAAGCTTTTCACTCTCCATCTATGTAACATCATTTCATTTACAATAGAGGAAGAACTGAAGCTGTTTGACATGCATTTTCTCCGTCGGCTGAGCTACAAGAGCATCATAAGGAATTTTACAGTGGAGAATTCTCTCGAGTGCGCCAAGGCATGCGTCAGGACGAGAAAGCCGATGAAATGTGGAGCTTTCGACACGGTTGTTGGGCTGAACGACACTCGGAATTGCTCGCTGGGTGTTGAAGCATACTCTATCAAGGAATTAACTCATGAAGAAGCCGAGGAGGCCGGGGTATCCCACTTCACCTACAGATTCTACCCAGGTAAGTTGTGATGCCCTTCTTTCGTGAACTGTAGGCCTGGGGGTGTTTCACAAAGATCCTAATTTGAAATTATCTCCAAGTTGGACTTAACAATTATGGAAAGCCGTTATCATCTTTGAAAATATTTTGTAAAGTCATTTTGAAAGTCATAAAATGTTGATTCAAATCACTTTTATTTTCTATTATCAAGGAGATGTTATGTTCCTTGATGTGTATTTATAAAAAGTCTTAAAAACTTAAATTTTCACTTTCGAATATACTTCATCTTAAGGCTACAAATGGCTCTCCATAATTGTTAACTCCAACTTAGAGTTAAAGTACGACTCAGGATCTTTGTGAAACACCCCCAGGTCATATGCCTATAAACGACATACCTTTACTATATATGCCTGTTGTACACACGAGGCGCAATTTCGATGGCGACATTACCTACGTAGGCCCAAATAATGCCTGTTACGACTGACGACAATTAGGCGTAGTTAGATTCTATGAGTATGAGCCTGGAGACCAATCCCGATCTTGATAAGGTGGGACCCAGACTTGTTTGATAAATGTTTCGGGTTCTGAAAATAAATTCAAAATAATAGAAAAACCTCAATGGTTTGGTAAACTATAAATTTAGATGCGCTATTGATTCTTCCCTTTTTTATGATTCGCCTACAGAAGTCGGAGAGGACGAGATAACATATCACATCGGGATGCTCATTTCACCGAGCACCACTCGCAACTCCGACCAAGTCAAATTCGTCTGGAACCTCAACCTGGATGCCCCCGACTCCAACACCATCGTCTTTACCGTCATGAGTGTGAAGTCGTGGACAGAAGACTGCAGTAAACTTGGAAAGAGGGGCATGCTGATTGTAAAACCAGCAAAAAGTAGGAAGCGAAAGAAGAACAGGGAAAGGGCTGCTGAGGAACCCGACAGCATTAACACATGTCTGTCAGAGCTCACGAAAGGCGACAAGTTGCGATTCCATAGTCTTAAGGCTAAAGTGGTCTTCTACACTACCCATCTTCGTAAATATGCGCTCACTCTCGAGTATGAACCAGGTAAAAGGCTACCTTCTTTCTCGCTTTATCCTCTTTTGCGTTCCCTGTCATGGTCGCGTAGCACGACCTCAACTACTAGCGAAAAATCACCTCAATGGCAATTTCAAGACAACGTTGTACATTCCATAGAAATCATGTTCAGATTAAGTTGAGTTCTGTTCATGCGATTGCATTGCGAAAGAAATGTAGTGGAATCGATCACAAAAGGTTGATCATCAACTTTTTTTTGTTGTCTCCAAAGGAAAATGAAGAGGTGTAACTTTTGTATGTAAATGTAAAAGATCATTGGTAAATTTATAAAGACCTATGTTAAATTATTTTGTTATTTTGTATCCAATGTATTATGTTATAAATGTACAATTTTCTTTGAGAGAAACGAATAAAAACCTATGAAAACAAAAAATCAAGCATAATAAGTATTGGTGTGTACTGCAGGGTTCTGGAATTATCAAAAATGATAAGAAATTTGACCCAGTCTTGGTTAAGTTACAAGCACTGTACACAGAAAGGTGTATATACTACACGAACACATGGCATATAAATCCGTTCCGATTCTTATGATGCATATTTAGAATATTAATGCATTGGAAGAGCAATGTTTTCAGGGAACGTATTTTATTTGATGTTCTACCACACTTGCATAATACCATGATAACGCTCACGAATTATGTTTCACCTCATCCCAGAGCTCAACCTTCTCTTTAAACACGACTTTGCCATGTTTTACACATGTCAATAGGTGACGCACAATGCTACTGAAATTGCCTTTGGATGATTTTCCGAAAGCAGATGCGACTGTGTTCTTTCATAATCGTTATAAAATTACGTCTTTCTTCTAATCGCATGTTCTCTTTACGGTGATGGATTACGGTGGATTTCCCACATTATTATGGTGGTGGTGATTATTTTACCTGACTGCTAAGAAAACATAAATGCTTGTTAGTAAGCAACCAGATGGCCGACAGCTTTAGGTCCTCTCCGAGGGACCTGGTAATGAGGATTAATGCCTTACCAAAGGACACTAGCGCATCGACTTGATTTCGAACCCGGATCACCCCTTCATTTATAACTCTCTATTTATCTTTCTCCCATTCTCTTGTTCATTTCCTCTTGACCTCTTCATGGTCTTGGCTATTTCTTCTCGTTGACCTCTGATTATCGTCGTATTTCTCTTTTTTCAATGGTTGCTTTTTTCCATTCGTTTGAATTTCCCCTCTAAAGTAGGCTTAAAATTCTCTCTTTTTTCATTACATCTAAAATAATGTATTCCTTAAATGTAAATGCAATTCATTATTTACGATGTTCTAAGTATTTCCACCTCGCTATCTTCACATTTTCTTTCGATACCTCTGCCTCTCTATCATTACTCACTCTGTTTCTATTTTCAAATTTTTATTTTCACAATATTCCCTCATCGAATAGGTGCCCTTCATCCGTTTCGTACACTATTTCCATAGGATACTATGATTTTGTAAACGTAGATTTCATTTTCAGAATATCATTTTAGATGAACTGGGGGTGTTTCACAAAACTTATCATCAATGACAAATGACAGTTTTTGTTATAAGCTAGTGAAATCCTTGCTTCTGATTGGTTATCAGCAGATTTGTCACTTGATTTTTGTCATTTGTCATTGAAAAAAAGGCTTTGTGAAACACCCCTCCCTCCCCTGATCTCATCAATTGTCCAGGTCATGTGACAGATCAGATACAAAAGTAACTGTTTATTTTCCAAATAATATTAAATGTTAGGTTATTGTCAATTTTGTAGCGGATTGTGACTTTACAACGTAGCCTTTTATTTCCCAAATGAAATGTTTTGTTGGTATTGTCTGATGACATAATGATGTTCTGTATCATTAATTTCCAGAATACAACTGCACTAAGACGATAATGTCCCCAGGTACCCTAAAGTCCCCGAAGTACCCCGGTAAATACCCACCTTCTCTTGAGTGCAGGTGGCACTACAAGGCGTTGCCTGGAAACGTCATCAATGTTCAGATGCGCGATTTCATGGTCGAGAAGGTACCCGATTGCGAGTTTGACTACGTTCAGGTAAGGCAATGCTTCCCGAGGGGTGGAGACATAGCCTAAAAATTTCAGGGGGAGGGGGGGGGGGGGGGGGTTAAGGGGTCACCATTACTTGTGGAAGAGGAGAGTACTGGATGTCTTTTGTGGTGAAGCACGTTTCATCATACACTCTCATTCAATATTCCGTGAGAGAGTGTAGCGACCGAGGACGAATTTGCATTTTGACTATTATTAATACTTGACATTTTAATTCATTACAGAGCTGTAATATGTAGTGTTACGAATTACAAGAGAACAGAACGATTGCCTTTTTGAGGGGTATTTTTGACATTTTTGTGGGGCACCTGGGGGAGGGGGTCACCTTAACGCCCACCCCTTTGCTATGCCATTTTCAACGGATGCACGACACTCGCTCCTCTGACAGTTGCTCCCTAGAAATTCTCTACACTAACCGAATACTTAACTTGAAACAATTTCACTCGGTAAAGTGTGATATATGCTTCTAATATAATAATCAGTTATTACTTTATCAAACGAATATTTTTTGTAATGTTATTACAATTTCCCTTTCGATTCCCCGAAATGATATGGAGTAGTAAGAGTTTTCCTCTTTGGAGCCATTTCATGCCAGTTCTACTGTGCCAGACGAGGCCAATGAACAAGATCTATCCAATGTTAGGAACTGCTTTGTACTGGGATGGAATTGTCGATAATCTCTATTTCACTCATTATTCAATTTTTAGATATTTGATGGGAATACGACGGAGGCTACTCAGTTGACCGAGAAACGATGTGGCTTTGAATGGACAGACATTATCACGTCAACCAGTAATCAAATCCTCGTCGTTTTCGTCTCAGATTCTGAGGTCATGAAGACGGGCTTCAACGCTCTAGTCACATTCGAACGAAGTAAGTAAACACACATACACGTGTACAGTGACATCCAGCATTTATACAGTGGCGAATCAAATACTAACCTCTGACCGGCAAAAAGTTCTAAAATTATTTGAGAAGAAAAGTCCTTCAGAATTGTCAGCTTTTTTCGGCAGGGGAGGGGGGAACAGTTGGGGGACACAATGTTTTGTTTGTTCTTAAAATGTACTAAAATATTTTAAGATTGTCTAGGGGGCTTCCCCGCCCCGCCCCCCCCCCCCAAATCCGGGAACGCATTCATGTTCCCAGAATGTCCGGTAAAGGGGTATTTTCCACGCAGCAAAGTCCGGCTCGTAATACACAAAAAAAAAACCACCCGTATTGACTTTACACACCGGACCTAGGGGGTCGGGGTGCTTTCAAAGGGAGGGAACATGCATACGCGTACCCTAAATAATACTTAGTGGGGGGGGGGGGGGGGTGCTGCTTGCCTACCTCCCCCTTCCCCCTTGAGTCGAGTTGTACCCCGTTGCCATTTTGCTGACCATAACGAATATCGGTTGCTGCAAAACCCATCTGCCAAAGACTCCGGCAAATTCTTTTCTTGATTCAGGCAGTTAAGGCTTCATAATTATAATCGAATCAATTTGTATAGATGGCCCCTGATTGGTTAACAGTAGGGACGTTGCTCTTTAAACTGTACCTTTGTTCAAGTTTGTCGTCAGTCACCTATGAGCTGGATTTAGTTACCGCACTTCCATATCAGTGTAGAGTTCATTCAGCTCCGTCAATCCTCAGTTGATCAAATGCTTGATCTAATTCACACCTTCCGTTTCAGTTCAGTTCAGTTCAGTTTATTTTATTCAAAACCACACAAAGCATGATATAATCTGTTACATAAAAAGAGACTGGTAATAGTAGATCAATCAACATATTCTAACTTGATTACATCGTAAATCGTAATGCTAAATTTCCTGAACTTTTGTCACTTACTTGTTTTCAGGCACCGGCTCAAGACGGAGAGGACAGCGACTGACTGCAGGCGACACGGGCGACTCTGTGAAGGACTCGAACTTCGTGTTTTATAGCCTTTGGGGGACAGCCGCTTTCGCTTTCGTTGTAATCACTATACTGGGCATTGTATGCTACATGTTGAAGAAACGCCTGAATGCAGCAAACGCCCTGGTTAGTACCTTCAAGAGGAACAACATCGTCTTCGATTCTCACTGAAAGCGTGAAGTCAAAGGCTTATACTCTTGAAGGTGGACTAGTTTAAAACTTTGTTTAACTTGGTCCACTTGATGTATGGAGCGCCAAGTGTAAAGATCTTTATTCTATACAAATTACTGTTGTCGTATTTTACCAAAATAAACGAAAAATATTCTGTCATAAAATAAAAATTATACCGGTAAATTAATTTCATATTGAAATGAATTTTGTTTCTTCATCTAGTTACAGAACTATTGTTTTTTTTAAATTAGGGAATAGGGAGTTTTGCACTTAGCGCTCCGTAAATCAGTATACTAAGTCTACACCCTTAAACCTGGAACTGACATTAGTAGTACGCCTATAATCGGTAGCTCGCGAAGTGAATGGCTAAAATCTGCCGCTGTCAATAAATTGTTCAAGTAAATCAGAATATTGTTTCTATAATCCAAGTTTACTTTCCAGTATGTGTCATAGTTTGCACAAAGAGTGCATACGTTACATTTTGGTCCTGATAACAATTTATGAGAGTTTGTCGAATGGTAAGAATTATTTGAATTTGTATTGTAGAAATGTTTGAATTTCAAATGTCAAGAATTCAAATAATTCCTGCCAACTTACAGACCCTCAAGAATGTCATCCTCATCGTTCATGGTTATTCAATATGTCATTTAACTTACCTACGGCAAAGGATGTGATTTTGATGTTGATACTTGTACGCACAAGAATTTTATTTGCCGTTTCAAAATAGTTACGTTAAAAGATAGTGTAATAAAAATGAAAATTGGATGTAGAAATTATAATGAAAAGAGAAATGTTTCTATGGCAAAGGACAAATATTAGACCTATGACCCTACAGTTATATTTTCAAATTTTCCATTAACCACCCCCCCCCCCCCCCATTCTCCCCCGAATTACTGATATTTAGCAAATTAGTTAACATTTTGTGTCGCCCAAACTGTGGATTGTTGGTGTTAAAGTACGAGATCCGAATATTTTGTATATAACATTTTCATATTTTGTACATTTTGTATATTATTCACAATATCCCCATTTTAAAACATTTTTATGTGAGGCAAAACTTCAAGAACAATTAAGCGAACATTAAAAATCCTACTTTTTCATGAATTTCTGCTGGAATATACACATTTCAATGCCCTTGATGTTAAGCCAAACAGCCATGAAAATGCATGTATTCTGCATTTCCTATTTTTGCATATATATTCTTACTACTATTTATGCTAGCAGTAGCATGTTTAAGATCAGTAAATGTTATATTATATCAGAGCTGAAAATGCCAATGTATTTTTTACTTAATAATTACCTTTTTTTGAAGCGCATGTTCCTAGACAAGTTTATTTCATATTAATTAAATCGCATATCATTTGCAGCTTTATGATCCTCAAAAGAATATCAGGCTCGCTAAGATCTATTTTTGAAATTTATCTTTTTCACCGGTAAGGCCTACCTTTGAAATGTTAAATAAACTGTTGTAAGTGTTTGGTTTCGGTGTTATAATAGCAAGTGTGGTACAAAGGTGTCCATTTCAAAATCAGTTCAGCTCGAACACGTCAATGCGCTACAATTTTAATCCTTTGGAATTATTGATGTTCACGAATGTAGAAAATAAAGTTCCTACACAGGTTATATCTGTACACCCTTTAGCTGAACGTCAGGTAATTTATAGTTTTCTTGGATGGTCTCCTCTGTATTTCATCATTTCTTCTTAATATGTTTAATGAGATGATTGCTTGGTCCCTTTGGAAAAAATAGAGAAAAAACCTCTCTAGGCCATTAAGAAGGTCATCCCGACTCCCTTTCTGTTGTTCTATCGATGAATTCTTTTGCCGAACAGTGGTGAAGTAATAGGGGCGGTGTCGTATTGCGTAATTGAGCATGTGAATGTGCAAGGCCATCTAATAGAGGAGAGAAAATGAGTGTGAAGGACCATTTCCTCTTCAACTCCCCTTTTCATATCCCTTCCTTTCATTCTTGTTTTTCTCTCATTCTTTTTTGTGGGGTAGGTGTGGGAGGAGGAGGCACAAAGCTCGATGCCCCTAAAAATGGTTGCACAGAGATCAATCAATTTTTTTATCAATCTTGCTTTCTCCGCAATGGAGCAAGAAAAGTCAGTGAGGAATAATCCATAGTTAAAAGGAGAGAAGAGAGCGAGAGAGAGAAAGAGAGAGAGAGAGAGAGAGAGAGAGAGAGAGAAGACATAGACAGAAGGGGAGGGGGACATGAACAGACGGAAAGAGAGAGAGGCAGAGTCGTAGTTGAGGATTTTTCTTTCTGTCATTCTCTCTCTCTCTCTCTCTCTCTCTCATCTCCCAATTATCCTTTCTATCTGTCTGTAATCTCCATCTACTAATCTCCACCCACCCCTCCCTGTCCCTCTTCCCCTCTCTTTCTCACTTTTCCTCCTTTCTCTCCACTCTCTCTACCTCAATCTCTATCTAACTGTAATAATCACGCCAGATATATCAAGTAAAAACTTATTTCTTCATCGAATAATTTTATTTGAAAATTATATGATCATAGTATAAAAATGATGAATTGTAAAAAATGATTGAAGTATCACAATATTAAAACACACATGCACCAAACTTCAGTCTAATGTTTGAATATGAAAACAGGAGAGATTTATGGCGTCAATAGCAAGATAGTAATTCGTATATATAACTACATTGCTATCAGGGGCAGGTCCCCTAACCCCAAACGTTAGAGGGCGTAGAATCCCCCAAATATGTGACAAAAATTGAAAAGGGGGAAAATATCACATTAGCATTGCCTTTTGTGACTGAAACTGATCAAATGATCATTTATAATTACAAATAATCGTTTAAATTGCTAGATTAGGGCCTTCTTAAAATAACGGTCAGTTGTATTCCATGCACAAATACGATTGTCACCATTAACATAAAGGACGCTAAGTATCTGAAGCAAAGAGTCCCTTCGTAGAAGAATTACGATAACCTATGATATCATATGCCGTTCTTTTACCACTATAACGAAGCAGTTAGCAGACGAACATTTATATTCAAATCTGAGCTAAGCAGCTCTAACTAGGAAGAAAATTAAACGCCATTTTGTTTCAAAAAGAAAGGACGAACGTGACGGAGCTCTATATGTTTTTAAGGGGCTCAGGCACAAAAAGGAGACATTACATGCATTTCCAAGACAATGAGCCCTTCTAACAAGCACAATAAATAGGCAATATATATGTATGTATATTCCATTCAAATTCATTTGTGTCTTCAAATTTAAATGATTTATTTCACATCCCTTAAAAAATACAATGTATGCAGAAATAAGCAATTTTAGAGCAATTTTAGAAATTGTTGCTGATAATACATATAATAACCTCCCAACTTCTAAGTTTATTATTTATATATAGAATCTTAGAAGTCGTATTTAATCGGTCTACCCCACATTATTACAGAACAAAAAAAGTACTGATACGAGTATTTGCACAAGCTTTTCTTTTTACAACATTCTCGTACATCTGTTACCATAATGAAATTGCAGCATCAAGCTGTATCATTAAAAAACAACAACTTTGTATCATTATGCCGTTGAGCTGACAGAGACATTGCGATAGTGGGTTATGCACTGTAAAGATCCTTTGTCTGACGCTAACTATAAAATATTAGGCTTCGAAAATAGAAGGGTGTTTTTAGAAATCTCTCTTGATTTGATAATAATATAATAGCTATATTGCGCACCCATCCATCCCTTGGGATGTACAAGGCGCCTATAAAGTAATATTATAACGCTGGCTTTAGCCCAGCTACCATAAGGCGGTAAAAGCATTCAATAAATAAATCCCAGCCAAATATCCATCTGCTACACCTGTGTCGAGAGTGGAAAATTCAGATAAATGTCTTGCCAAAGGACATAAGTGCCGCGGCGGGACTCGAACCGCGAACCATGTGATCAACAGTCTGGTGACGTAACCACTAGACCACGACATATCTACTTCTACTTTATATATTACGAGACATAAACACCAATTCAAATGTGACTGAGCAATACAAAACTACACAAGTGCAACAACTGCTCCACTGCCGTAACCATATATGTTATCATACTTATAGCACATAAATGAAATGTATGTCGATATGCATGGTTCTACATGCACGAAGCAAGAGAGGGGGTTACGGTTTCCTTGCTGGTGCCATACTTTGTTTATACCTCGTCCATCTATCTTGCCCGACTCTGAGAGTTTGAAAAAATGGGAGAAATAATATTGGAGAACATTAGTTTGATTATTCAATCTGATTTTAATGTTAAACTCCTAGATATAATATTGGAATAGCTACCAAAGTTTTGCTATCAATATTTCTATTTTTGATACTAATACTTCTACCACCACTGATACTACTACTACTACTACTACTACTACTACTACTACTACTGCTACTACTACTGCTACTACTACTACTACTACTGCTACTACTACTACTACTACTACTGCTACTACTACTGCTACTACTACTACTACTACTACTACTACTACTACTGCTACTACTACTGCTACTACTACTACTACTACTACTACTACTGCTACTACTACTGCTACTACTACTACTACTACTATATTACTACTACTACTACTATTACTTCTATTACTACTACTACTACTACTACTACTACTACAATTATTGATATCGCCATGTCGTCGTCATCATCATCACCATCATCATATCGATGATGATGATGTTGATGATGGTAATAACAACAACAATGATAATAATACTGATTATAAAAATGATTACGATAATAATAATGATAATGATGATGATGATGGTGATGATACTATTACTACTACTACTTATAATGATAATGTAACATTAATAACAATGATAATAATAATGATAATCTTTCTGCCCCTTCGATAATTACCCAAATGATTTCTTTACGTCTTCACAGCCATTCGTTCTCTTACACGAAGTCCACATCGTAAAAAGGATTTCTTCACCCCCGCACAGCGCACACTGGCCAGTCCACGTGGTTACCTTCTTACCTCCATCTTCAGAGAGCGTAAAACCGAAGGTGGTATAATGATAGCGACGTGATGCGTAGCCTATGAGGTGGCCTAGAGCTGGAAAATGGAACAAAATATGATCGCAAAGGCTTTCCAGAAATTTGTGTTTTGTATTTATTAACATTTATTTTCTTCTCAACAGTATAATATGAAACACAATGTATATATACATGATATATGTAACAATTATTTCAACATAGAGTACACAGTAAATAATTCAGATACGGAAGGAGGCGAAAGCCCGGAAAGCATAGCTTAAGTTGGGAACGCCCATAATAAATTATCACAGTTACCGAGAGAATATTATAGACATTATTGTGAAATCAACGTTAAGCAAATGAAAATGATATTGTTCATTAATTATTGAAACGCGTGAACATTGCAATCAGATCCTCTAAAACAAGTCTCCTGCTCATGCGCATAGTAATATAATTATGTACAGGAATATCTATGAGATTCGTAACAATGTTTTAAAAAAGAAAGTGGAAAGCAAGAGAGAAATACTCACGCCCTTGACCAGTAGAGTTGGCGAGATCGGTAATGTAATCCCCAAGGATCAGTCCGGTTGAAGTTAGGTCAATGTCTACACGATCGTTACATTCATTGTACCAGTCACCCGAAAGGTCACAGAACCCAACTAAAATCGAAAAAGGTAAAAGTGAAGAGCTGGTAAGAATAAACCGCAGTTATGAAACCTGAAGGGAAAGTATGTCAGGCAAACAGTATACGAGCTAACACAACAGAAATTGTATGATAATAGCACGATTGTAAACACTTTCGCCAAATCTAACTATTAAAGCAATGTCAGTAGCCTTGTGCGTCATGGTTTGATAAAATGGTGAACGGGACAATGACAAATTTCATAATCAGAGCAGTGAATCATAAAGGAAATGCATTCGTTTACTTAAATTGGCCCTAATGCGATTTCGAGAGTATTTGCGATCGTGTGAAATGTATATTTGAGAAAGTGGTCAATGTTTAGCAAAGTTACGTAAATGTGACGTCGTCACTATTGAATGAATTAATATTTATCTTTATACAGCTATCAGCATGAACACACACTGCAAAATTTATGCTTTTTAAAAGTGAATTTTTAATAGCCAAACATTTCGTTATAATCATCTTCTCTTTTACATCAAATATGCCAAGCTTACCAACGGTGTAGCTGAAGATTCCAAGTAGTACATCATATTAGACCAACAGCCATCGGGACCGATCGATAAAACCGTTTTGGTCAACGTTCAATTTTTTTCTAAAGACCCACGAGACGGATATTTTGGTCTCGTTGGCTGTCGGTCTCTTGGGTTGTATATGCCTAGGGTGGGTCAAGATTATGTTGTTATATATTTAATAGATCCTGATCTTGAACGGGATGATAATCCGTACCTGTTCGACAATTCCTACCGGAGTACCCTTGTCTGCACTTGCATTGGTATACACCGACTCCTTCTACACAAGTGCCACCATTTTGACAGGGTAGACTGCTACATTCGTTGATATCTGAAATACAAGAAACAAGTTACACGTAAACGAGCCTAGGTTTATGAGGAGAAATGCATGAAAATATATCACAATTTTACATCTTTGTGGAAAAAATTATTGCATTTTGTTTTCGTTGAAATAATCGTATGTTGTGGATTTAATCAGCCGGTATGTCTCCATAATCATCATCATCATTATCATCATCATCATCATCATCATCGCTACTATCATCATCATCGTTATCATTATCATTATCGCTATCATCATCATCATCAAGTTGGAACAACCTCACAACAGTTATTTTGAGAGTAACTCCTTTGCACACATCGAGAGGGTAAGTTTATATTATTATTACGCCTTTTCATTCCACTATTCACTAGGTAATGTCATCCTAATTCTACTTCCTTTTAAAAAAAAATCTTTAAAAAGCGTTTCTTCAAACCCTCGCTGTTAGCGGTAAATATTTAAAGGAAGGAAAAGTGAAACAAAGTACAGTGTATATGCATGTACATACCGATTTCACATCGATCTCCAAAATATCCAACAGGACACTCGCAAATGTAGTCAGTAGAACCTTGAACTAGGCTCACACATGTGCCTCCGTTAGAACATGACCAGGGTCTACAGACATCGGAAACTACACAGAGAAGAAACAATGATCAGATTCTTTAAAAAGAACTTTTCGGATATAGGGTCGTTCAGATAATTATGAAGCGGTAAACTGCCGCACAAAACCGCTGCGTTTTTTTAAACGTGTAAATGAATAGTACATTTAAATGCGCGCAGCGAAGCTCTCACGAGTATTCACTGAGCTCTGTTTTATACGATGCAGAAGTGTGAAGCGTATACTTTACGTCATCATGAAACAAACCGCCGCGGTTATTCAGCGTCACTTTCAAAACAAGGCTTTAGACAGTGAAATCATATAGGATGTAAATCTTTAGAAGCCTTAAGAGCAGTTAGACATCGTAATTACACACCCTAAAATGACAAATATCACTCATTTGAGCTGCCACTAAACAAATGTTTCGATAATCCAATTACAAATTTGTAGAATCCTCAAGAGTAGTTACATATCCTCACGTGAGTCTCTATTAAGACAAGGGTTACCAAGGGTGACTACACAACTTGAAATAACATTACAAAGATGGAGGACCTCCCCTATTTAGGACTAATATAATGTATACCTCTCCTTAGGATTATTTCCCTGATGCACAATTTACAACGTACATTCCTAACCCATTGCCTGCTGGAACCGGGCGGTTTCTGCAAATGCAGAAATTTAGTAGTCAACCGGTTAAGCAAACAAGGAAACCAATTTTCACCGGCCCCAAAGTTTTTTGTTTTGTTTTATTTTGTTTCCAATGTGACTAAGGCTACTATCTTACTTTACAAGTTATAACAGAAGATAGATAGGGTGCTTCCCCTTCCCCCACCTACCCTCACATCTCACCTTATATCAATATCTGTCTATAGTGTGAGCAAAGTTTCTTACCAGAGGCACAGTTTTCCCCGTAGTATCCCTGAGAGCAGTTACACGTATAACCATTGACTTCATCCTCACAGGCTCCTCCATTGAGACAAGGGCTACTTTCACATTCGTTCACATCTGAAATGAAGAAAATATTGTAAATATTGTGAAAATTAGAGAATAAAAGTAAAGGAGCTAATACTCAAAAATCGGGAAAATTAGCAGTAAGTTGCATAAAAGTCCTACTGAATGATTGGTTTTGTAAAGTACATTGGAATAGTCTAATGTGGTGGTAAAGTTTGTATTGTGCTTCGGAAAACTTCGGAAAGTAGAACAAGTTTCAAATAAATAAATCATTATTTGTCAATTGCACGGAATCATTTATTTATTTTCAATTTTTTCTATGTAATAATAGTAATGTGTATTGGAGTGGCGTATGCATAAGCAATAATATTTAGTGGTTAGAAAGAACAATTTAATTAGCAACAACATGTTTAAAATAATGTTGTATTATAGCTTGTACTTGTAAAATGGTTCAGAGACACATTACAGGTTGTAATCACGGAATCATCGTCATACCAAAGGCCGAAAGCGAGGGGATTAAAATATTAAAACAAACTTTTGAGTGATGATAATGATGATGGGGAGAAGGAGGAGAAACACGAGGGCGAGGAGGACCGGGGAGGATGAGGAGGAGGAGGAGGAGGAGGAGGAAGATGATGGGGGGGGGGGGGGGGGGGGAGGGGGAAATAAGTGGTAATCAAGAAAGGGATGATACTATCATGGTAAGTAGGCAAACGACGATAATGATGATGACGACGATGATGATGAAGACGATGGCGAAAAAGATGATGATGGTTTCAGGGGTCACGATGATTATCATGATACGAACATGCAACTTTGTAAAGTCTCACCTGTTTCACAGTTTGATCCAGTATAACCAAGGGCGCAGTCACAACGATATCCGTTGATTAAGTCCGTGCATACACCACCATACAAACATGTGATACTCTGACATACCTCGATGTCTAAAAATAAAAAACAAAACAAATGGAATTCTTGTTAAGGGAATTGTTGTACAGTTGAGGGAAAATACACCATCTAATTGTAAACCCATACATCTGATTTGTTGTAAAGAAGGATTAAACAGTCCAACATAGGCAAACTCCATGGTTGTCTATATATTTTCGTTGTTCCTGTGTATAAGGAACACAATATTAGGCATGTAATAAGGGGGAGGGAGGGGGCATTGGCCGAATGATAGCGAGATGTCTGTCTGAATATCGGGGCTTTTGAGAACGTTTCATCTTGTCTTATGAACTGTCATATGACTTAAAGAAGGTCCGCAAGCTAGATCATCGTTTACGTGGGCTAACACCTTTTCGGTGCGGCCTGTCGAACAGCTGTGCTGCATCAGAACTGCATCCCAGGGGAGAGGAGATGGTAACGTTGATCGTCATCGGAGTAGGAGTTTTCATCTTTTGTACTTATATGTGAGAGTTTTGTTTTATAAGTATCCTATACTAGACTTGGTAATTATCTTTAAACAATCAATTTGATATTACAAATTATCCACCTGATGCACAATGCGTTCCTGTATAACCTGCAGAGCAATTGCAAGTATATCCATTGACTTCATCGGTACACGCGGCGCCATTCTGACACGGGTTGCTTTCACACTCGTTGATATCTGAAATTAATTCAAAATACTTAAATCCAGTTAAAATGTGATATAAGAATGCGTGTCACCGTATTGCACAATGTCCCAAAAGCCATAAAACAGCAGTCATATCAATAATTATAATTATAATAGTTAATAATTATTATCCTTGCTTATATAGCGCCTAGCACTTACTTTATCAGAAATCTCTAAGCACTCTACAATAATGCAGCATAATTACCCTGGCTTTAGCAGTGCAGCTGCTACGCGCGCTGCGTTTCAAGAAATAAATTTCTACCAGGTATCCATTTACTTCACCTGGGTGGAGTGTGGCAAATGTAGATCAATGTCTTGCCAAAGGACATTAGTGCGGCGGCGGGACTCGAACCGCGGACCTTGTGATCGACAGTCCGGCGACGTATCCACTCGACCACAACACCTCTACGCATTAGGCCGGTGTTTTGTTGTTGATTTTCATATGAATTAAAAAAATATTTTAAACACATTACATCGGGTGAATATAAAATCTTTCTTCGTGAAGCTCATGGTAGGGAAATAAAACAGGTAGTTAGAGAAGTTCCATTTTTTTTTCATTAGGAATTCTATTTACCTGCTTCAAATAATATCTTTTATGAAAATATTATGTTTAATTCACCAAATTTCGCGAGGTCAAAGGAGTCTTAGATGAGTTTAGAATTTTCCGAAGATCATATGAGTACATAAAGACAAATGCAATCTTATTCATTTCACATCATTAAATAATTTCATTTCAAAATCAAGCGACCTTCACCTTCATCACATGAGGATCCTGTATAACCTGGTGCGCATGTGCAGGTGAATCCACCAATCCCGTCAAAGCAGGTTGCTCCATTTTGACAAGGTTTCGGTAAACAGTCGTCTATATCTGAAAATTAATAATTAAAAAAAAATCAGTCAGTATCCAACTTTGTTTCTGAAATTAAATTTGACTCATTCTATTTCCGACGCACTTAACAAGTACCATATTCATATTTGATTATACATATATAGGCCTATATGTTCCTCCTATTCGTCACCCACATTTGTTTTAATCATTGAAATGAAGATGAAATCTGTTGACTCATCCAAAGGATAAAATATTTAGTGAGGAAACAATGTACATATGTAAATGATACGTTTTGACTCTGTCATTTAGGGTAAACAATGGGTTGCCCTAACATGCCTGTTAGTTGATTTTGAAAATGATGTTATGGCTACGTATATCTGCCAGTTACACCTTGGTAGGCATTCATACACGCAGAACTTAAATTCATACTTTACTTGAAATATTGAGTCCCTATCTTACTAGATTCACAATTCGATCCGTTAAAACCAACCAGGCAGTCACATCGATATGCATTGATTTCATCTATACACATTGCTCCGTTTTCACACGGGTTAATGGCGCATTCGTTGATATCTGAAAAGAAATGAAGCAGCACGGGGCACACAAAGATATAAATGAATTTACAGTATTATAATGATAAAGCAAAAAGAAAAAAAACGCAACTGTTGCTATAATGACCTAACTTGTAGAATCTGAACATGACCAAAAAAAGTATCGACATGTCTCTGATATATCTTTATCTTTATCCATGATAACTGAACGAATAAAGCATATCTGTACTAGTTTGGCCAGGAGGGATTATACCACACTGTCACACAGCGAGGTCACTGACAGGTGGCTATCTCATCAACTCAGCTCTCAATAACATAATAAATAAAGGATCATGGGGGACAAACATGCACCGAGAGGGAAATTTTCTATAAAGAGGGAGCAAGTAGCTACAAGTAGTACAATGGGCTTTTAAGTAGAATAAATTTATGAATTAGAAAACAGAAGAGAATAATCATAGAATAGACTCCTAATGAACCTCGTATTGATTTCACTAATTGCGAGTAAAACGAAAAGTGTCTGAAATTTCTTACTCGATTCACAGTCTGATCCGTTATAACCTGGCAGGCAATCGCATTGATATCCGTTGATTTCATCTGCACACGTGCCTCCATTCTGACAGGGGTTCGATGCACACTCATCGACGTCTATAAAACAAACAATAACATACCAGTCACACAAAGCAAGTGGATAAAACGATTGCTTTGTTCTGAAGATTAATGGAAGTAAAACTACATTCTTTACGTTATCAACATTTTGAAATGAATTTTGGCCGCTTGAATCAGTTAATATTTTCTTAATTCATTAAATTCTTACTTGATGCACACTCTGCTCCAGTGAAACCTGGTGAACATTGACAGTTGTAACCGTTAATTTCATCCATACAGTTTCCTCCATTTTGACACGGGGTACTTGCACATTCATTGATATCTGAAATAGATGGAAAATCGAATTACTACGTATATCAACTCGAATTACTGCGTATAACTACTCGAATTACTACGTATAACTACTCGAATTACTACGTATATCAACTCGAATTACTACGTATATCAACTCGAATTACTACGTATATCAACTCGAATTACTACGCATATCAACTCGAAAGTGAAATTCGAAGCAAAATCTAAAAAGTGGAGACGGCCTAACATTCTGTCAACTACACGGCAAAGACTCTTTACAGAACTAGTATGGGGATGATCTCCTTTAGAATGCTGGTAGAAAAAAGCCTTTGCATAATTATGTTAAACTTTGCTACCACCTTTTCCGAAACATAGGGTTGCTGGATCATAGCAAATTTTCAACAAAACAAAAAGTCATTAGAAATTACTAATAGAAACACACAGTCCACATCTTTAAGCTACCGTCTACAGTAACTGTATGTGTAATAGCATAACGCTGGCGGTCATTTTTAAAAGCGTGAAGATGTAAATGTATTTTCCTTTGTCTAAAATCCTACCTGAAGCGCAATTTGATCCTGTATATCCTGGAGAGCAGGCGCATTGATATCCATTGATTCCATCCGTACAAGTACCACCATTCTGGCAAGGGTTCGAGGAACACTCATCGATATCTAGTGACAAATAACAAAATATGAATTACAAAAAGCACAATCTCAAAACCTTTAAGAAATCAACCTATGTCAAAAGCCTTGTACATCACTTTTTGGAATATGCTAACATAATAGTAACATGTTACATAATCCGACTATGAACTTCTTAAGGCAATACAACATGGTTTCCAAATTTGCCTTAAGTTGATTTCTCTAAGTCTTTGCGGTCATGTAAAAATGAGTGATTTGTGATATAGATCAATGAAAGTAAATATTAAAATGCCAGACATTACTGTAGTATCACAGAAAAAACAAAACAGGTCAGCTTACATCGGCTAACATTTAAATATTTGATAAATTCTTACTTGATGCACATTCTGCTCCATTGTAACCCGGTGTGCAATCACAGTTGTAGCCGTTGATTTCATCCGTACACGTACCATCATTTTGGCAAGGGTTTGATGCACACTCATCGATATCTGGAGATAATCAACAAATTATGAATTATAAAAAAAAGCATGATCGCAAATACATTCAAGAAATGAACCTAAGGCAATGTATAGCCTGGTGCACAACCCATTATAACGAAATGTAATAATATCCGACAACCCATTATAACGACATGTTATAATAACCGACTATGATTTCGTAAGGCAATACAAAGAGGTATTCAAATTGGCCTTGATTTGATTTATCCAAGTCTTTGCGGTCATGCAAAATTAAGTGATTTGTTATATAGATCAATGAAAGTAAATACTTAATGCCAGGCATTACTGCAGCATCACGAGAGAACTTAAAATAAAAACACGTCAGATGCTTTCATCGGCGAACATTTTAATATTTTGTTAAATTCTTACTTGATGCACATTCTGTTCCAGTGTAACCCGGTGAGCAGTCACAGTTGTAGCCGTTGATTTCATCCATACAGTTTCCTCCATTTTGACACGGGTTACTTGCACATTCATTGATATCTGAAATAGATGGAAAACATGATTACTCTGTTGCAAACCAGGTAATTGAAAAAAGAGTGGAACTGGCCTTTTCTGACACCACACGTGTTCTAACACTTTGCACCTGTGTTCCTGAAAGCCCCTCTGCACTACTTTTGCATGGAGGGATTAGACCTCCCTGCAAGGTCACTGGCAGTTGGTTATCTTATCAAATCAGCTCTAAATTAACAAGGGCATCATGGGGATCAACGGGTCACGCTAAGGCGTTGTTGGCTGTATAGAGGGGGCAAGTAGCTATAAGTAGTGCAGTTGGGCTTTAATGGGAATGTTTTGCTTTTATAATCGCGGTAGTTTAAATCTTCTAAATGTGTGTTGTTCCTTTGATGAAACAGAAGCATGTCAGAACACAGCGAAATAACCTTCAAATGAAAAAAGAGATAGAGTCAATGTCTATACTATCTTGAATGAATCCCATTTGCATTTTCTTTTTTAAAGTGGAAGAGTGTCTTATCTATATTTGTTCTACCATCAGCTTATTGGGAGGGGCTCACAAGCGAGGTTATTTTCCTTTCGTGCTTCGTGAGCATTAGCTGATGGTTTCATTTTCCCTCTCTTTCTCTCTCTCTCTCTCTTGTTATTGTGTGTCGCTTCCTTAAATTTTGGTTATTATGATACTCATGTTCGTCCTTGTAAAAGAAATAAACTATAAAATATAAATAATAATTTGTATAACTACCTGAAGCGCAATCTGATCCTGTATATCCTGGAGAGCAGGTGCACTGATACCCATTGATTACATCCGCACAAGTACCGCCATTCTGACAGGGGTTCGATGCACATTCATCAATATCTGAAATAAGAATTGCAAAGAAATCGAAATGGAGATTAGAAAACAAAAAACAAGTTATTCGTAATCACGTTCATTACCATAAATAAATCTAGGGTAGATTCTAATCCAATCCAATCCGAGACTTTGTATAGTGTCAGTATTTAGTTGCCTAACCAAAGGCGATGATGAGACTGAAAAGCTACTGTATACTGGGAAAGACTGGGGTAGTGGTTAGTGGTAAACAATGTGGAATAGGTACGTCTTTAGCTGGGTGTTGTGGATAGTGGATAGAAGTTTACATACCATAGCTGCAGGAGCGGTGAATGATCTATCGCCAAACAGAGACAATTTTTGATGACTCTCAATCAGTTACTTACCTTCTGATCGCTAATTCGCTCGAGGATTATATAGGGGTAAGTATGTCCGAAATATACACTGGGGCAAATCCATGCATTGCATACCATGTTAATACAATAATGTTTTATCTATTCTTTTTTTTTACAGGAAGCCATTGCATTGCAGTAAGTGTTAGGGGTTATGCGGTTATACTATCAATAACTTGGATTGCAACATCTTGACGGCAATTCATCAAATTTTGAGCCAGACGGGCTTTAACTCTTATACTTTAAAAACAATGTAACGCCCTTTTGGTTTTGAACAGACATAGTGTTTAATAAAGCTTTCGGTCGATATTAAGAACCACAACGCATTTAAACTTAAACTGAAAAGAACGATACTTGCCATTTATTGATTTATTGAAATACATAATTGATTCATATATTTTGTTAGCATGTAACATTATTATTATTGTATTGTATTGTATCTGTTTGTTTTTATGTTTTGGGTTGCTCGTTTACAAGTTTTTAACTTATTTTAGCAATCCCGGTATTTATAATGATTTCATTTGTAATGATTTCATTTTGATGTTTTTATCTTTTGCCGAATAAATGTGAATTTGAATTGAATTGAATTGATTAAAGACGCATCGTAGTTGGCTCTCATTTGGAATTCAAGGCCATTCGGATGTTTACCCAATCATAGGTGTGGTCAAACGCCAAGATTAGCCTTCATTGTTATGACCAACAGGCCTTAGGTAATGCTCAGCATTATCCACAAATCGCCCCACATTGAGAAGTCAAACGAAGACTCTTCGAGGACTGGGGGGGGGGGGGGGGTTAATTCTTGATGGGACTACGGGTTCACTGTTCACAGCAGGACTCGTACACCCATTAATAGTTTTTCCACCAAGTCTGATGTCAGCGAAAGATGACTTAATGCACATGGAAACTAGCTACGATCTTTCTTTAACATCGTGTGCTAACATCTTGTCAATGGAATTTATTCTTACTTGATGTACACTCAGATCCATTATACCCGGGTGAGCATACACAGAGATATCCATTGACTACATCTGTACAACTACCACCATTTTGGCACGGATTACTCTTACATTCGTCGATATCTGAAATATGAAAAGGAAGGAGGATGAAAATACAAATGTGAAAATAACCAAAATCATAAATTGATTCGTTTTAAACTGATACATTTATTATGATTATGTCACGGCATATCGGATCGCGAAGTAAAGAACATTAACATGTTTTCCATTGTTTAGATTATGTATGAATATATTCTCAAGTAAACAATCCATCGGTAGGATTGTTCAAAATAGAACATTCATCGATGAACAAAAAGAATGTCGTAAAGACCAGTTTGTAGATAGCGCGTGGTAAAAAAATGACCCCAAATATCCAAATGTCTTTCAATCATGGAGAAGCCACTTTGCGCATTTGAGAATAATCAATTCTAAAGACCAGCTCAATTGAAAAAAATTGGTCCCATCTGCGTTGGTGTATGAATGAATAATGATTACTAATTTGCATGAACACGTATCAAATATTTGTCTCGGTGGGTTTTGCAATTTTGTATAAATGACCTTTATTTACATATTGGCTTTTCATTGGATACTAATGGCGGGAAATTGCAGTGAAGAAAACGAATACGGTGAGCTACTTGATTCGAGTTTCCATGACAAATGTTTCCACGCGCAACGTTTTACTCCTTTTTTTGGCGAATTTGAGGCTGAATAGAACAGTTGATCTTCCTTTTTCTGACATTTGCATTAAACAACGTTACGTTAATGATGTTATGTTGAAATCGAGAAATCTAACTTGATTGACAGTTTATCCCACTGTAACCAAGGAGCATGTGCACTAATATCTGTTGATTTCATCCTAACAGGTCGCCCATTCATACACGGTTTACCCGGATGACATGAACATAGTTTGCGTACATAAAGACACGTGCTATCTTATTCATTCCACATCATTAAAACCATATCCGGACACCTACCCCTGGACATCCACCCGGATAACCACCCATAGTCAACTACAACCTAGGACAACTACCCCTCGGACAACTACCCACAGACAACTATCCCCTAGGACATCTCCCCCCGGACAACTACCCCCACACAACTACCCCCGACGACAAATACCCCTGGACAACAACCAACCGGACAACTACCCCCTAGGATAGTTGTCCGGGGGTAGGTGTCATAGAGGATGGTTGTCGTAGGGGGTAGTTGTCTGGGGGTAGTTGTAGGGGGAGTAGTTGTCCGCGGGTAGTTGTCTGGTGGGTAGTTGTCCTAGGGGGTAGTTGTCCTAGGGAATAGGTGACTGGGGGTGGTTATCTGGGGGTGGATATCCAGGGGATATGTGTCAAAACAATTTTATTTCAAAATCAAGCGTTCTTCACCTTCATCACATGAGGGACCTGTATAACCTGGTGCGCATGTGCAGGTGAATCCACCAATCCCATCGATACAGGTTGCTCCATTTTGACAAGGGTTCGGTAAACAGTCATCTATATCTGAAAAATGTAATTAATAAAAAAAGAATCAGTATCCATCTTTGTTTCTGAAATAAATTATGACTTATCCTATTTCTGACGCACTCAACAACTGCCACAATTTTTTTTTGTAAAATCACTTTTGGGATAGTACACCCTTATCAGCACAAGTGTTGCTTTCCATAGGTGTCCACTTCCTCGGAAGAGTCCCATACATATGATATCATGTTCCTCTTGTTCTACTAAAATTGTTTTCCTTCTAATTATTCAATTTAAGAGGACATCTGTTTGCTCACCCTAAGTCTAAAATTATTATTGGGGAAACAATGTAAATATGTCAGATATATACGTTCTGTTAGTTGATTTTGAAATGATGCTATGGCTACGTGTATCTGTCAGTTACGCCTTGGTTTGAATTTAGGCCTTCATGCATGTAGTAGTTAAATTAATACTTTACTTGAAATATTGAGTCTTATCTTACTAGATTCGCAATTCGTTCCGTTGAAACCAACCCGGCAGTCACATCGATATCCATTGATTTCATCTATACAAATTGCTCCATTTTGACACGGGGTACTTGCACATTCGTTGATATCTATAGTAAATGGAAAAAATCGAATTACTACGTATAACGACTCGAAAGTAAAATTATAAACAAAATCTAAAATATGGAGAGGGCCTTACATTTCGTCACCAACACGACAAAGACTATTTGCAAAATCAGTATGGGGTATGATTTCCTTTACAATGCAGGTGAGAAAAGTCTTCGTGTTTGCTTAAACTGTGCTACCCTACTATCTTACTCAGAAACATCGGGCTGCTAGATTATAACAAATTTTCAACAATTAAAAAAAAAGAAGAAATTACTAATAGAAACACGCGGCCCACATCTTTAAACTACAGTATATGTGTAATAGCTTAGTGTTGGCCATTTGCAAATGTGTCGTTATAATCAAACAGTCAAGCTATAGCAATGTCGATAGCCAAGTAGACTACCTTTTGAGTTGTGCGAACATTACAGTAACATGTTACCTAATTCGACTGGTATGGTAATTTCTTAAAATTATAAGCATGGTATTCAAATTGATTCCGAAAAATCCCGTGCAACTAAATAACAGAAAAGATGAATTAAATTCAAACAGATATATTTTTAAAATAATCAGGTGCCCTTTGGGATCGTGAATATTAGGGTGGGGAAGGACACGTACACAAAATTAAGGGGGAATATAATTTGTAATGCAAAATATGACCAATATTGTCATCATACAGTTACCAACTTGTTAATACGATGAATCGGTAGGCTTCTCTAAGCTTAATTCAAGATCATTAAGTTAAAAACATACCCTACATCAGACAAATCTTAGATTATACCTCTTTATTAAATAGTAGTGGAGCCTAATGAGCTTGTGTATCTATGATAATGAAATGAATTTGTAATTTTTACTAAATTGGCAGGTTGTCCCGTTGAAACCAGGAGAGCAGTCACACAAGAATCCGTTGATTTCATCCGCACATGCTCCTCCATTTTGACAAGGGTTGCTGGCACATTCATTGATATCTGAGATTAAGGCATGGTGTGAACGACCAAGATAAATTGTTAACTTAAAAGTCAGATTTCAGATCTGAAAATATTACGGGCAAATCAAAAACAGCGTTTCATGATATTTCACATGTCACCCTCAAGCAGTGTAACCTTTGCCTTATCTTTGGGCTCTTTTCTCGTTTATCTACAGGTAATCTGTCTATAAAGACCACCCAAGGGAGACAAGAAAAAGCGGTTGTTATAGGCAGGTGGTCTTAATGTACAGGTTCGTTCAGTACATGGTTCAACAACAAATATTTTCAAGGGAAATATATATTGTGGGCACTAAAGCAGGTTTGTTGACTTTGACTTTATTTCTATATAATTCATGACATATGAATACATTCCCTCAACTAGGGCAAACTGATCTTTAACTACATTTGTGTTTCTTAGAGTTTCTTTTCAGTACAGTGAATGTTAGGTCAGAGTTCATTCACATAGGATACAGACATTTGAATATACTGGACAATACTTCACAAGTTAGCACGTAAGCGAATCCAGATGGAAGGATATATATCGGAATTGCTTAATAAATAGCAGGAGGGTGATATGTGCTAACCATAAAGAAGCCGTGAATTTTGTTGAGGATCAACAAATTAAGATTAGTTGAGGTTTGATTCGTCTATATTTGTTGAGATTAATCAATTTGATATCCATACCTTCTCGGCAGGTTGGACCAGAATATCCAGGAGCACAGGAGCACGTGTAGGCGTTCAGGCCAACTTCTCTACAAGTGCCTCCATTCTTACAAGGATTGCTAGCACATTCCTGGATGTCTAGAAATTCAAAAAGATTAAATTACATTTTCATTTTCATTTCATTTTATTTCTTTTATTTTAATTTCTAAAAATAAAATATAACAATATATCATGTTGACCTGTGCAGGGCTTGTTCCTAATTATATTAAACAAATTCACAATAAATACATGTACAACATGCCTTGAATCATAAAAAAATAACAATACGTACATAACGTATATGATGTAAAAGAAATTTCATAGTTTGATAATCTATTTAACATCTACAAATGTTTGAAAATGCAGGGCCGACATGGAAGCCAAAGGCTTGTGAATAATTGAAGGCCCCTAAATGTGAAAACATGACCTCGTTGGACTTTTTAAAGAATACCTGTGATTACTTATCTCGTATTTAAACAGCGTCTGGTAGAGACGTAAGTTTTCTTAGATTTGCTGTATGTTTTTTTTCTTCAGAAAGTGTCGGGTAAACTGCACCCGAGACTTTTGCGACAAGAGAGTGTATTTTAACTCAACCTGACCCATCTGGAATTAGGGCTTGATTATTCACAAAAGTTCATTTAACCCAGTTTAAGGGGGGGGGGGGGGTTCACCAAGATCCCAAGTCGAACTTAACTCGGACTTAACAATTATGGAGAGCGATTTGTAGCCTTAAAATAAAATATATACAAAAGCAAAAATTTAAGTATTTTAGACTTTTCATAAATTCCACATTAAGAACATGAAATCTTCTTGATAATAGAAAATATGAACGACTTGAATCAACTTTTTATGCCTTTTAAAATAACTTTTACAAAAAAAAATCAAAGATGCTAGCGGCTTTCCATAATTGTTAGGTCCGACTTAGAGATAAGTTCAACTTAGGATCTTTGGGAAACACCCCCCAGACTTACCTATTTCACATATGGATCCCGTCAATCCAAGATCGCAGATACACAGAAAACTATCAACCTTATCTGAGCAACGGCCGCCGTTCAAACAAGGATTAGAGTTGCATTCATTAATATCTATGGTGAACAAAAACAAATAATATTATTATTATTTTCATTTATTATATTATTATTATCATTATTAAGATTATCATTGCCATCACAGTCAACATTTGTATCATCATCATAATCATTATTATCTTCATTGTTATCACATCCGTTATCACATTATCATTATCATTAACGTCGTCATGATCATCATTATCGATATCATTGCGATTATAATCAATTTCTGTCATCATGATCATCATCATCATCATGATCATCATCGTCGTATTTTACCTTCTTCACATTCGATTCCGGTGTAACCTGGTGCGCATATGCAGGAGAATCCAGCAATCCCGTCGATACAAGTAGCGCCATTTTTACATGGGTTTGGTGAACATTCATCTATATCTGAATATACGATATGTTGTGTTTGTGTTGTTAGTACACGTTACGACTCAATGTATATATTTGAATACAAATTATTTCAATTCAATTCATTTATTTCCACAGATTCATAAAAGAAAATATAAATTACAATCAAATATAAAAGCATTACAACAAAAGATGAACCTGCAGAGGGGGTGATCAAAAACCACAGAGGTCTATATCATTCTTTTAAAGTCACAACCACGTATAATGAAAAAAAAAAACATATCTAAAAACAATGTGTAGTACAAGTCGGAAAAACTGGAAATAAACTCTGGCCCGACATTGCAATCTTGAAGCTCTTTGAAATGTTATACAAAAAATGAAATCACAAAATTTGTTGACTTTGAAAGGCCTGAAAGTTGTTGAAGCAGCCCCAAAGTACCTAGGAAAATGGGTCTGGTCTGTTTGAGGAATCAAATGAACCACACCTAAACAAAATTTTGTTCTTGAAAGATTATTTCACTCACTTATTTCACAGAAGGTGCCGAAGAATCCATCAATACAGATACAGGTGAATCCATTGATCATGTCTTCACAAACGCCGCCATTGATGCAGTCTACAACCTCACACTCGTCGATATCTGTAAAGTAATACAAAAGAACAAATTCAACAATGAATTATCTTGCTTTTGTGACCAGTAGCGGAATCATAATGATACTTTGCCCTGAGAGCTGGGGCCACAGGTATAACAATACTTTTTTTAAAATCAAATTTGCCAGAATTTTGATTATGTCACTAATATCTCCGACAAGCAACAACAAAAATCAGATGTTCTCATTTGTGCCATGTAGGGGCACAAGGGGAGATTTGTTTCATGATGGATATTAGAGATATTGCTGTAATGATCTGGACGGGCAAAACTCGAATTCAACCCCCCCCCCTCCCCCTCCCCCTTCCCCTTCCCCCCACACACACCAATCCCTGAGATCCGCCACTGGTTTTAGTGACTGGTATCGCCTTAAAAATCACCCCTAAACCCATGAGTAACAGTGTTATAATTGGCGTTTGTGTATTTCCACAGCTATCACATATTAGTGAGTATTATTATTTGGATTTCTCATTTCCTGAAATCAATGTCAGAAATTAATATTTTACAGTTTAAGGTATAACTTTTAATACCAGTGAAAAGTTCCTCTCATCCCAACCTTCTTCATTTATTGTGTTCGAACATAAATGAGGGTTATTATTATATTTTAATTTTGTACCTGTAGTGCAATTTTTGTCAGTCCAGCCATCTGAGCAACTGCAATTATAGTCATACTCTTGATCAGTGCAGGTTCCATTGTTATTGCACGGGGTGTCTCTGCAGTTGTCTCTATCTGGAAATAACGATTTGTGCAAAACATCCATCACCACAATGAAAAGCATAGATTATTGCATGAAATGTCCATCACCACAATGACAGAAATAAATGATTGCCTAATATTAATCATTAGGTTTACAAATCATACATAAAAGCGGATATTGCCTAAAAATGTGCGTGTTTTACTTAAGCGTTTTTTGTTCTAATAATAATCTTTATAAGTGCAGAAGTACGTGTTCTTTCATAAAGTTGACAACTCTCAGGAGCAGTCCTATATTCCGTCCATACAAGAGGGTTTATATGGCAATTACAGTCAATTATCACCGCATATTACACACCCTCACACATTTTAATCAGGGGAAAATTGTCATGTGGGGTATGATACGAACAGGGGCTGTTGTCCAAGGGTATTTTTCAGGGTGAGTTATCTGAAGCGACAGTCTAGGAGCAGTTGCAGAATCCAAAAGAAGAATACAGTCTATATCTGCATTTCTTGGGGGTTTTTTAGGGGGCGGGAGAGGTATGTATATGTAGTTGCATATAATGGGGTTTTGATAATTAGATTTCAATCTAAGCTTAGTAATATGTACCTGAATCATATGTGATGTTAAATCCTCTGAAGCTCGTATCTCGATCCGAGGTGAAATAGATCCACGCTTGATCAGAGCTTACTGTGAAAGCGTCCCCTGACGATTGAACGGCTCCTTCGCCATTCACATCAACAGTCGATCCTGGACCAATGATGACATTATCACTGCTCCCAGGAGTGGTTTCGATCTCCAGATCATTGACGTAAAATGTGATGTCCAACGCACCAAGCACCCTGACGAGGTAAACGCACTCCTGGAGGTTGGGGTAGTCAGCGGGATAGGAGGGACTGAGAATCTCTCCAGTGGTGTCGGAAAATGTCTCACCGCAAGTTGATTCTGAAGCCAGAACGAAAAATGTGACTTCCAAATTCAGTTTCATATGTGACTTTTAAGCTCAGTTTCCAAGTTTAAGGCTTTCGTTTTCATGAAATATTGCCATCACTGAAATCATATTTACCGAGTTGAAGACGAGGTCATGATTTTAATAAGGGAAATATACAATTGTATCTCCCGAAAGATGAGCCAGTCAATAATATTATTTTTACCTATTCCTTTGTGAATATGAGCAATATGTGAACTTTCATTGCATGGTGAAATTACCTCGCATAGTTATTAAATATAAATGTGAGTCAGTCCTGGCCTTGTAGCTATTCAGAAAGTTAATTGTCTTGAACAAAACAAATATTTTGTACAATTCTAAGGGACATTTTGCTGAGGTGACCTCTCTCCTACCTCGCCTGGAAAAAAACATTCTAATGCGATGATCTCTTTATTTCGTTTAAATGACTTTAGATCAGTTGCATTGTCGGTTTTAGTAACTTTAAAATCTGTTTATACAATATACCTCTGCCTAATAATCTGATGTAGAGTGACAATTCTTTAACCTTCATGGAAATAATGAAATGAATAAAGCCTCGTTCATATTATGACGCGGCCAAACTGCGGACTTTTATTTCTTTTAATGAATCAAAAAAGTATAATACGCGTCTCACTTCTGAATCTCTTAAACGGAACTTATGGAAAACGCGGAGGAACTATGTTGCCATTCATTTACTGCTTTTTTTCGGCGGTTAATGGCGGTTAACCACGGCATATCTTAACACGCCTTAAAGATATACTGTATATTTTCACAATGAAAATATGTTATTATATTATATCTATTTTACTGTGATTATTAAGACACTTTTAAATGTTTTATGAAAATAATGTTCATATCATATTTATTCTTGGGAACCTACAAAAACAAGCTATGCTTCCAGTCGGTTCCTGTTTCATTCCATAATTTTGAACTTACTTTGTCAACTATAAACAATTGATATATGAAATGGAATGAAATCAATTAATCAATCAATCAAATTGAATCAATTAGGAAACTGGTCTTAGAAATGTAATTTCAGATAAGGAACGTAACACTAGATAATAAATAGTACATAAGAGGATAAAATACTCACGAGTCGACTGATCACAGGTAGATCCCTGATAGAAGGTTGGACTGTCCCCTCTGCTCTGAGAGCACAGGCATAAGAACCGACCCCCTCCTGACACACAGGTAGACGGGGGAACACAAGGGCCACTATCACAAGGATCTGATCATCGGTAGGAGGATAATGAAAAAATGATTAAAGAAACATTCCCCCCCCCTTTTTTTTAGGTAGCAGACATCATAGCAAAAAACAATAACATGAATGGGATGATGAATTTGTTAAAATCATACTGATGAATTTCATAATATTAATGTGGTGGTGGTGGTAGTAATGGTAGTGGTTTAATGATGACAGGGATGGTGACAATGATGAAGGTTATAAATATAATGATGGTGGTCCTATGGATGACGGTAAGGTGATGTTGATGGTGATGATTTGGATGACGTTGATGATGACGATAATGATGATGACGATGACGATGATGATGATGATGGCGGTAATAATGACGGCATTAATGATTATACTAGTGGTGATGATGATAACAAATAAAGATGTTGACGGCGACGAGGATGTGGATGATGATGACGGTGAAAATGGTAATAATGGTAATGATAATGATGATGACGAGGATAACAATTGAAGACTGAGGTTGTGATGATCGTTGATAATATCAACCTTAATGATGACGTAAACAGTACGCAACAAATCAGAAGGATGGACTTAGCAATGTTAGAACTCTTGAGAAGAAAAGACCGTTCAAATATTTGATTATATATTGGGTTATTCGATTTATTTCTTGCTGATGTGAATTCCAGACAGGCTTATTCATGTTATATACTATACTGCCTGTTATAATATGCATGGTAGTTTTGTTTCCCTTCAGTACACATAATAGCTTCTATCAGGCAATCACTCCTCTTATAACTTGTACTCGCCAGCTCTAACGCATTTATCATTGACGCTATTATGAACCAATCATGGAAACGACTATGGTGAATGAGTTAATGTTTGCAATCGTTTCACCGTATCGTTAAGAGCAACATTTATTTACTTTTCTTTGAAAATGTTTAATGTTTCGTTTGCAGTAGTGCATCGGTGTGGGTTTTGAAAAAAATATGTTTAACTCATATAATAATGATATGGTCCTATTTGCACAGACTAGGCTCATTGTTATTACTGTTTTTCATGAGGGCCATGCAATCAGTATTTCCCCCATTACTGCCAGCTACCTAATTCATACATCTAAGTCGAGAGATACTAATGTGCTTTGTAAACACATAGACCAAGGATGAAAGCACCGAGGAGGGATCGAACCTGGGACTTTTAGAATGACAGGAATGAGCATAATTATGATTTCAAATTTTGAAATATACTATACTAATTACCAAACTAACCAACAAAAACCAAAGTACAATTCATTCATCTTCATATATTCACCCGATGTAAATTAATGAAAAATAGATTTTTAAATAAAGCGGCCCCTGACTCATAGCCGTGATGTGTATGTGTTTGAAAGCCTACCAAAAGGTCAGGCAAATAAATGTTAAAAGATGATGACTTTTTGGGCCTTGCGAACTAGATTCCTTAAGGACAGTTACCTCTGCAACCTAACAGGGGGTCACCTTGCCCCAACGTTCCTTAGTGTTCACACAATGCACTCTCAAGCCCCCCTTCCCCTCCCGGCCCCCTGCCCCCCCCCCCTCAACTTTCAATTTTCATTCCGGGCGCCGCCAGTGACAGAAAACTTTGGGGAATTTGGGGAGTGCGGGTACAATAAACTTCTTTAAATACACCTGCATGCCCTCAGTCTTTTGTATTCTATTTGGAGGTCACTGCTGGATTTGCATGGTATGGCATCCATAGAAACTAGATGTGGCTTTTGTGATCCCCTTTTTGTGAATGAAATGAATGGGTAACCTTCAGTGCCTTATCATGAAAGAACTTTAAATAGATAGCTGTGGGAAAAGAACAAATTTGTTTAACTTCTAGCCAGGTTTTACACCTGTAATCGTAGGGGTAATAAGCTCGACTACAAGTCAAGTGCACCGGGGCATAATATTTCTGTAGTTTACACAGCATTTATTTTTTGTCTTTGTGGTGCGCTTGAAGTATTTCAAATATTGATTTAATATATTCTTCTTCTAAAGAATGACTATTATTTTTGTATCAAATTTGCAACAATTAAGATTGATGAGTACATCGTGTGAATAGTTGAAAGGAATTTACATAGTATTAACAATTTCTTAAACATTTACCATAATGATAGACCTAAGAATAATTACATAATCCCGTAGATGGGCAGAGTATTTCAAGGGGAAATTAACTTTGTGTGGCCACACAACTGACGCCAAAATATGTCCTCTTATAGCTTTTTAAAGCTTTTTCAAAAGCACTGGTTTAGACTTTGGCGAAGGAGGACGGTAAAGTCTATTTTGGGGAGAGGGCTCACCCATGGAGAATGTGTGATAAAATAATGCTAGAAACAAAATTACCTTCCTTGGAAATATTTAACCTCGTACCATCAGACTTCTTAAAGTATCAAATCGTATTCCTATATTCATCATCAAATCGTTCACCGAATGTCCGCGAGACCGATGGTTCATAAAAGTGGCGGATTTTAGGGGGTACAACCAGATTGTGTCCCCCTTAAACTCCTTTTTCACACATTCCTGAATGAGCCACCGGTCCATGAGAGCGACAATTTATTCGTTTGTTCATCACGTTCATGGGTCGTTGATCTCTTATAGGCTGTCGGCCTCCACTGTTTCGTCAAACTTCTGACAACTTTTTTGAGGGTTCACCTGGGCTAACGGTATCGGGTCGGTCAACTGGGTTTCCCTACTTCCTGAGATAGTTATGGAACTAGCAGACCATATTTTAATCTCTTTATTAACGTATATACCCCCATGCTGTTATCGAGGTAAAAAGCCAGACTGTATCGCCAAGAGCTACATATCTCGAGATATGACCGTGAAATATGTTTGCTTTCATGATCCAATGACTGTCGAGCACGCTTTCTGCTTGTTACCTTTTCCAAACACAACCACAACCAGAAATCAGTGAGGGAAATCTTTAGAAACCCACTTGTGATGATCTATGTATTGTGTGCCTGTGGCCACCTGTGTTGTATATCATTGCAGAAAATATTTTCTGGTGATAAAGTAATGATTACACCTGTCATACATGTTACTTGTAGTATATTGTTAACATAGCCGAGGCTTTGATTACTATAATGAGCCATACATAATGAGATGGCGGGGAAGGCAAAGCTTGTTCCGATATTCCCCAATATTTAACCCCAGAAAAAGCTTCAAGACGCCCAAGATCTGTTGTGATACTTCCAAAAATAACTTTGGTCCTTAAACTTATGCGAAAATAGTTGTATTGTCATCGTTTTAGAAGAACAAAAAAATTGCTGGATATTGCGTTTTGTCCAAGTTGACACATGTAATAAAAACAAGGAGTAGATAGACAAGCCTACATCTTATTGCAAGAAAGTGACAATTTTGTTGAGAGTCAAGTAGACCGATAACTCACGTGATTGACGGCCCGACCACTAGACCGACACTATCTTTGGCGTTTCTAAGGGCTCAATAGACCGACGGTTCACGAGACGGACATTTTCTATCTTCCATTATCGGTTGATTATGCTTTTCTTTGTTTTTTCGTTCCCATGGGGTATTGATCTAGTGCGTTGTCGGCCTATTGGGCTTGTGGCTTTCTGAACGCTTTTTCAAAGTCGGTCTCCTGTGCTGTTAGTCTACCGAAATGGCCCCGATAGAGAATTATCTCTTTAAACCGATGTATATTACATAAATACATGTAGATTACTTGTCAACCACTTTTGAAAATGTACGAACATTGCAATGACGTATTACATAACTCAAACATGACTTCTATGAGATCATATTATGAAAGGCTATAATTGTGATTGTCTTGGAGTTGATTTCTTCGGTAGTATGACAAAAAGATCCTTGCTGCTTGAATGTTGGTACTTTCAAAGTTCTTAAGGGATGGGGCTGCAGCCTCTCCCCAGCCACTCCCAAACCCACACCTTACGCATATGCCTATCATTAACAATAATTGTTGCTATTGTTATGGAAAATGAAGGCTAGTAATAGAAGTTGCAGCCGAAAGTCAGCAAACCATTGAACAAACAAAGAAAATCTTAAGTATCAATATAGGTCATGGAAATGCAATAGTTCGAAATATGTCTTTCAAATGACAACGCCAAAACAGTAAACATAGCGTTCTCCTCTAAATATGAACTATAACTATAATTTTCAATGTAAATTCTACAATATAACGAACCTTGTGCTGTAACTGCGCAAATCAGGAAGAGAGATATAGATATTCCACAAGCTATATGCAGAACACTTTTAGAAGCCATCACAAGGAGGGGCTGTCAAATAAATCCTCGACAAGTCATTCGTGCTTTCTATATCTCCATAATATCCATGAGTGTTCTTATTTGATTGATAACCGGGCAGAGTTTAGAAAAAGACAACAAGCGAGATCCAGAAACGATTCGCCAGCTCACCCCCTGCAAAATCAAGTTCAGTCCATGATCGGGTATATATACAGAGTAACAGAGAAGCAGTCCTGACTCATTACAAAAGAACTCCACTCATGCAGTCATAATGCTTTGTGTCGTACGGTGGGTCCTATGAATGGGTCTGAGTGAGATGTGCAAACTTGTCAAGAAGGAAATATGTTGACATTTGATAAAATATAATACAGAAAATATTCGACGATTGTCATTGGCTTGGATAGAATGCGAACGGATTTATTTATATTACGAGCAGCGGTTGAATGAGAATAAACTTACCTGCCTTCGTGTACAAACTACACGTGTGCGCTGATATCGAAAATAGTATACTTCATGTTTGTTTTGGCGCCCAATTTCACTTTCCACCTGCTTTACATAATAAAGGGCTACATTTTTATTTTTCAGAAAACCTATTACAATCAATGCTATAACACGTATTTTGATTACACTTCATTATACACACACGTTCATGTATCATATCAGATCACCAATGTAACTGCTAACTTTCTTATGTAAATGGAAATGTTTTGCCCCTAAATTCTTTGAATTGATCAGTACCGGGGGATCAGTATAACTTCAATATATAAGAGCACATCCCTCGGACATGATTTAAAGCGATAAGTTGGTATAATGGTTACTTAGTTGTCTGAAATAAATACATATTCCTACAGTTTAGAGAGTGAGATATTGTAGAGCAGACAAAACGACATTTGAAATGTATAAATACATTAGGAAAGTCACCTAAAAGAAAGACTCATGGGAGTGTCGATTGATGGAAATGTGACAATGCGAGACAACGTATTCATGCTTATAAAGGGAGAAATGAACTGAAAATTGAAGTTCGAGGGAGCAATAATGATAAAGAATTGTCAGTTCATCAATAATATCATCTCATCAATTGGTGTTGGAAGAGTCTGCAAAGACATGTCACAACTTTCTAGTTCTGCTATAAACTATAGCCCCCCCCCCCATTTGTTTGATTAAAATGCGTTGAGTTGTATTGATGTGGAGTATTCGAATTGTAAAAGTCTGTAAAGACATGGCATAACCTTCCACTTCTGCTGTAAATTAGCCCACCCCCTCCCTCCCCAGTAAAGTTTAAGACCAGTTGAGTTGAGTTACCAGGAGATGGATGACGTCGTTTCGAATGCAGACGTGGTCATTATCTTCCAATGACCCGACTCCAGACGATTTGGAGAAAAGTACTTTTCATAAAAATAGCTGGTATTTAATCTCTATGGATTTTATGGATTTTATGACTGTAAGCTCTGCTTCGTGCTCATGGAAGGTCTTTGCCACCTGTAAAAAGGAACTATTATAATCAGAATCGAATAGATAAAAGGAATATATTTTATTACTCTTGGTTGAATTGAGAAAGGAATAAAATGACTATAAACCGATGAATATATGAAAGAGACTAGATATTTCAAACAAATAAATAAATGAACGAAGGACGAATATGATTTATTTCTAAAGGAGGCTTTGCAAACAAGGAGGCAATTTGGCCTGGATCAAAAGTAATATTTTTCACAAAAGAGATCTTTGCATGAGTGAATCTTCTGTTAGGAATAATTTATGATCGAAAAATTTAGAAATTAATTCCAGAATCTAAGTCTACCGGATCCTCGAACGGCTTTTCATTGAATGGAAGAAGAAAAAACACATGGATATGCTAAAACTGACGGAGGACATCAAAAAGGTGATTTGGGAAGTAAGCAGGTTAGCAAGCAAACAAGATTTTTGACATGGGTTTCTTGTTGGTATACCATTGGCTTCTCAATGACAATGATTTTATTAAAGTTTGGATAATGTTGACACCACCTCTTTTTACCTTTCTTTCTTTCTTTCATTCTTACATTCATTCATTATTTCTCTCTCTCTCTCTCTCTCTCTCTCTCTCTCTCTCTCTCTCTCTCTCTCCGTATTCTAATATTTTCTGCTTCTCCATTTTGCTCTTCTTTTCTGATACCATTCCCTCCTGTCTGTCCCAATACTCTCTTATTTATGCGAGTAAAGTTTTAAGTATAATGACACCCCTCTCTCTCTCTGCATTGTATTCTTCCGTTTTCCACTTTTCTCTATCGTACTTTTCTCTCTCTCATTTATTCTATGTTCACTCTAGTATTATTCTATCTCCCTTTTCACTAAGACACAGAATTTCTACCACATTCATCATAATCATTATTATCCTTCATTACCATCATCATACTATCACCATCATCATCGTCACCATCGTCATAATAAATACCACCACCATCATCATCATTACCTCTCTCTTATCATCATAAACTGGATCACCCTTCCCCGTTTTATACCACCTTTGTGTTTTTATCTCTCTTTTCCTTGCTCTGTCTCTCACTCCCTCTGCCAAGAGACTAATTGGAAGCTGAAAAGCCAATAATATACCACACAGGAAAGAAATGTGCATTGTAGCAATATATATTTCATTGTTTATACAATAAAACTCTTATAGATGGTACAAAGAAGTCGAACTTTAGTCAATTTGTTCAACACTCAGATACCTGATAATGTAATTTGAATATCATTGACATCAATAATGTAATTAAAGAGCACCAAACTTGAACTATTTCTTGATGAACACTGAATTAAAAAGGAAACATATAAATGGATTGAGAATGCAAACGTCAGCCATTTCAAGGTACAATTCCTCGGGTCCAAGATGATTACATTCCAGAATAATATAACACAGATCTTGATATCATCACAGTTTAACAATTTCAACCTCATTTAAGTAAAGTATTAGGCCTACACAAAAGGTATAATTAGTAGGTAACTTTCGTAATGTAATCAAATCTAATGCACAAATCTGTTTTAAGTACCTAAGTAATTGCGTATATTTTTTTGATTTGATTTATTGATTAAGTGTTGTTAGGTAGGACGAGCCATAACGTTTGTCCTACATAGCAGCAATTGATGTGTGCAGTTTACATTCTGATTATTGAAACACAACTATTCATTACAGGTTAATGAAATAGCTTGTAAGGACCCACTTAACAAAGACTTGTGCATTAAATTTGAGTACATTACAAAAATGGTCTATTGATCATCAGGATCATAATCATGATCAAATGACTGGCAACAACTGCAACGTAAAAAATAGACCCCGAAAGGTCGGTTTCTTGTGAGGGTTCACAAGGTCAGAGGGAAGGTCATAAAGCATGACAATCAGTAACATATCCAGGATTTGTAAATGGGGGGAGGGGGGGGGGGGGGGGGGAGTAAGAATCTTTACACATGCATGACTTTGGGACTTTGTCAATATAGAGTTGGAGCATGCTCCATGCACCCCCTCCCCCCCCCCCCCCCAAACAAAACGAAACAACTTACATGTAACTACAATGGCTCGGTGATAGAGCAGTAATCTCATATTTGGGAGGTCTTGGGTTTGAAACCATGTCGATGTGCTCGTGCCTTTTGGTAAGGCAGTAAAACTCATTATTCAGTCCCTCAGACAGAATTTAAAGCCGTCTGTCCCCTAGATGCTTACTTTCAAGCATATGCATACTTTCTTTAATAAAAGTTAGATAAAACAATCATCAACAACTGTACAACAGACATATCTCACTTATTAAAGCTTTAAATTGTCAACTGAAGATACGAGAAGATCATCAGATGATTTGAAATTCAGTTTTCTAACAGGAACAATGCATCCCACCCCAATAATAATATTCCATTATACTAACTACTAAATCTCCCTGACAACAGAAACAAGATCTCAATGTACATGTATAACTAACCTTGATGCTAAATTCTGACTACATGCTGAAATGAACAAAACATTGACTGGACCTTATAATTAACAGTGTTAGATTTATGTATAAGTACCACAAATGTATACTGTCGTTATGGCAACAGGAATGGAAGACTCAACTTAAAAGTATGAAAGGTCATAAAAAAACATCTCTAAAAACAATTCTACAAGATGCAAGATCAATTCAGGAACAATGTAAAAATATGGAACACACATGTATGATTGACGGATATACATGTACAAAGTGGTTGAAATATTTCTCATTATTACCCGTATCAGACATCTAAGCAGTGGTTTTACAAAATCATATTGCTCTAGATGTCTGATTTGGATAACAATACAAATATTGACTGGCTTAAATTTCGGGAGATACCACATATATTGCCCTCACAAGACCCATATTTCCCTCGTCTTTGACTCAGGGCAATACGAGTCTAGTTTGGGCAATATATGTGGTATCTCCCACAAGGCCAGTCAATATTATATAAATGTTTATATTCGGTAGAAGTACAATGCAGTGAAATCATTCTGTGTTGTTCAATGCTTTAATAAACTTACTGTATATTCTTTAATGCAATGAATAGTGGTGATTGACGAGACAAGAAACATGACAACAAGACGTTTTGTTACAAGATAAACTGAAGAGTTGTATTACTCTACCCAGGTGGAATAATATAATGATTTATTATTCTGATCTTTCCCCACTTGCTTACTTTAACAATGACTCTTGTATTACCCCTTTTGGGTGGTAGAGGCATAAACAGAAATGAGATGGCATACAAATGCTATTTCATTATGTTTTTATCATTTGTTTACCCATGGTCAATAACCCCTTTCGACTGACTGGATATAAACAACAGATAATGGGCATTTTTGAAAACAACACCTTTTGCCTTACCATACACAGAAAGCTCTGCAGTTGGCATAAAACCAGTCATAAATGAACAATAGTGAGAGGCTGTACTACTCATCTCCTCATTTGCTGTTACAGTCGATTAAATCATACTCGAGTAAAGTATTCCCAGGACTAATATTGACCTCCATTGGCTCAATGAGCAGTGAATGTTTGATCAGGCAGTATGCACGACAAATTAAATACAAAATGAGTTCAACTTCAACACCCTTGAGTAGCTTTAACCCATGTACATGAAATGGCATAGACTTTGTCGAGAGCCAGAGAGGTGTTATGCCCCTTTTAGGACAGGTATTTTTTAAGGGCTAAATTAATCACAAATTGTTCTTTAAATTGGCAACAATATTTTTCTTCAAATATTGTTTCTTTGTTCTAACAATGTGCAATGTCTCTGAACACCATATACATAGGCAGAAATTTGTTGACAGTTTTTTAAATGGTTAATTTTGATTTTAAAAAACAATAACAACACATGCAATGATTCTGAACCTCTCATAGTGTTGCCAATTTAAGGAACTTGAATGCCTTAAATTCATTTATAAAATTGCTGGCATCAAATTCAATGTGGCCATGCAATAAAAATGGACGCAATGTGTGCATTAATTTTTGCCCTTCATTTTCATGAATCTATTATATTTGTAAGGCTCTGAGGCAAAAGATATTAAGCCAAATCACATAATGCTGAACGCTTAACTAATTCTGAAATCTTATTTTAGAGGTGTCGTGGTCGAGTGGATATGTCACCGGACTGTGGATCACAAGGTCTGCGGTTCAAATCCCGCCGCGGCACTAATGTCCTTTGGCAAGACATTGATCTACATTTGCCACTCTCCACCCAGGTGTTAAAATGGGTACCCGGTAGGATGCGAAAGCTAATGTGGTTTGATTAGCAATGGCGCTTGTAAAATGGCGACTGGCTGGAATGCTCCCCAGGGAGTGGAGAATGTGCATACCTTGTGTGCGGGTAAGCCTGAATCCGATGACCGGGGTAATAATATGTTCCGCGCCTAGAAACGTAGTATTAGGCGCATTATAAATGTGAGCTATTATTATTAACCCAAAATACGCTCTTGGCTCTAAGCAGACAATATCGGTCATCTACTATTGGTGTTGACAGGGTTAACACTTTCATTAAAATAAAACTGACACAAATATAACTCTGTATCCTTTTTTGTCCTTACTGAGGAGGTGACAACAGCTGGAAGTACAAAGTGATGGTGAAATTTTAAAATAGCGCAAACCCATGTAAAAGCCTCGATGTTTCACTATGTTATTGTGGTCAGCACCACAATAACATTGGAAAGCTTTAAATGTTCGTTGCACATTTGATAAAAACATAAGTTGAGAACTTAACAAAATTACTTATTTTTGGTTGATTACATAATTTACATAATATCTAAGTATATCAAACATACATGTACATGAAAAAATAAGACTTCAGAATTAGTTTGTCCATTCAAGCAACCTCATGTCCAAATATCATGTTACATTAACATGTAATATCATTAAGTAAAAAATGGCAACAAAAACATTTATATGAAGATGTAAATTTGTATGTATGTTCAAATCATAAGCTGTGTATATCTACAGTATCTAACTACATGAACATGTTCATTTATTTGTCCATTCAATACTGTAAATGGTCATTAAAAAAAAAAAAAAATTAACCAAATTATAACAAAAATTATTGCACAATATTTTTTATATCAGATTTCATACATCACGTATAGCGATATAAAGGAGAGCGGATAATAAAAGAATATATCTACGAACACCTGTTCGTACGGACAATGCACATCATGTAGATTTACATCAAAAATAATCCTAAATTATGTGAAGAACTTATAAACCACAGCTATCTAAACAGGGCATGCATTAAACTTGTATGATCAGCTGGTATATTCTTTTGGCTCTTATCAAACCTGTCAAATACGATATGATACATATTTCCAGCAGACTTCCAGCCCAATAGTGCAATTTATCTCAGGGTTAATAATCAAGAAGTTAAAAGAGAAATAAATTGGTAAAGGATGAGTCTGTACTAAAAAATGGAAGCTAAAAATGTACTGGGTGAATATACATGCAGCAATTAATGATGAGAGTGCAGTCATTAAAGGACATTCATGAGCTGTGAGTGTAAACAATGTACATACACACATACACATGTACACCCATGCAGCATGTTGATATGTATTCAATGTACTTCAATACAACAAAGTTCATTACAAAACATTACTCACATGTTGAAATAATATGACACTGAATTTAAAGGGGAAAAAAAGCCTGATCTGTTTCCCTATCATCATCTCAGTGACAGACAGGTTTTTTTTTTTTACTCATATTTAGTTATTGAATTGTCTTATTGGAAATATTACCAATGAAAAGCTTGTCTTTTATTTTCAATTTCAAAACAGGCATCAGTCACTATGAAATTACAGATAATAGATGAATCAATTTCATATTGATGCTTGTTTGAAGATGGCCTGTAAAAAAGAGTACACTTGTCTGACCAGGGTTAACTGTTTGTGATAAATATTTTGGGAACCAAGTGGCATTATAAAGTCAATAAAAATGTTTTTGTTGTTGATGGGCTGTTGATTTAAAGTCCAAGGAAAGTGGTTTGGCAGGCAATGAAAGTACAGGTTGATAAACAGAGGTTTAGAAAACTGTCTTAACTAGTTTAAAAAAGAAATTTTCATGTACGATGCAGCATTAAAGCATTATTTAATTGTTTTCATAAAATTCCTGAATTTTAACATAGCTTGGTAATGTATTATGTAGAACTAGGCCCTTTCTTTAAAGAGTTACGACTGATCCAAGCTGATTGCATATATCAGTTGCAGGCCTACAATGAAGAGATATTAGGAATATGTAAGCTTGCGATTGATTGATGGAGTTTGCAATCAATCTGCATTAATCTCAACTCTTTATTGGACAAGGCCCATGATTGTCAGTAAAACATTATCTAGTACTAATGTACATAAAAATCAAGTATGCATACTTGTTCTTGTACAATATATGTACATACCAGTGTATATCATATACACATCGAGTGTGTGTAAAAGTGTTCGTTCTTTAACCCTTAAAAACAATTCAGAAAACATCTCGTACATGACAAGCGTTGCAGGCACAGCACATATGATGGCAGCTGAATCCCTTTATTCATACACTAATGCATATATATTGTGTACCAGCAAGAAGAGCGTTTCTGCCATTGACATTATAAAGCTCTTTGATACAGCCTTCTTGCAAACAGCCGACAATTGTACCACGCTTCAATCACTGGAATCGCCATTCTTTATAACTTCTCATCAATTTCATCGCCAATTTAAAATTCACCCGAAACCTCTCTCATAAAGGCATTCTTCATTGACTATATGATTACATCAAAGGCTTGCCTGACATATCAACCTCCAGCATCCATACATACAGAATACTGCACTGGATGGTATGAAAGATATAGCTAGTACGAGGCACTCGGGAATCACAAACACGGTAAACATGGAGACACTTTGATAGCCCATGGCAAACTCAACTGAAAACGCTTGATTAACTCATTTGAATTATGTGTTCATACCGCCGCCAACAGGTCAAGCCTGGACAATGTTCAAGACGGAACAATGACTTGGATGTCACGACCGAATCGTATCCTGAATTGTTCGAACAGGAGGAAGGTGAGGATCGTGTGAGGTCCGAGTCGCACAAAGGCAGGAATGAATCCCTTGAAGAAGCCCATAGGTCCTAGCTTGGCAACGCTCATAAAACAGTCCAAGGCATTCTAGAGTACACAAAATAGAAGAGAATGAGATAAAGAGACAATAGAAATCACTTTTTATTTAAAGGCAGCAAAATAAAACGTTGGGGAATCCCACTAGGTCCCATATTGGAATCATTTGGGACAGTGAAGGACATTCTATTTCTACACAAAAATAGTAGAGAATGAGAGATAAGGGATCATAATCTATAAAACGACCCAAACATAACCCTTGGAGAATCCAATCTATCCCAGCTTGGTTATGTTCAGAAGCCTTAAGAGTATTCTATAAGAAAAATAACAGGGGAAAATGAGAGAGAGGGAGAGAGCTGTTATCAACAAAGCCTGTAAATGAGAATTATCCAAAGGAAGTGGAGGAAAATTGGTACTGAAATGTGGAATGAAATTACAATAAAGTGTTTTACAAAATCAATAGACCAAAACCATAAAAAAAGAATCAAATTGCCAAAAAAGGACCTTTGATTGGATCAGTAATAAGCCAGTTTGTAAATACCATTTGGCATAGGCAGAGAAAGGTCATTTGTTCCCCAATTGTAAACCCAACAAAACTAATACTGGTATCATGGCTCATGAAAGTAATGTAATCAGTATTCACTTATACACTGACAGTACATTTATCTGATACTTCGTCTCAAGAGGCAAATTAAAGGTTTTCATGAAGCACCTCAATCACGTATCCATCATGTAAAAGATCTGTGGATATTTCGGGGCCATGCTTTCCAAAGCTATTTACGAACTGGCTTATTGGAAAATGCTACATGAATATATTTTTTTTCTTTCAATACCTACATATTTTTGTTGTTTGCCATGCAACAGATGCATGGTTTGCAGATATACTTTTACAGAGGTATGCAATTCAAATTGTTGACCTTTCTCTGACCAGTTAATCTACAAACTGCATCATCCTATCTTTAACAGTGACATGATTTCTCTGCATTAATCCATTATCTTTTCATAACAAAATTATACAAAGTTAAAGATCTGATGAAAACTGGTATGTGCACCTTTCTGTGGGACACAATACTATGCATCACCTTATGACAAATCTTGAGTGGACTTGATGCCAATGGCAACGAAGGGCCAAGAAAAAAGGCTAGTTTATTTCACTTGTAGCTTCCAACCATCCTAAGTGATTCTTTTTTTTTTACTCACCTTGTACTCGCCTGGTTTGGCATTCATTAGTCTTGTCTTCATGACATCAGCTGGCTGTGTTAATACTGTGGCACAAGTACCCTGGAGAAAAAAAGGAATATATAATCACTTAAATGATTTATTCATTGGTCTTATCTTCAAGACATCAGCTGGCTGTGTTAATACTGTGGCATAAGTACCCTGCAAAAAAAATAAAAGATATAGAATCACTTTAATATGTGACATCGATGCCATACAACACCTGGACAAAGTCACATTTCTCAACAAAGTGGCAGAAATAGCATAGGGTATTCAATGTACGATGCTATGCATATTTTAAATATTCCTCAAAATATTGTGCCCAATTTTATTGCACTACTACATGTACATGTAAATTTTATATATTAAATTCCCATTTCTCCTCTCTCTCGACCCAGGAGTCAGAATGTTAGCTGGTAAAATGCAAATGTCAGTGTGATCAGATTAGCATATTCACATCCACAAAAAGGCAATAGTATAGTATTAATGACTGCTTTGAGAGAAATCACGCCTCGGGCAATAGCACAATTCTAACCTTCCCTTGAGCGTATAAAAACAACTATTTCTCGAATATTAAAGCAGTCGTTAATACATGTACATTTATATGCCAAAAAAAAAAAAAAGAGTCAACTTATGACACCATCTTGGCCTTTATCTAGTTTGTCTGCATGGTTGTTTTTTATGAGTGTATCTTTGAGAGTAGACTAAAAAATAAAAAAAATATTTTTTTTTTTTGAAGATGGGATTCGATCTCTGGCGTACCAACGATGATGTGACTAAAATCACCGCCTTAGACCGCTCGGCCATCGCACACCGATACCATACCTAGCAGTTTTCTCTGATGTATACATTAAAATGGATTGAAAACGGCTTCGCGTGCTGGATGCTTCGCGGCAACTCCATTAAATGGGCCCTTCTTTTACTTTTGCAATGCATTGGCACGAACTTAAATAAAATCTATCGGCAGATTTTGTTTTTGGAAGTTTATTTTCGTCTTCATGTCAACAATGCAAGATAAAATTGTCAGTAAGATCGATCAAGATTCAATTGTAATGAAATTACCGACCAATTCATCGCACACGTACGGTATCCTCGATCGCTCAGACCATTTCTTAACATGTGAACCTATAGGTATTTCACCAAGACTGAACCATTTTCCCAGTAACCATGGTAACTGGGATTTTAGAACTATTTTTTTGAACTATTACATGGTTTTGGAATTTTACCAGGAATTTTACAGGAATAGTTGGGGGAAGTTTATGAATGCAGTTTCGACCAATCAGATGGCTGGATTTCTTAAGTGAGGTATATAATGAGATATGTTGCACCCGGTTAAGTTACAATGAGCTGAATAATGGCATTGACAAGTCTCATTCATCATCTGATTGTGACTTAAAGGGATTGGGTATCTTTGTCTGAGATTCTAAACAAAATCCTGGATTGACCTCATGCTGCAATCATAATTATAAACCTTTAGGTCAGTCAGGAATCCCATGACTTTTACAAGCCGATTGCCTGTCTGATTATCAACACATTTATGATTGGAATTCGAAATTTCAAAAAATGTTTTCCCAACGGTTTCATAACACCACATTCTATTAAGGAAAATGAATATGGTAAAACCGGTCACTCAAAGTTTTTACTTTTTTGAGGCACTTCATGATCATTTTGAAGCTTAATTTTTCTAGGGCTCCAATATTACACAATATCACAGACACTGATAACACGTAGGGCCATGCATCTCAGATTTGTAAAACTGGAAACATTGTTAAACAATGCTTTAATCTGCATGCAGAGCATATTTACTATGAATGCACCTGCAAACATGATGCATGTAATTGATATAAAATAGACTTACAGCCATGGTACTTGCAGTGAAGTGGGTCATTATGTTATCATTGAAGTAACCTGATTGCAGTAAGAACTGTTTGTACTGATCGTAGAGAGCCACCTGGATAAGGAGACGAAGAAGAAGAAACACAATATGCTTAAATATTAATGTGCAAGAAAACTGTCTAGGTATTCTTTTTAAATGCACATACATACAGGCATGTTGTGGACAAAATGTGAAAATCTTTGTATATACACCTGTATAGACAGTCATCAACGGTTCTGATTTATTTTTTGAGGGGGAGGGGGGGGGGGGGGGGGGGGAGGGGTTGTCATCAGGCAATCTACACGATGCTCTCATTATAGGTGACTGCTGTCATATGATGTGGAAGTCTTGGGTTTCGATCCACAGCGACTTAAGGGTTAATTAAGTTAAAGCTAATCTTGAGCTCTGGTATGGGAATCACATTTAGAAAGAAAAATGCTCAGATTTATTCTGGATTGTTTATCCTGCAGTAGATTGGTTGTATGAACAAGTGAAAGAAAAACAAATGCACAAAAGCCTACTGGGCACCATCTTCAATAACAACCACAAATCCCAGTGACCTGTGTTAAGCACATGGTGTCGGTCCTACTTACCCGGATTTCCTGATCATTCTATGCTCATTACTCAGCCACTATACATTTTCTACCAAAATTGTTTGGTACATGTCATTAATTCGTAATCTTGAACATTCAGTGTAAGTTTCGTTGGAGAATTTATTTTCTATATTTACCGGAACTCAAGTTTATCGTTAATGAAGTTAAACAGTGGCAATCCACAACCCTCGTGATAAATTCATTTGAATGAAAGCAGAAAAATCAGAGGAAAAGAATGGCAAAATATTTTTAAAAATCAGACCAATAATAACAAAATTATGGATATTTGAAATATGAGATCTCTACAGCTATATGCAGATCTCAAATTGGTTATTTTGTCAGTGGATTGTTACGTAGTGACGAATAACTCTCCTGTTTGTTGTGTACTAAAATATTACTAATTTCTTCTATTCTCCCAAGAGCGCTACTCAAAATATATATTAAGGAGATTGTATTGTTACAGGTCCTCTCGAAAGAAAAGACCATCTCAGGTCGTACATATTGAAGAATCTTTTTTTTTTTAAATATCATTTTGGCTGTTGGACAAATAGTTGTCCAGCACTACATCATAGTGACATTACCGATTCAGCCAATTTGAAGTTCTAATACGTAAAGTGATTATATATCTTTGAAATGTCCAATTTCTCTCAAACTTTCACCAGTCTGCTTCTCTGATTTTCCTGCTTTCTGTTAGAGTTGTTTGTTATCAAGGTTGGATTTCCCCTTTAAGGTTACACACCTGTCCGAATGTCATAAGGAAGCCTCTTGCAACAGCCATAGACCAACCATTCCATAAGCTTACTACACCCTCTAAAAGATGATGCAAGAAAGATGAGAGAAATAAAGCATCGGATGAGTACACGTACATGCGATAAAATAGGCTCTTTATGACTGACGGGGAAATGGATGAAACATGAGACGATTATTCCAAGCTTGCAATATCTGGATACTGCATGGAATAACTAATGCATGAGTACGCTTCATGTAACTGAATACACAAGCATAAAAGGTGATTATACAGTCACGTAATTTGTTATGCAAGCACAAGTATGGAGAACTGATAAATTTGTACCAAAATAACTTTTACGGCTTAATGCTTGCACTATTAAAGATTGTACAGTTTTACAGTATATTGTCATTTCAGTTTTTAAGAGTAATAAAAACAAAAAGCCATAAGTTTTCAAGACCAAGTGTGGTGAATGACAACATCTATCCTGATAATTGTCATAAAAGCTGATTAAACTATCACGTAATTTGTTATGCAAGCACACGTATAGAGAACTGATAAAATTTGTACCATAACAAAAATCGATTGTACAGTTTAACAGTATATTTTCATTTCCGCTTTTGAGAGTAATAAAAGAAAAAAGCCATCATACATTTCCAAGTCTAAACGTGGTGAATGACAAAATCTATCCTGATTTCAAGGGACCAAAACAAGATAAGCTGAGGTGTGTACGGTGAGTAAACATAGTTTAGTGGTCCACATAACCTCTTTCAGATTTCAAGTGGTAAAGCGCAGCAGTTTTTTTAATGGCAAAAGCGTGACACGCTTAACATTTCTGTGTCTTATAACACAGAGCTAATTGAATTTGCATAGGACCTTTGTTTGGACGCAGTCTCCAATGGATTTAAGAAACAAGATGAACTAAAAAATATGATTACTTTTTTTTAACATACCTTTTTTGTAGACCTGCCATAGCCCATCAAGGGCATGTTTATAACTGTTGGAAACAGGAGGAGAAAGCAGAGTTATTTAAGTTTACAATTACGGTGTAGTGGTTTGGACAAAGGGCACCAGACTGGATGTAAACCAGTCCTGGTTCAAATCCAATCCATGGTAGAAAGTTCTTTAGACGAGGGACCAAATTAGATTTCTAAAACTATGGCACCCCCCCCCCCCAAAAAAAAAAAGAGAAAGAAAGAGTCAAACAAACATTTGAATGAGATATATATATCCTTTGACATACAATGTACATTGTAATGTTTGTCCAATCATTGAAGAATACTGGTGACTTCGTGTTATTTGTGGCATTGATCTTATACGGTACAACAAATGTAAAAGGAGGAGCCCTTTCCAAAGCTTGGTATTTATTTCAAATCTCACCCATCCAACAAACTGCTAATCATACCCCCAAATAAAGCTACTTAACATAATATCCATTATGGGCCCACATCACAATGCCGGAATATAAACAGGGAAAATAACAGAAGGACCGAGAATTAGTAAAAAAAAAGCTTAAAAGTGCAAGTGAATTTGGCATCACTAGGACAGACTGCATACATGAATATTGGTTGCATATCCAGCTTATGACAACCCTGTTTTACATGTATAAAACCCATTGCTCTCCACCCCTCCCCCCCCCCCCCCACACCCTCTAACTTTGTCTCGGCAAGAAGTAAATTTTTCACCTTGACCTGGAAAAAAAACTTGGATTGTGTTTTTTATAAATTTCCACTTTTATACCAGCACATTCCACTTTATTACATCCTCCTATTGAAGGTCATGCCAAAATGTAAACAACTTCAAGGCACATTGTCTCTCTAAGATTAACAGACCACCAAATTACCCAACTTTGTAGACAGACCGGATGTCATAAATATCTTCTTCTGAGTTCATACCAGTATACTTTTTATTTCTTTTATCACATACTCTAGTTGTATTATTTTGAGGAAATTGATGACTTACTTTCTCCTTTCTGCTGGTTGTAGTTTGATATCATTCTGCATCCTGACGTTGATCATATCTGCTGGTGTACCCACAAAGCCCCCAACAGCTCCTGTGACAGACACAATCACAATATTCGAACTTTATTACAATAACTATATCATATTTCTGGTGGTTTTTATAGCCCTTAGTAAGGGGACGATGTGTCTACGCACTTGTGTTCAGTAAGATACAATTATAATATTTTGCGCTTATTTAGCGCTCAATACATCGACAGATCTCTAAGCGCTCTACAGATATATCATTACCACTGTCATTGGATTCAGCCTTTCCCCCGCAAGCATTATGTGCACATTCTCCACTCCCTGGGGAAGGATTCCAGCCAGGCACTATTTCACAGTTTCCCCCAACGCTGAGCAATCTTTAATGACTTTGCATCTTACCGGGTACCCACCAACACCTCCATGGAGAGTGGCAACTGTATATTAATGTCTTGCCAAAGGACATTCATGCCGGGCTGGGATTTGAACTCTCCACCCTTGGATTAAGAGTCAAATAAATGAACCACTGTACCACTATGCCTCTTAGGACAACGATGATAAAATAAAGCTCTACACCACGTGTATAAAGGCACTACCTCCTGAGCTAATGCCCTGACAAGACGATTAAAAAAATGAAGAGAATGTTGTTCTTGTGGCTATTTTTATGTATTAAAAAATAATAATAACAAAAAATAAAAAATAAAAAACTTTCTTCACTCTCTTGTCGCAATGCATGCATTTCTGAACATTTACACCTTACAATCATGTGTACAGGTGTATATATGTGTTGGGTGATTTCATTTTCAAAGCTTAGAATTTGCAGGTACAGTGTACGCCATGTAATGTAACTGATTGAGGTTGTTTTGTGTCTACTGGAATACACAGGAATATATTTCTAGATTCGGTGACCTTAACCAATTTTGAAAATTTACACAAAAATGTATGAATGTCACCGACATTTCTACCCACATGTGCAAAAGGATATTGATATATTTACTCTTTTTTAATTGTTCAGCAGATTACAAATCAACCTGTGAATCAGTTTACATGTATATCTCTTAAATCCAGATTAAACAAACAATGGAACCTCGGCAAGGTTCAAAGTACATACTAAAAAAACACTATTTGTTCTGTGATATTAAACAGCTGGTAATGTAAATACTACGTCGGGATAGGGAAAACGCTGCATCGACCAATAATTTTGCATGCTGACCTGGCATATTTTTCAACATATGTACATTTATATGAGTGGTGAAATGTTACAGTCCAATCTCATATTGCCAAGGACATGGAATCACTAAGGGCTCAACATTGGCAACACTGATTTTTGATCTTTTTTTTTAATGCAAGGAATTTTTAAATGAAAATATGAATGAAGATTGATAAATTAGCCGGTATTTACCAACTATTAAAAATAGCAACTGACATTTTTTTCACTTTCATATTCTCAGTCTACTTTCCAATTTAAATAAGTGAATGACTATTGGCAATATTAAAGTGACAAGAAGCTTATGTGGAAGATATTTCTGATTTAAAGAAGGGATTGCTGTAACTAGTCTTATAAATTATGTAGAAGTGTTGTAGTTGAGTGGGCTAAGCACTTGACTTGAAATTTGACGGTCGTGGATCCCCGACAAGGCACTAATGTCCTTTGGCAAGGCATTAATCTACATTTGCCACACTCGCCCCACGTGAGGTAAATTAATTCCTTGAAATGCTAGAGCGCTGTAATTAATTTGTGCGCCTCCGAATAGATTTGTTTAGATAGACGGCGCTATATAAATGCCAATTATTATCATTTATAAAATCATAACAAAATTCTCTGTGAATCTTGAAGCCACACCTGCGAAACCAGCCAGAAGCATCTTCTGATAAAACGGGAGAGGTCTGCTGGGGTCGTCCGCTGTTAACCTCTGCTTCATGGCCTCATATATACCAAACCTAGCCATGGAGTAACTGAGCTGTAACGGAAATACAGAAAGAGAGAGTGAGACAGAGGGAATTGGGGGGGGGGGGGGGGGGGGAGGGGGAGGGGGGTGGAGGTGAGAACAAAATGAAGGAGTTAAAGATAGGGAGAAAAGAAAGAGAAGTAGAGAGTTAGCGGGAGAGAGAGAGAGAGAGAGAGAGATGGAGAGAGAGAGAGAGAGAGAAAAAGAGAATGAGAGAGGGAAGAGAAAGAGAGGTTTGGAAAGGGAAAATAGAGGAGAGAGAGGTGTCGATCTACTTCAGTGAGATAGAATTACAATTCTCAACAATTATGCAGTTTGCGTTCCAGACACATCTTTTTGTGCCACAACAGTTAGCTAATGGCCTCAAACTATTCTAGTTCCTACAAAAGCCCAGCAAATAAGAAGATTCCTACAGTATCTCAAGTACCGGTCTGCCATAGCCTTTTCTACTGACCTGCGTCTACTGAACGTACACATACAGGCATGTACGGGGACTTACAAATATATGCTGTCAAGAGATAGTACATATAGGCTTTTATTTAGCCTTGACAAAGTTGGAGAATGGAATTCATGTTTGTCGACTATCTGATGAACAATGGGGTAAACAATCCACACAACCTTTACCCCTTCTAAGATACAAATAATGCTGATTCAACAATTGTCTCTAAAACTGCCATTTTCTGTAGTGAGATGACCATGTACAATGTAGGATAGCTGCTAAAATCACTATGGAAAAGCTAACAATACGTTCTAAAAACCGAAATATATGTGTACCTGTTCGGCGGTCACCCATAACAATTGTCAGCATAATCTTGTTTTTTTAAAGTTTTCTTGAAAGGAAATCAGCTTGTACATCTGACAACTATGACAGATTTAGGCAGATTGTAAATTTGTAAATCTTCATGACTTAACAAGTACAACATCCGAGGGGGGGGGGGGATGGAGTAAATGTGTATGACATCTGTGACCTGTGACATATGTTCACTTTTAATGGTTATCAATGGTAATAACACAGACTTTAGGAAGCATTTCTATTTTGTTCACACCATCACTGCATTGTATGTCATGTAAAGGACAAAATGAGAGATTTTAATTTAGTCAGTTTGGTGATTGTATCCTTCATCCACCTAGAGATTACATAAAACAATTAATTGCTAATTTTAATCTAATCATAAAGCTGATTTAATAAATGATTTAATAAATGATTTAAGGTAGAATTACCTGTCTGCATAAGGAAGCACTCAGCCCATTGTAGAGTGCTAAAACTCCCTCATTCTTGACTATATGTACCGCCATCCCAGAAGCATTCATCTGTACAGCCTGCTGCGTCTGTAAATGGACCTGGAAGTTACAACAGGAAGAGAAAACACAAACAAAATGATGTAGAAACAGCAATTTACAACCACGTTTGCCCATTAAAGGCAAGCAAGTTGTTTATATGCCTGCATGTACATGTATATCTCATTACTTCACATTTAATAAAAAAGACGTCAAAAAATAATTAGTACTGAATAAATTTAATAACATGAATTTTAATATGTGAACCATACGTTAAATTCATTTAAAAAAGCAACAAAGAGCATCTTTTATCTTTGTAGGAAAATCAATGATCTGAGGAATAAAAAATTAAAAAATAGAAAGGTTTAAACTTTAAATCAAATTGGAATACCTCAAAACTCTTTTCTCAATACACATATTAACCTGTATTTGATTACAGTTGAAGTAAGATGTCATGTTAATCAATTTTGTCAAAACCATACCCCCTTACCCTCTCCCTAAACTAAGCCCTAAGGTATTGCGATCACTTTGACAAACGGAAACCATACACCCCTTCCCCCTTTCTACCTCTCCCCCATTATCTGGAAATATTATGGAGGGCAAATGTTGAAAAGTATCACCTCTGGAAAAAAAATGTTGATTATGTTAAACAAAAAAAGTATAATTAATTTTGTGATATAAGTACATGTATAATTCATGTGTTTTTCTTTGTAATCGATATAATTTTGTGTTTCTTATGTACGTATTATTAAATTAATAAAAGATGGAAAAAAAAAAAAAAAAAACAACACTCACTTTGACAAGATCCAATGGATGAGTAACACATGCTGCTCCAGCGCCGGCAAAACCACCAAAGTAAAACCTTGCCACTCTCCTGGTGGTATACTGCTCTTTCTTTTCCGTTGTCGCGGGCGACACTCCTCCTCCGCCTCCTCCCCCTCCGCTGGAAGATGGGACCTTCATTGATGCGGGGTCTAAGGGTACTGCTGCATTGGCTCCTGAACCAGGGGTGAATATGACCTGCCCTGTCATGGTATAGTAGTGCTCTGTGAATGCGATCACTGGTGAGTGTGGACCGACTCACGACCTACCTGCAACAGTTGGCAATTTACAAATAACACGCTTGAACGAACACAGAATCAAAAGTGCAAAGTACATTCAAACACCCTATCTTACATGTAACTCTTTGAGTTTTGATTAGTTTGCAGGTACAAAGTCAAACCCTTGTCAGTGGCTGTGCATAAACAGTGTCTCCACTGTTAAGGCCTGTCCTCATTAGCTCGAGTTTGCCAAATAACCCGCTATTTTCAGACTCGGGATATTATCCCGAAGCTCGAAATTGAGTCTTCACCAGGCTAATACGCTCATCACAAACTAGCTTAGACTGGCGTAAATTAACGCGATATTTCCCAAATAGCAGGATATTTTGGAAACAAGACCAATACGGTATGTTTCCGGATAATTTCTCGACCAAATATTCTGCTAATTGCAACTGCAGGCTGATGAAGACGCAAATTGACTGGTTAATTTGTGATCTGGATAGTTAAAATAGCGGGTTATTAGGCAAACTCGAGCTGATGAAGACAGGCCTAGTGAGACTTGGCTGACATCATACTGCATTATTCAGATGGTCATATCTCAGCCAATACTTAACATATTCAATTGGTTTATGACATTCGGACATTATTTTTGATGCTCTTTCGGAAAATGAAGAAAAAATTGAGAAATTCTAAAAATTGATTTTTGATGACATCACACTTCACCACTCTATGGGAATCAGAGAGTTCAGTAGTCAATGGGTTAAAGCCAATATTTTGAATTATTTGTAATGCACTAAAAGGGTTGTTTGGACCAGTTACACTCAACAAAAAATTACGGAAATCTCCTGAAAAAGTAAGAGCACCAAATAAGCACAATTAACTAAAGGAAAATAATAATATTTTGTTAATTCAATATCTTTAGGAAACATAAAATCTCTCCCCCCCCCCTCGTTTACAAATCTACATTGTGAGAAAAAAGGTTCATTTTACTCAAAACATGATGAAATTACCATTACTTTCATTTGCTCAATGTTACATTTTCCTGTCACTTTATTGGGTAGATTCATTACATAGAGTTCAATGCTGTTTTAGATACATGTATCTCTTCTATTTAAAGCTGGGGGTAAGGGTCGCCGGGGGACGGTGTTGTTCAATGCCCTCTAATTAAAGGTAAAAGTATTGCAAGTGGAAGAGAACGCGGGGTGAAGCTACAAGTGCCACTCTACTACATTTTGTACATTTGTATCTTATGCATTTCCTTTTAATCAAAGTAGCATTCGTGTGCGTGTAGGTGTTCAGTGAAAAAGTATTTGTACAGTATGCATAAACATGTGCACATGCATGTTTGGCTCGTAAAACACATTGTTTGTCTTGGGGTCATGATCAGGGTTATCTTCATGAATAAACATGTACCTGCCATGTTTGATTTGGATTTATACGACACAATGCACATGGATAACTTCCAGGTCTTTGTGCAACCTACGTCAGACCTTTTTATGAACATGAAGGAACAACGTGGAGAACCCAAACTACGGTACATCCTTGACATTAGCTAACATAATAAAAGGAAATCCAACCATAATAGACAACTGTAATACCAAAAAAAAAAAAAAAACATGTTTAAGGAGGAAGGAGGAGGCCCTTTTTTTTCTTCTTTCAAACTGGCCGCTCAAAATGGCCGCTCGGTACATTTTCCCTGACAGTCGAGCTATTTTTCAAGATGGCCGCCAATTTTTTAAATTTAAAAAAAAAAAAAAAATCAGAAATAGATCTATTTTAGGCAGTGTTTTTCATGTTTAAAAAAAAAAAAAAAAAAAAAATTCAATACAAAATTTCAACAAAAAAAAAAATAAAAAATAGGAGGCGGCCCCCCAAAAGGAAGCAAGCGGGATGCTAAACATGTATATTTTTTTAATGGCCTAATGTGCTATAAAAGAAAGCAGACAAATCAGAGTAGCAAACTGGTGACAGATTTCAAGGGGAAGTCAACCGTGATATTAGGTTAGTTTTAATAGAAGCATAAGAATGAGAGAAACTGGTCTGTGAAATTTTGAGCAAAATCCGATTGAAAATAAGAAAGGTATGTATACACTGTACATTGAAAGTGCAATCAATCAAACACAACTTGGCAACTCTGTGACATGTTTACCTTGTAACCTCCTCTTCAATTTGCTACATGTAGGTACCGTATGCAGAAAATTTTCACAAACTTTAATTGTTTAAAGCTAAAACCAGTTATGGTCATGTGATTGCATTGTGAAAAAAACGTTGTGAAATCGATCAGAAAAGGTTGATCATCTAGCATAGATGTACTGCAAGGTTCTGGAATCATCAAAATGATAAGAAATTTGGCCACGTCTTCATAAAGTTAGAAGCACCGTACACAGAAAGATGTATATGGGACTACACACACGTGCGCGACACGTGCATTTCATATCTCTCAACAGGCGAGAGATACACTAATTTACCAAATATATGAATTTGTAGGCGGTTTCCCGTCAAAATTTTTATCATGTAATATTCAAAACATATTCTTTCACATGATTGGTAATAAGAGCTTCCATTTCATTTTTTGAAATTGGGGCGTTTCCAATACTGGTCTTTACCTTTAAGTTACCAACTTAATATCAGGGTGGACTTCTCCTTTAATGAAATCATATAAAAAGTAAGAAAGTTATGAATTTTTGAATGTTGTAAGCACTATATGTATGCCTTCAATTTGGCTAAATACTGTAGGTAATATCTACATGTACATGCATGTGATGTAGTGGGCTAGTGGCAGACAACTTTTTGTCTTTAAAAAAAAAGGACCTAGCGGTATAATCCATAATTCCACAATTTATATTTTGACAAGTGCTCCAATGGAGCAGGCACTTATACACATTGCACAAGGGTTAGATTGCCCTTTAATAAGTAAATGTTCTACTTTTCTGTGTAGTTTCTTGGGGAGAGCTTCCATTTATATTGTGAGAGAGAAACATAAAATCCTGTATAAATTTGTTTGTTACTTTTTTCATTTTAATTCGATTCTAAACACCCTGAACATATTCCCAAAATGGAAATTGTTACGGTACTGAACGATAGTCAGCCATTCCAAGTGTAAGACAAAAGGCGATCATGAATATTAATACGTAGGGCGATACTTATCACTTTCAATTTCAATCTATTTTTCCATTAAAAAATAATATAATTTCAGATAACAGAATAAACAAGCGCTTGGGGTTTATAATAAGAGCTTGTTATGATATGTACAGCACATTTATGTAGAATATGAATTGGATGTATGGGTTTTTGAAGGCTTTGTAAAAATGTATTTCCCCACACAATATTACAATAATTGATGTAAATAGTTCAATATATATTTTTTTGTGGAAATGTTTTTTGAAGTGTGATTTGGCGTCACCTGAGCCTGGGATAAAACTAACTGAATCACTGTAAAGGTTGGGTCTCTCCTCCCAGTATAACAGGTGGAGCACTAGTGCACTACACCCAGGGCCCAAGGGTCGTTTCTCAAAACCGTCATAAGTACAACAAGATCAACACAACTTGACGCTGTCGCTCGACTTGTTTGCTAGGTCCTAGGTGTTTCACAAAACCATCTTTACCAAGACGAGCAACAACTTCCCAGACAAGAGAACTAGCCATGTTTTCAAACTTGTTAAATCTTTTTAGATTGCCGTCTCAAGGCAACTTAAGGTTAGTCTAGATCTATGTAATGTATGGGCAGTGAAAAAATGAAAACTGAATTGAAAAAAAAAACTTCTATCATGACCTTCAAGCTCTCAATTGATTGATCATTTTTTATTGATGTTAAAGAAAGTCTAGGTACTCGTCAAAAGCCTGACGAGACTATGTGTCTTTCCTGTTGCATGACTCGGGGCCAACCTGGTACTGGTAGTGGTATAATATGACTATGGATGACGCGACCGTAGCAATCACCTGCGTGCAACATACGTGAAACCAAAGCGTGAGGAGAACTTCGGTCTGTTTCGCGAACGCTGACCATGAGTAGGGGCGCTGGTCCGAGAATGAGGATCGTCCACCGAAACGAGGATACATGTATATTCTATATCCTCATAAACGCGGACAAATTGCGTCCCCAAAAATAAAGATCGTCCGCATTTTCGCAGACGTTTTTTTGTCATCGGCGCTCTGCAGGTTTTGGGTTCCTGAACCGCGCGCTGATGACGCGATAAAATAAAACCCACCATTCACCATCTACTTTTATGGGTTAGAACCTATCTGTCTTCCGAGGATTTATCGCTTAGTCTATAATCAAAAACGTGAATTCTCTGTAGGCTCTAGATCTAGACCCTACAACTTACAAAGTCAATGTGAAATGCATCAAGAAAATCATTGCAGAATTTGTGTTTCGCATCGCCAACGTGGGGATCAGAAATTATATGAAACGTCTGTGAAAATCCTTATATTTTGTTCAAGAAAGTGGGGGCGTGGTGCAACTATGAGTAGACTCTATGAATGATGTTTTGCCGTATCCCGATCTCGATCACTCACCACGCTCACTCACAAAACAAATGGCGTAAATTCTAGGTGTAGATTCTACTTACCATAACAAACATGACCGAGGTCGAGTACGAGTGATGGAACTTGGACTTGGTCAGTTGGTGTTGGAAGAATCGCGAGTCGAGAGCTGGAAATGCAAATGCCTGGAACTTGGAAGGGTGAAGAAATGAATGCAGCTGAGCTGCAGCTACATGTACACAACACACATACACAGGAAGAGATCAGATGCTCTCAAAGTTGTGCAAAACTCAATCTCGAAAAGACCTTATTCTCGAGCTAGCTGTCGGCAATGAACTTAACGTACCTGGAGCAAAATTCGGGGCAACGTTGCAGATTTTACAGGAAAATAATACACGCATTCTCGAGTTACGTTTGCAAGTTCAGTAGTTCGCACGTAGTATAGTAGTGAATAATTGTATTGCGTCTTTACAGGGAAAATAAAAGGGAAAAAACGACCAAAAGGCGAAATGGTTATTCTGTGTATGTAACATGTAGCGCTCAGCGGATCCAAGAGGGGTGAAGGAGTCGCAACTTTTTGAAGAAAAAAGTCACTTGGGGCCCGTTTCTCGAAACCGTCATAATAAGTCTAACTTCTAAAACATCCCATTGAAACGTGAATTATGGATTCTAAACGCGTTCCACAAACTTAGACTTGTGACGGTTTCGAGAATCTGGCGCCTGGCTCCCAATAGCCCTCCCAACTTCAAGACCATGTCATCCATGAATTTTTCAAATTTAATTCGCTACAATCATACATTTTCTTGATATAATAATAATAATAATAATAATATAATAATAAAACAATTATTATAATAATAAAAAAAAATAGTATAAAACATGGCTCTGCTAATCCGATTGCACCTTAGGATCCGGGGTGAAATGAAAAGAGGCTAGAAAAATTGGATTCTAGCTTCTTGTCCTAATTTTTCGAATTTGAGGAGGTGGTTCCATGTTATATTTCTTGTTAATATTGAAAAATTCAGATCCACAGGTAAATTGTATGATATTAATTATTTGTGGTAGCTCATTTTCAGATTCTTATTTATTTCATTCGTAAAAGTATTATATAATCAAATGACCCCCCCCCCTCCCCCCCCCCTCCAAAAAAAATGAAAACAAGTTTATTTGACCTAACTAATTTGGCACAGAGAGAGAGAGAGGGGGGGGGGGGGGGGGGAGAGGGGAGAGAGAGGGGGGTGGGATCCATTTCGCGGGAATAAAAACTCACTATGATCTTCCACTGTATATTCCTTGTCATGATAACACGGGGGCACTGACGTAACCGTTTTGACGGATACATGAACATGTAGGTGTATGATCCAATAGCATATTAAAGCTCCAATGCAACCAGCTAAAGTGTAAATAGCCCTATATAGAGAGCTCGCAATTTTAGTGCGCATTCATTACATCTACAGATTATGTCGACGTCGTAATCAATTACATATTTTGAAGCCACATTTCATACAAATTACATAACTACGCACCTGTTATAAAAAGAAGGTTCCAGATAGGATCATGTTGCGCGCATTTTAATCAACTGTCTAGAAGATTAAAGCGGGTACCTGCTACTTAATACCTCTCTCTCTCGCTTCTGTCTCTCTCTCTTCTCTCTTTCTTTCTTTCTTTCTCTCTCTCTCTCTCTCTCTCTCTCTCTCTCTCTCTCTCTACTGTAAAGTTGTTGCCTCCACTTACTTCATTTTTCTCTCTGCATGCACGCTGGTAATATTTTGTTTTGTTTGTTCGTTTCGTTATTTGTTTGTTTATTTTCTGATCCGTAGAGAGAAAACATGGAGATAACATGGGTAACGTTTTTTTTTAAACGATTAAAAATGATAAAAGGAGAGGGGAAGGTGGAAACAAGAAAAGGGACAGAGAATGAAGGGAAGGATACGAATATAGAAAAGACGAAAGAGAGAAAGAGAGTGGAAGGGGAGAGACCAAGAAAAAGATAGAAAAGAAATACTGTTTGTAAAGTGAAATTGATAGAGAAGGGAGCAAGGGCATGCAGATGGGCATTGAATACAGATCGTATTAAAACAGAAATCATATCCTCTGCATAATCACATTGATATGCCATCCAGACTCTAGTCATTTCATCGGTTATCCACTGTGCAATTATAATTATCTTCTCTCATTCAAAATTTCGAGGAGGCCATTTTAATTTTATCGTGGTTATGTTTTTCAAATTCACTCATAATCAGGATTCAACGTAGCACGGGTATTCTATTCAAGTTTATTGTCAAATACACAATACATTAGCGTCAACATATTACTATACTACATACAAAACGACTTACATGTACACCGCTATATTAAAATTAAATATTATTATTATTATTCACCACTGAACTGAGGAAGTTGAGAAAATTTACATCAATCTAAATACAGATTGAATGTAATTCATTCTTATTGGCATTCTCATTTCATCCATTATTATATGCTGTACTATGCAAGGGGTACGTACATTAAATTCAAATTATGTATAGTTCATCCATAACAAGAAAAATAAAAGTACATTTGAGTTGTGTACAACCAAAATGGGAGTGTTCAGGATGTCGGGCGTGACCTTTAAATGGTTAATTAAGTTTTCCAGTTACTTCCATACTCCCAATGTTACAAAGATTTCCTTTTTTTAGTTGACTTAAATTTCTTCCCTTTTGATACCAACTTTTGATACATTTTGTAGTTTGCAGTACTTTTTTCCCTTTTATCTGGTATCAAATCGGTCTGGAAGATTTTTTAAATATTGCTATTTATCAGTTATTCTTAATAGAGTGCACTCGCAAAACGCTTTAGATAATCTTACGAAATAGGAATGATGATTTATGTATCATAATGCATACAACATATTTCATCATTGGCAGTCTGTGAGTTGAAAACATACTTCAAATGAAAACATAAGAACATTGATTATACACAGTAGGTATAATGGATTTTGCAACTATAACAGTACCAAATAGAATCAGTTGAGAGTTGGACAAAATAATGTTGATAGTTAATAACTTTCGGCAACTTCTTATGACGAAGGTAGATTAAATAAAGTATATTTATTTGGACTATTTGTAATTACCATGTAATATGAGATATATTTTCAAATTGATTTTCTTTCAATAGGCATATATAGACCTTAATCACGATAATAATATCAAGGAGGAATTATCAATTTAGTATAAAGAAATCTATTTGAAATCCTGTGGTTTTGGAGGATATTATTTCCCAAATACATTGCATTTCTTGCCATTCAAATTATTTCATTAGAAGTTGTAAAACAATCAGGGATAAACTGCACTTTTTCTAGTGTTCGAATCTTTAAAAGTCTTGTTTCTGACTACTTTTACGTCTTCGTGATAGGCATTGAATTTTGGTCTCCCTTTGTTTTAATACGGATCTATACCATCCGCTCAGGAACCGGAAATCGTATGTTTGCCTCGACCGAGAGATGGCGCAATTGAAAATAAATTACAGGAGTGGTAGCAAATTAAGTCGGTAAAATACCTTGCCATTCCAAAACAAAAATTTAGCCAAAAATGATAGCCAAAGAGAAATCAAATATAATTACTATGACATTGTGTGACGCGCATCGACATATAAATAAAACCAAACATCTCAAAAGCGGACACTTTAATTTTACAATAGGAAATACAGTAAACTAGGAAGACAAAGACATATTTATTACTATTGAGAATGAGGTAAATACGTAACTTTAATACATGTATTTAGATAAGTAGAGACGGATAATGCTATAATAAAATACATCTACAAACAATTATCCACAATATCTTACAACGTTAGTAAAGAACGCTTTGTATTTTTTTTTCTTCTACAGTTGGCACATCTCCCTCAGCAACAGCATAGTAAAAATACTATTATTTATTTCCTAAAACGACCGCTTTTATAACAAAACATAGTTAGAACAAGGTGAAACTATATATACATCTTATATACAAAATAGTTCTGTTAAAAATCTCCTCTCACTTATGTTCGATGTGTTCTCAATAATGAAAGAGACAAAGTGCGTGTTCTCACATAGATTTATCCCGTGATTCTAATTGCAACTTGATTTGAATCATGATTGCTGTCCATATATTGTGTTCAGACGTGTACGGAACAAGATGTGAGATATTGGATCGTATGGCCAGCGGTAAATGAACGATAAATAAGACATTATTGACATGTATGTGCGATACTGCGATGTACAGACGTTAATACCTTTTTTTTTAAACATGTAACGTGATCAAAGCAAGTTTAAAATGATGATTCATAGAATCAAATCTACGTGTGAACGCGCAGATAAAAACACATTATTCAACTGTATATATAAAATGATCAATGCCCTCCTCACACCGGAGTAATTGTGAATACAAGGACAGAATACAATATGCAATTCTTACAACAGATTTGTACATAATTATAGTAGAGTTGAGAAGCATATCCATGTGCGCTTTTTTATCGAGCTTCAAAACAATATCGAATCGAAATGAATAGGGGGGAAAAGAAGCGCGAAGAAAAGAAATTGAAGAAAATGAAACGAATAAGAATAACGTGAAGGTATAAGGAGAAAACAAAATAGTATAAATTAAAAAAAAAGAAGATAAAACATTGGGACTTTTACTGGACCATCATATTTCATAAGACCTATACCTTTAAATAAAATCCTACCCTCTTAATACACTTTCTATACTCTGCCTTCAATTGAGGAATGTCCGCTTTGAGTACATTACCTTGCGATGATAATAATCTTAAAATGAGAACTTTCCAAACAATTCACGCTCCCAGGAACCCTTCGGAGGGTGACTTAACAAATCCGCTACCAACAACCCCATTTACAACCTTTTCAGCCTATACGTCTTGGAAAATTGAGTTTGCCTACTGTTTTGATGACAATGTTAGAACAAAATTAAATGGAGACGAGAATCTATAGGATTTCTTTCGCATCAGAAAATATTTTGGACTTCCAGTCATGATACTTCAAGTGAGCATCAAAATTGTAATTGTTTATGTTCTTTTCCCCTAGGAGTACCCTTTGTATTCTTAACAGTCAGAAAACATTGAGAAATAGTCACTATAATCCCGCCGTGCTATCCGTCCACTCCATTAAAAAAGCTTCCTGAAAATCAAGTCGGAGATTCTTCTGAATCATCACAGCGCCACCTGTCGTCTGGATCGTGTACATGTCATGGTTTTCAACTCCATCTAGATTTTGGTCATCTGTTGAAAAAGTATAGCTATACACAAATACGGTACTGATATACAGCCAGTGGTGTCTTTTATCAATAAGGAACACCTTGAAAGTTCGTTGCGTGTCGTTGAGAAATTACTGCAACATCAAGGGCTTGTTGAGGTACCATGTTGCTATGGTTACGCCGTAACCGACGCGCATCCGAGAAAATCGCTGGTAAAATGACGAGGGTAACCCGGATCCACTTCGTACTTGCCCTTTGCTACACGATAGTACTTCTTTCCTCGTAGCAAGTAAGAATTTCCTATAAAGAAATATGAAATAGGTAAAATAATAGATGTAAATGGTTGGAACAACATCATAATTCTTCGATTTAAGTCTCTCAAACACAAAAATTACTGTCAGTTAATTATCATTTTCTTTCTTGACTGTCCATGCTTCTACTAATTATTAATGTTATTTGTTTACTTTTTTTTCTTTATCATGAAGTTGATAATGATTTACACATACAGGGAATTCGGTAACACAGTAATGTCGTCCGAGGAAATTTCTTTCGGTGTTCGTTTATTTATTTTCGACTTTGGAATTTGCTTTGTTTTCTTGTTTTGTATCTTGTTCTTTTAAGTTTGAGTGATTGAGATAGTTTAGGTGTTCTTTTTATTGTTGTAAGTCCACTCAACTGTGTGGTTACTGATTGTCTAGTGGTAGCCTACAAACTCAATAGTTGCTCCTCGTAATTATCTTCGAGTATAGCAGTTAACGGAGGAGACTGTCTGAATACTCACCATCATCATGTTGGAAAGCTGCCGTGACTTTATCCCCGAGACCAGTAAAGACCTCTCCAATCTTCTTAGGGTATCCGTTATCCACAGACTTCTTCCTCTCATCGAATCTCCAGACCTGGTCTCCTTTAAAGAAGAAGGTCTTAGCCTTGGTCTTAGATAACGCGGCATCCACCCCCTTGGGTAGGCCTAGCTCGGCCACCGGTCGGGGGTAGCCGGGCTCCATCTGAGAGCCGAAGTACACCCAATATTTGGCACCTGCATAAAATTAGAGAAAAAGCAAGATGTGTCAGTCTCATTTGGAGAAGAAAAAACCGTATGACATATTGAATTCCAAGTATCGAAATAGGTTCTACTATTGATAAACTTTTATTTGTTCTTAATAATATGCTGCAAAACGTTAGCCTTTGTTGTTTTTATAGTTTTTTTTAACCCCTGTCTTTTGTCATAATCTGAAAATGTAGGAGTATTACACTACTGGTCTCTAAGTCGCCAAGGAACGGATTCACCCCCACCCACTACGATCTCAACCTTGAAGAGACCCCCGCCCCCCCCCCCCCCATAAAAAAAAATAAGAAAAAAAAGAACAAATCTAAGTTGTATGATGAGTGCAAGACCAACAAAAATTAAGATCGTCTCTCTCTTCAGCACTATTTTACGATTATGTACAAAAATGGTTGAATCCGATCAGTTGAAATAAAACTGAAATGCTATAAAAGCTCGCGGCATGAATAAATTTATTCTCAAACGTAAAACGGCAACCGTAACGTATGAGGGAGGGGGGGGGGGGGTAAGGATTCCTCCTTAGCTGTTTTAGATTCATTTACCATCGGCTCTAGTTTAATATCATTTTGTTTGAAAACTGCATATAAATATTTATTAAATATTTCGGTTTTGTTTAGCTCCAATACCCCCTTCTTTCTAAACCAAACTTGAAGATTTACCTCTGAAGAAGACGGTCTTTCCATCTCTTCTCTGATACGATGCCCTGATGTTAGCCGGCAGGTGGTACCATTTATCATGGATCTTACGACCATCCTTAGGAGTGACGAGCAAACGACGCCATGATCGCCAATAAAATTTACCCTAAATAAAAAACAAAAGAGACAAAGTGTTATAATTTAGCACAGAGAGAGGGAGAGGGAAAGAGAGAGGGAGAGAGAGAGAGAGAGAGAGAGAGAGAGAGGGAGATGGAGAGAGAGAGAGAGAGAGAGAGAGAGAGAGTCAAGAGAAAACAGTCACGCAAGTCGCATATGAATATGATACTTTTCCCACCGTTTGATGGGAGGGGGCGCGGGAGATAGCACGTGCCCCTTGCAAATATGGCATTTTTCTTGAGTCCCAATATGTAATTATTGTTCAGAACCACATATGATTCAATTAAAGTTATAGGTCCTTTAGTCACTGTAAAAGTCGTAAATTCCATGACGTTTGCATTCTACTACTATTGTACCCTCGGGTAGAGCAATCACTCGTTTTTTAAAAACTGGTATCTATAAAGAAGTTAGATGACTGATTCAATTATCATAAAAATATGATTATTGCTCGAAGATGTGGTTGTTATCTAAACATCTTTTTGAAGGGCCCCTGCATTGTCTTTTATGAAGTGTCAGAGATATCTCGAGACATTTCAGTCATGTAAAAGTCATCATTATACTCGACATGGAAGATGGAAGCGCTCTGTCCTCTGACACAACGAATGTATTTTGGCATGGTCGTCAAAGTGTTTCAATTTGGCATAGAATGCAAGAAGATACCCTTCTAAAAGTGATTTTTAATTTTTTAAAATCACGATTCATGTTTAATAAAGAAATATCGAATTTTCTTTTTCCAGAAGACGAATTTGAATACTTTATTAGTATACTTAAGTAAGAAAGAACAGATAATTATTATACCAACTCAAGAAATAGGCCTAGTTTTAAAGGAATCACATTAGTGTAACCAGTCTCGCTACTTACAACACCTTTTAACAGCAAAGAAAATCTTTTTACCCTACACGTCCACATGAAACCTCAAATGTTATATGAAACCTTTAAAAATGAGATGTTAGTGGTCCAAAAATATAGAATAGTTAACCTAGTAAATGAGATGTTAGTGGTCCAAAAATATAGAATAGTTAACCTAGTAAATGAGACATATTTAGTTACTTATTAACATACGACATAGTTTTATACAAACCTTGAATGTGTAGATACTGCCACTAATTGAAGTGACTGCGCTATAACCAGATGTACAATATGATTTCTTCGAAGGCTGTCGGACTAAAGTTGATTTCGGTCTTGGACCTTGGTCTATTCTCACGTTGGGCACCCTAGGACTGGTCTTCGTTCCTATAATAATCATCATAAAATAAGGGATAGGAAATAAGGAATCAGGCTTCTCCTTAAATCAAACGATATGTGATTAGACACACTGAACACTACGATAAGGTACGATCAGAAAGTGAAGGTGGAAAGTGGTATTATTGTGATTTTCATGATCATGATGATAAATGAAGAGATATTATTGAGAATTAGGGATACTAATGAATATATTCAAATGCGTTGGCATATAAATTAAAGATGAATAACCACATAAAGTATTTGGTAAAATTATGTGACACAATTCAAGTTAAAATTTCAAATGAAATAATGTGTTCTTTAACAAAATTTATACCAGTGCTTTAATTACTAGCGTCGTTTGCAACATTAATATTGATAAGGTTTGAAGGGATCGACATACTTTAACATATATGTACAATGTTTATTGTCATTAAAACAAAAAAAAAGTTAGCAAATAATCGTCCATTTCGTGCATTCTGTACTGATTAAAGATAAAATAATAATAATTATGATCAAAAACAATATTCACAGCAAATTGTGAGGAAATCAAATATATTCTTATTAGGCACGAACTGAACAGATGCAAAAATGAAAATAATAAACCATGCGATTTAAGGAAAACGGAAAATTAAAATAAGGACGATGAGAAGAAAATGTACATGTCGCCATTATTCATATTTATGCAAATTTAATAAACTAAGCTAGCATAAAATTCATCTGAATGACTTAATATGTCGGGTATCACACATTTATCAGAAGAAATTAATAAAACAATGCGCCATTGAAATTTCTCGCTGATGACAGACCAACTGAAATGTATTGATGTTTGCAATATTAGTAATGACTTTTATTTGCATTTCTAGTGATCTTATGATGCGCAAATAATAGTACTATTGAATATGTATATTATATGACTTAATTGTTAGTGGAGTACTCGAACGTAAAACTTTGATGAACGAAAAGGAATTGAGTGAACAAATATTTTCAAATGAAAAACCTCACAGCAGCTGAAGAAATTTCATATGCACATTGATGAATGCAAATTGATGAAAATCGGTTAGAAAAAAAGAAAATCAGCTCAAAGAAATGGATGCTGGAATGAACTCTGGAAAACAGTCCTCGGTTGCTTACTCTTTTTGCTATGTTTTCGTGATTTACGTTTACGCTTTGGTGGATTGGGATTAGGTCCTATACAGAAAGAAACATGTCAGATAGTGTGATGAAATATGAGAGTTAAGACAAAAGTACAAGATATCAACAAGAACAATAACGAGAACAAAACATAAACAGCAACAATAAGATCAACGGTAACAACAATAACAACAACTACGAGCATGTCAAAGAAAATTTCAAAGAAGAAGACAATATTTAAACAATACAGCATAGCGAGAATACAAATAATGAAAATGGTCATAAAGAAGTAGAAGAACAATAACAACAAACGCAACAACAAGAAAAATGTAAATGAGAAGAAAAACAAGAACAAGAAGAAAAATAAGAAGCAGAAGAGGAAAAAAAAGAAGAAGCGTTGGAGGAGGAGGAGAGAGATGAGAAGATGGTAGAAAAAAATATTATATGTACACGTAATGTTGTAGTAGATGAACAGACAGCTGTCAGAGAATGAAAAATGGTGAAAAGGAAAAGAAAATGTGGTGACGATGAAACATCAATTAAGTGAACGCAGCGAAAAAAAAGAAACAAAAAGAGACTTTGGTGAATTGGTGAAAATGTAAAGAGCGCCACCTCCCATACCGCTCAAAAACTCTTGGAGACCCATTACTACCAGAGTAGTGATTCATTTCTCTGGAAAGGAATAACATATTGATAATATCAAGCTACCCAAATAATATGAATTGTAGATTCAGAAATCATACATTTCAAGAACCATTGTTTCACAAATTACTTTCAGTATTTTCAGTATGGAAATGAACTACAGGTGAATGGGCTAACTTTCAGATGTCACATTATACTTCTTTATATCAAAACTAGGTATGTAGACAATCCCCGATAGAAATTCTAAATTCTAACAATACAAATATTAACCGGGTGGTACCAAGCCTATGTGAATGAAAGAATTTGGTAGTAAATAGGTTAAAACGCTGAGTTGATTCTGCATTACAATTATGGCTATTTTTTAATTTAACGAAAAAGAATTTAGACGTATATTATGATAACATATATTAAACTGAATTATTCAAATAGCACAGTAAATGATCCTTCAAATGGCAGTATGTCAGGTTAATACTCAAAATGTATATGGTTTTAGTATTATAATCATAATCTTACCATACAGAGCTTGAACCCCTCTGATGTCATCGTCGGGTAGTTCAAAGTCCCTCATGAAGTGATAGTGGGGCCACATAAGAGCTTCCGGGTCATTCGAATGATCCAAACCGAGGGCGTGGCCTATCTCATGAGCTGCCGTCTGGAAAAAGTTATATCCTGAAAACAATGGCAAAATAAAAAAGAAAATGATGATAACAATTCTTAGAGATTTATTCAATACATGAAGCATTGAATGAAATGAGCGAACAAGCGCTGCATATTGTTCAGCAAAATTATTAATGATTCGATTTACCGCGTAGTACATTTTCTCTTAAATTTTGACCTTTTTGTTCGACAAACGTACCATAATCATTATAATCGTAATAAAACTGGAGAATTTTGCCGGATATTTATCCCACTCCGTGCTTGTTTGACTAATCTGGCTGTTTATAACTGTGTTAGCCTTAATACCCGACAAGAGGGTACATCGAAGGCTTATTTTTTGACATCTTGATCTCCATTAAATCTGAAATTGCGTTTCCGTCATCATTATTTAGATATCCAAGTTCTTTCCAATTTTCCTGTACACATACAGCCTTTTATATTGTTAATTACTGAAACGAAGGACGAAAGACATCCATGATCGTATCATCAACCCAAAAAACAACAAAAGAAGAAAACAAATTATAGATCTACCTCTGTCATTGTTTCCAAGTGTGAACACGTCATCGTCATCGAAATGGATGTCGCCGTTGACTTCGCCCCATCCGCTCTTCGGTGAGAAGGCATGCGCGAGGTCGCCGTTGGGCCCATCGAAGATCGGGTGCTCGAGGTCGTGCGAGTGACGACCCTTCATGAAAGCGATACGGACCATCGCCTGGTTGACTTCGTGGCCGTGGAGTTCAGTGAACACGAGAGGTGTGACGTCGCTCCAGACTTCGAAGGCCCGTTTAATGGTGTTTCGTAGATCGGAGAGTTTGATGCCGCCTCGCGTTGGGAAGTTCACAAGGCTGGGGAGGAGATAGAGAAATATTGTGAAATTGTGATTGAATCAGAGTTAGAATTAGCATGAGGAAGAAAGAAAAATCTTAATTCAAATGTCCTACTATTTAACATATTACGTGAAAAATGAAACGCTGGATATTTATCACAAAATGTCCTAATGGAGCATGAACCAACACAATTTTCAAGCAACGTAGATTAATTTAATTTATAACATTAATGTGCTTATTATGAAAATATCAGCTTGCCGGCTAACGAATACATTAGTACAATGATGAACTTCAGTGTTCTCACTCATTTTTTTGTCATTAATTCATTATGATTTTGGGGCGTTGGCAGCTGTATCCCCCTATGTAAACTGTTATATATGTAGTGTCAGAGTTCTAAAGAGAATTCAATATATATTTCGTATTATAAATGAAATCATGTAAATTAAATATTTTAAAGAAGACACTAATGTATTAAAGTAGAAGAAAGATTTGACATTTTCTTTAGTTAATATATTTTTAAGTGTTAAGAGCAAATGGCTTTCGAAAAGTGACTTGCTTTAGAAAGTCCAGGGGGTGTTTCACAAAGATCCTAAGTTGAATTTAATTCTAAGTTGGCTTTAAATATTATGGAGAGCCATTTGTAGCCTTGAAATGAAATATATTCACAATCGAAAAATCAATTATTATAGAATTTTGATAAATTCCACTTCAAGGACATGAAATCTCCTTGATAATAGCAAATGATTTGAATCAACATTTTATGCCTTTAAATTAACTTTTACAAAATATTTTCATAAATGCTAACAGCTTTCCATAATTGTTCAGTCCAACTTAGAGATAAGTTCAACTTAGGATCTTTGTGAAACACCCCCAGGTCAAGCGCACTTGGGAGTTCAAGGACCTTTGGCTAAACACAATTGAATAGCATTGAATAAAAAAAAAGGAAGAGATTTATAGGTGACTTGCATTCTGTATTCTTTCTTGGAAGTGAAAAGAAAGAACTTTAAATTGTGTTAAAGACCTCCTGGTTGATTTGTTTTACACGTGTTTCATTTTACAAACTATACCCTGACCACAATTAATTTGAAAAGAAGATCGCACGACAGCTAGGGCACAGCTGCGCGATCGGAAAATAATTTGATAACTCGTCGAACAAAACGTCTGCTAACTTCATGGGCCCATGGGCGAATGCAAATAATTTAGTGTTCATTGCTCTCGCCGTGAACTTTTAGCACACAGCACAGGGTCGCCCCCAGCCAAAATTGAGCGTGGTCTTCCTCCTTGGAAAGTGTAAATGAATTTTGTTCCTTTTTATCAGTAAAATAAGATAATTTGGGGGAGGGGGCAAGGGGGAGGGGATTACTAGGGGGCATAGATCATCTCCAACAAGGGGTGGCGCAACAATTCAATCATTTCGAATAAATGACGGAAATTAGGGCATGGACATTTTGTATGGAAGAAGATCACTCTGGGTAGTCTTTAGATGTGGTTTGTTGAATAGAAAGTGGGACAAAGGTGAATGCTGTGAAGGAGAGAAGGAAAGAGGCCGGTGGTGGGGTGAGGGGGGGGGGGGTGGGGGCGAGAAAGAAAGAGAGAGAGTGTGAGTGAGTGAGATGGAGAGAGAAAGAGAGAGAGAGAGAGAGTGGAGAGAGAGAGAGAGAGAGAGAGAGAGAGAGAGAGAGAGAGAGAGAGAGAGGGGCGCGAAACAAGGATAGTGCATCGGGACTGTTTTAACATTTTAAATTTATATATTGAATGAATAGCGCTTTTAAAATATGAACAATTTGATCGGTTTATACATGAAAGTTCCAGCTATCACAAGAGCATCACAAGGGGAAATAACAGTTTGTTTGGTCGGTTGGAAGAAAAAGTTTCATGCTGTTAAAAATTTAACGTTTAAATTACTTCCATTGAAAATAAATCAGAAAGGAAGAAGAAAATGAATTATAGTAATAAGAAGAAGGCGAAAAAGAAGAAAAGAAGAAGAAGTAGAGTAGAAGAAGAAGCAGAAGAAGGAGAAGAAGAAAAAAAAGAAGAAGAAGAAAAAGAAGAAGAAGAAAAAGAAGAAGAAAAAAAAAGAAGAAGAAGAAAAAGAAGAAGAAAAAGAAGTAGTAGAAGAGGACAATGACGTCGCTCTCGTTTTACTCAAAGGTAATATTTAAAGACAATTTTGTTTCATTACTTTAAGACTGCGTATAAAGGTATTGTAGTGTATGACACAAACTTTATGAAATAGGTGGAAAGTTAATGGTCGATAATAAAGGACCTTGCACCATTTGGTTGTACTGAAATTCTGACGTCTTTCCTCGTTCTAAAAGAAGTGTTTTAATCAAATCATAATGTCCTCAGTACACGAGGTCCTATCACCTGACAGCCGTGGTTGAACTCTCGAATCCTCTTCTTAATAACATTAAATAGTTACAGATAGTTCACTACCTTGAACTGTTTAATTACATCTGAAATGCGTCCGCCTGAAGTCCAGTATTCCAAATAGCACAAATTACATTTGGATCACAAACGGTGAAAACTAGCATCCTGGACGCAAAAAGTGCAATATTAAAACTTCAAGAAGATGGTATAATTATGTGCGCCTAGATAAACGGGATGCACGAAAGAGTTGAACGCTATGAAACTGTTCAAACTTGCACTTGTTTCGGTACAGTTACCCTTTATTTCGTCATTTATTGGACTTTGCGTCACAGTTATATATATATATATATATATATATATATATATATATATATATTCCTGATAGTCATCAAAATAATCGCTATTTTGATTTCGCATTGAACCGAATGTGAATTCCCCCGCTTACTTTCAGATGTTACCAACTAATCCCCGTTTTTATTCTCCTTAAAATAAATACGAAGGAGGAAAGTAGAGAGAGAGCGAGAGAGAGAGAGAGAGAGAGAGAGAGAGAGATGTGTAAAATAGAAACGGCGATTCACGAGAGTCTTGCTTGTTTTGCACTGATATAACTTTGGTCATAATAAAACATTATCACTGAAAATTTTTCCCCAAATCAGTTTACGCTTTCAAAATGTAACTAGTGCCTTCAAATAGACGCAGAGACTTGGGGTGTAAAAAGAGCGAGCACACACCGGTCCCCGGGCACACACCCACCCCATAATGAACCTAAAATTACAAATTCGTCTTCAGAGTCCCGGATGCAGATGATTCTACATCCTACCCTTCCATCAACAAGGCACGTCTTAGAGATGGGTATCAGTTCGCACGTTCAGACATGATAAAGATCATGTTTGACCACGGAGAAGGCGGGTTGGTTTACCCGTGGTGTACCCTTGGAGGAGGGCTAGTATTACAGTGTAATGTGAACGCTTCCGTCTCGCAGAGGGTCTCCAGATGTTTGAAGCAGGTCTTTCAAGACTGCAGTGCAGTGGTTAGGTTTTACGGTAACTGTACACAGTGTATGTTGGTAGTAGGTTCAGAAAAAGGAGCATCCTAATAAGGTGTTTTACACCGAGAATTGAAATTCATTGAATTCATGCAAACTCGTGGCTGCTTATAAAACACTAAACGATAATAACCATTAAAACAAGAAAGGAAAATTGTTCTTTTCTGGCAGACTTCATCTTACTTCTACCTTGCTATCTTCAGTAGACATGCATCAGTCAGAAACAATAGTGTATATGCACTATCGCAAACATTATCGATTGTCTCTATATCAAAATAGGTCGATTAAAGCCCGTCTGCACTAGTTAGGCCATGAGGGATTAGACCAACCTGCTGGTCACTGACAGGTGGTTATTTCATCAACTCAGCTCTCAAATAACATTAAAAAAAGAGGATCATGGGGGACCAACAGGCACCACTTAGGCATTGTTTTCTATAGAGGGAGCAAGTAGCTACAAGTAGTGTAGTCTGGCTTTAAAGGGTGCATACGCCCCCTCGCGTTGAAGCAATGATAAATAGTCGAAATTATATTATATCCCTATTCATGGTTTATTTGTTTAATTATTGATAATTTTGAAGAAAACATATCCTATAGTGCAACATTATCAGGCGGGAACGCGGTGTGCACGGTACTGACGACAGAGCGAGGACAACAGCGATAAAACGTTGATTTCCGCAATATAAAGTGGAAACTGGCACTAACTGTTTATTACCTGTACGTTATTTGACTTGAATCCCACTTATAGCGCCCATCTGCGATATCATACCGGCGAACACGATGATGCCCCGCCCTGTTCTCCATCGTCTCGTTATGTAACGACTCCCCTACGTCTGGATAGCCGCATCTCGGCTCCCACATCACACCCCTGGTCCTCTCATCCAGCTCCCCCATCACTGGTAGCTTGTAGAACTCTTGGAACCTCGAGATCGCATCCGTAACGACTGGTATATCTTTCTCGGCCTCGAATGTGAACTCGTAGTTTCGCGGCCTGAGATAGCCATTGCGTATGAGGTAGCTGTATTCCTTGGTACGAGAAATGGAAGAACGAAGAAAAGACAAAAACTTTGATTATGAAGTCCAATGATAATCAGGAGCATTACAATGATTGGTAAGATTAGCAGGCGTTATAACGTTAGAATATATATTTTTAAAGTTGCTAATTGATTAAAAAATCATATTGAGAAGAAATTCAATTTAAATTACAAATCAAGCATCAATTAAAAATTACAAGTCGACTTAAAACTGTCATGATTGTGATACACAAATGACGAGAATGAATGATTCTGCTGTAGCTTTTAGTGATCTCTTACTCTCTCTCTCTCTCTCTCTCTCTCTCCCCTCCCCCTCTCTCTCTCTTTCAATCTCTATCTCTCTCTCTCTCCCTCTCTCTCTCTCTATGTCCGTGTGTCAGTCTGGTCGTCTGTCTCCCTCTGTCTCCCTCCTTCTCGCATTCTCCAAAAAGATACTCAGTTCTCTCTATATTTGTTTCATGCTAGAGTTGAACAAAGTAATCATGGCAATGGCCCATAAATTCCTCAGATAGACAAAATAAATAAGCAAGTTTATTTTATATCCCAAAATGTTGAATCTTTGAACAGTAACAACAAATACAAATCCACCATGCATTACCTCAAATAGTACACTCGGATTTAAAATATGTGCAAGATTGCGATTATTCTTTACTTCTGTCATATCTCACGTTATCCATTGTCAGTTTTGTTCAAAAGAACATGACGAAATGTAATAGAAACGCAAAAGAATTTTGCATAATTATCGGTAAATAAAATGTTTCAAAACACTTTTGTTTCCTTATAGTTACTTAATCATTCATTGAGAGAGAGAGAGAGAGAGAGAGAGAGAGAGAGAGAGAGAGAGAGAGAGAGAGAGAGAGGGGGGGGGGGGGGGGGGGAGGGGGGGGGGGGTGCAGGAAGGTACCTGCTGTCATGCTTCAAACAGGTGTTTCTTGGGACCCGGAAATAAATGTTTCCTTCAGGTAAAAATAAACTCTACATTTTCCTTTAGTTCAATCTTAAATCATTTCAAGTCTTGACACATTTGATTTTTAGTAAACACCTTTGCCGAAAATGTACTGCTCACAAAATTCAAAGAATAATAAATTGTTTCCTCATTACCTATAACGAAATAAATATATTCAACCTTTGAAAGGGCACCGATTTCATCATCTTTTGTTTAGATAATAGACATGATTATTAAACTTCCCTGGCAAGCAAACTATTTTGGCTCTTTCGCTATAAATAATACTTGAACACAACAGTGAACTTCCAAACGGGTGAAGTAAAGAGGAAGGCACCTATGAGAAACAAAAGAATATCTAAAATTGAAATAATCAATATGATTATGATCTCGGTGACAAGCCGAGGAAAGACATGACGGAAAATAGCTAAACAAATTTGGACGGCGACTGAAATATCGGCAAACAAAAGGCTAACTGACGCACACGAGGAGAGATGTTAACAAGGGAATTTAGCTTTTGCTGACTTTAAATAGCGTCTTCGATGGAAGTAATTGTAAATATATTTTTATTTATGTAATTATATTTACCATCGCCATTGTTTACCATTTCAAACAGAAGAGTAAAATCTGACAGTTACAGTTGTATAAGTCCGGACAATGGAAACGACATAGATGTGCACTATTGGGCTCTGTTGTTTTAAAAGACTCACTCTCCTTTGGGAAATATATGTATTAAATTAATTATATCAGCCTGAATGTGTTATCTTTTTACATTACACATTCCCTTCACTGTCACATTCATTTACAAACATCCAAACATGGCAAACATAATCAAATCAAAAGTGAATCCTTCCTGGGTGGGCATATTGTGGTTCGCTTATCCTTGATTATCAAAACAAAATTAAATCAACATGCAGGATTCGTATGATTATCAGGAATGAAACGGCATTGTTATCCTTATTGTAGGAGTAGCTCCAGGCCAGAATTTAAAGCTAAAGAGTTAGATCATGGAGAGTTGGCGTGGTCGGGGAGAGTAATCGCCCATTATTCTAGTGGTTCGCGGTTCGAATCACTGCAATGGAACTTACTTTTATCGGCAAGGCATTAAGCTGCCATCGCCTCTCTATACCCAGGTGGGGGAAGGTTCCCGGATGAATAGATTCTTTGAAATATGGCGTCTTGAGGATAACGCAGACATGACCCAGCTGCCTTGGAACATTCTTACATGGCTCAATCAGTGAGATGCATCATTACATAATTTATACCCAATTCACTTTAGACTACCTGTCTCACATGTCCAAACAGGTTTGGAGTCTAATAAGTGAAACAAAATTGTCTTTTTTATATTACGGAATATTGAACTATCAGGACTATTTAACTGTGATGCAAAGTGCAATAAATGACGAAATAAAGGTTACAAACTCTAACCGTCTTCTTTCAAAGGAGAACTTCAATCTTCGGCAAAAAGATGGGGTCTCTTACAAACTTCAGAAAAATACAGATGACTAGACTTTGCTGTCAATGTAGGCCGCATAATATTTGTTTTGAGAAACGAAACTCGATCTGTGGATTTGAAAACTTCTCAAATACCATATCTAGGTTTGAGCCCACGAACCCTGGGAATGCGAAGTGATGAAGAACGCTTTGCACCCGGGCGTGAGAGGCAGCAGACCTATAAGAAGTGCATCATCGGAATTGATCCTACGACTTAGAGGGCGGTTTGTCTGATGTGACGTAAGCATTACATCATGATCAGCATCCAGACTAAACAGGGGAAAGCTTCTGTTTGATGTTTCTATGATTATTATTGAAGCCGTGGGGATAATATCAGTGATAACAGTCAAAGCCATTGATTAGGAGGGTTTGGCCAACCTAGTTCGACTTGGGCACTTACAGCATTGTTTGGTAAGCAACAAATGAAATAATATACACCATGTTGTGATCAATTCAAATCAAGTTGGCCAAGCTCTGTGTATAGATGGCTCTGACCTCAGGCTTAGTATAAAAGTAGCATCAATGTGCACCCTAATCGGACAACAAAATAATCTTTCTACCCCCCATTAGTGTACCTAACTTAAAGAGCTGTGCCAAACCAAAGTCAAATTCTGTTTAGGTCGTCGACATTTTAATCATGATTTCTTAATATCATCAACCTTATGAACTATCTGTTAATATGTTTTATATTTTTGTTGTTGTTGCCTAAAGCACCTTCATCATAATATAACAATGATTTAGCTTGTAAACAAATATGAATGAATAAATGAACATTAATAACACTTTAGTTATTATATATTAAAGGAAAATATGTGACATGGATCATGGTTCAGATATTGGAACAAAATCTTGAGGTAGAGTTTTATGATTCACCAACATTTGTACGGATATACATCAGCTCAGAGCGGTACATTAATGTTGTTGAGCGATTGGTAATCCTTGAATTTCATCCAAAATGTCTTGTGGAGGAAACTTAATCCCTTGATGTCACAAAGGTAACTTATGACAGGCCCTAAACATAATAATAAATCGCTTATAAATCGGCTTTCATTCAACAGTAGGTGAACCCCCTCGCACACGAAGTGTTGATGTATTTTTGTAATAAGGCAACATAGGAAAACATGTGACGATGGCGAATAGTTTCTGTTGGGGAAGGTGGTCTAGTCTCCCAGAGATGGAACTAGATAGGGGGAAGGTGGGTGTAAGGGCCATGAACTTGGAAACAAGGGATACCTGTGCACTTTCACTTTGAGAACATGAATCATACACGCTAGAATCCATCTTGGGGATTGCTTTTGCAGGTTTTAAACCAGTGAAGCTTAGAACATTTGCAGCAAATCGTACCTGAGAATCGAGTGGGCTTAATAAAGTAAAAGGTATCTTTAAATTGTTTGTACAGGTACACCCACTTGAGTATTGAGATCGCCCATCCTGGTACTAAAAGTGAATATTGGTTAAAGCTTCCTTTAAATCAACATCCGATTTGGTATAGGTGGTCTGATACATAATAACTATATTACACATTGCATTTACCACCACCATCATCATCATCTTTATCATTAACACCGTTATACACTGTGTTTGTGAGTTGCAAGCTCTCTTCGAGAAAGCAACACATCTTGGACAAATAACTTTCACAAGCATCTTCAGTATGAATTGATCTTCTCCAAAACCACCATCATCACCATCCTTATCATTATACATCACCATCCTCACCACCATCATCATCATCATCATCATCACTATCATTATCATCATCATCATCATCATCATCATCATCATCATCATCGTCATCATCATCACCATCATCATCATCATCATATCTGTCAAACTTACTTTGTGTGTGATCTGCAATCTGTCTTTGAGAAAACGAGGAATCCTGGGCGGAATAGCTGCGGGGAATGTGAGTGCAATCAGGTTGAGGAGAACGAGAAGTAGCAAAGCCGTATCCATGGTAACGGACGTCTTTCTTTATAAACAAAACATAACAAGACACAAGCGGGTCAAGTAATGATATCTCCAAAGTGTGTGTAATTCAAGTAATTCAGTTCCGACGAGAGAAATCCAGAGTATGATGTTTAACTTGAATTTTGTCAAACCAGCAATTTATCGGGAAAAAAAGGACTGAAACAATACGAAACTTGAATCCCCGAATTCTGGAAAACTGAGAGGTTATACTACGAGAATGGTCTAAACTTAACAAAAATATCCTCATTTTTATCCTCTCTCTCGTTCTCTTTCTCTCTCTCTCTCTCTCTCTCCTCTCTCTCACCAAACTGTTTGTTTGTAGCCACATACACAAGCCTGTTTTAGCCTGTCAAATCTTTGATTTATATTCTTTCCCTTGAAATCCCTTCCTTCGAAACTGTATTGATTACCAAAAAAAAGAAGGAAAAAAAAAAGAAAAAATAGAAAATGCAGCCAAACCCCGTTTGTGCGTGTGTTTCAGTTTCATTTTTTTCAGTTTTAAGTTTCATTTATTTCTCCTCAAGAGATTAACAGATAAAAAAAATACTTATATGAAGAGACAAATGTATGACAATACATAAGATGAATTAAAAACAGTAAGGAAGGCAGTGGCCAAAAAGGAAATAAACCTTGTACAGGGCCAATCCTTTAAGAAAACAAGATATAATATGTAACATAAAAAGACCTCAAAAAGGAACACAAAATAAGATAAGAAATGGAGTACCTAACCTAATAAACGAACTAACAAAAGAACCTAGTATTGAATCTAATATTTAGGTAATACAAATATTTTGATATTAACAAATATTTTATAAATCCTTCTAAAAACAAATACCGAAGAGCTATTCTGAATGTTAGAGGGAATTGAATTCAAACACGATGTTGGGTTTCCAAAGAGGACCGGTATTTTGTATGCCACCTAACAGCACCATTCATCCACAGTTGCCGTCCTTAACCCGAGTGTATCGTTACCAAACATGAATAAATTAGTCGAATATTTCGAGTGCTTCACATCTGGGACCCGCCTTATAAGGAGTTGCGATTGATCATAATCATTTGCAAAATCTAAGCAATCGCAAGTTTGCAGCCCCTCTCTCCTATGTACAAAGATGCGTTTGATATCAATCGCAAATGCGTTGCGTTTATCGCAAATGTTTATAAGACGGGTGCAGGTTACATACATGTAGTAAAAATTAGTTTCATTTTCAATTTCTTCATTCAAAAGCACTTTGAAATACATCATTGTGATACAGCCGTCCTACATAATTATCATCATCAAAAATACTTACAGGTGGTTTAAATCTGAATGAACAAGAGTCAGTTATTACAATAAATTCTCTAGGGCCTCAATGGTCAAAATCGAGATGTTTATCTCCGCACCTTGATACGACCTTGTGTGGAGAACAGGAGAACTTGAGATATTCTAAATCGAAACCAATTTTCATAGACGTATTGATCATGATAGGGTAGTCCCCAGCGCACACCCTTTACTCTTCTATATTCAAGACTTCGTTTAACGATGCATGGCCCAATACGTGTTATCAGTGTCTGTGATCGGATGTAATATTGAAGCCCTAAACAAAAATTCGCTTCAAAATGATCATGAAGTGCATCAAAAAAGTAAAAATCTGTGAGTGACCGGTTTTACCAAACTCATTTCCCCTAATAGACTGTAGTGTAATAAAAACCGTTACGAAAAAAGGTTTTTGAAATTTCGATTTCCAATCATAAATATCTTGATACTAGACAGGCGATTGGCTTGTAAAATTCATGTGGTTCCTGACTGACCTAAAGGTTTATAATGATTACGATTGCAGCATGAGCTAAGTCTAGGATTTCGTTTCAGAATCTGAGACAAAGATACAAATCCCTTAAAAAAATATGATAGAAACAACCTATCTGGGAGTTGAACGTATATCTTTGATATACAGCACAAAATAATGTTACAGATTACAAAATGCATTTTAGACAAAGTTATTATAAGCGATAGTTACGACCTCGATAAAATAACTGGGTTTTAGTTGCTAAATAAAACGAAGAAATTAACAACAAATAAAGTATATCATACGACTGAAGAACATGCAACTGTTTCTCTGTGTGAAACCTCCATGATCTGATGATGACTAGCCTAATAATGACTTATATGACACATGCCTCACACTAGCTCCCCGCCGACTCAGCTGAAAATCTTTCATGTTTTAATTACAAACACTTGTTTAATTACCATACTCCTTCGACAGCCGATTCTAGTGTGAATGTGTAGGAGAGATTAGATACAACAATAATTTCCAGAAAAAACACGAGCCAGGATTATATCAAAGGCGCATGCCAGGAAGAGTATATAGGCCTACATGAAAATCAATGGATGGTTCTGGAAACAAAACCAAAGAACTCCTTGATAAACAGAATAACAAATAGTGAAGAAGGTATAACTACTTTCCCCTACTTTCTATCGTAATATCCTTTAATCGAGAAGAAAATCAATTTGATTTTACTAATAATAAGAAAAAATATAGCCTAATGATACAATTGTTTTCAACCCTAGCCAAAATGACCAAGAGGTTGGATCAAGGTCTTTAAAAACTAGAACCACAAGAGATCTTGGGCGGTATAGGGGTGTGGTCAGAGAAGTGGGTGGGACAATTTCCGCACATCTGAACCTTTGCCTGTCTTGTCTTAAACTTGAGACTTTTCAGGATCTCACATCTTGTTTTATTTTTGTTGCTATTTTGTGTGTGTGTGTGTGTGTGGGGGGGGGGGTGAACATATTATCTTAAAAACCCATTTACTGGATATTTATGTATACTTTCTATTTCATAACTTTAAACCATGTAAAATGTGATCTGATTTCTTGTCAAAATTACTGTTCTGTTGGAAATGAAAAATAAAACTGAAACTGAAACATGTGAGTGAGTTTTTCCCTTTGTATCTCTGTCTCTAACTCTTTCTGTTTTTCTTTTAGGGGGGGGGGGGGGTCCCTCTTTCCATTTTCCGTGATTGGGCTATTTTTACTCTAATATTGAAGCAAAAGTATATTTCAATGCACCCCTATGCATTGAAACATGCATTCAATGGGGCACTTGTGCGTTTGGTAAACGGTGTTTTAAAGCAACTCTTCGCTTCAGGCTCTCCAGAGTTCCGGAGGCACTGAAACGTTGCCAACTTGCCCCTTAGCTGTTCCCTTCGGATACGTCCCCCGGTAAAGATCTGGAGCAGTGCAAATACACAGTGATAGATAAACTCAAGATGAACTTGTTAGCCCGAGGAAGGTGTTGGGTTTAGATAACGAGCTGGATAGCAGACAAAAACCAATCCAAGACGGAACAATATTTTGAGGTCTGGAAGAGCGAAAGATCAACAGATGAAATTCGAAACGTTCTGTGGATGACGGTGAACTCCCAGAAAAAATGGAAATGTATCGACTATCGAATTTAGGAGATTTAGGAATGAACGGCAAGAAGGAAGAAAGCAATACATTTTATCACAGCACAACAACTACGTAGATCAAAAGAAGCTTGTCGTGTTAGAAGAACACAATCGTGTTTAGTTATAATTTGTACACGGGTGCACACCGTATGGGGAGGCACCATTTGCCATCGATCACTCCATGGCGACGTTTGTTTTAGTTTTGCTTTGCTTGTAGAAAACTTACAATCTTTCAGTAAAGTAAAAACAATTATTCCAACAACCATGTCTCATTTAACATTAAATATGGTTTTCTCGTACGCCTTTAAAGGTACTATGTCCCTTTTGCAGCCAACCTCAAACTCTGTAGAACTTTGCAGGAATTATGAATATGTCATGTATGTCCTATCAGTGAAATTTAAACGTTAGCAGTGTCCTCATATTCAAATTATGCAAGGAAAGCCGTTTACTTGCTAGACTTCACTGTCAGACACTATTGAGTGTCTGACTGGCTTTTTTCTTCTTTGGTAACAACATACATGAAAAGAGTTGTAAAGGGGACATGAGCATTTGTCTACACCAATAACCCACTTCTTGTGATGGCCAAGATTAAACTGATTGAATCTTTGCGCAGCATAAAACGTATGACCATTCGGTACAATTGTCTGAAAATCAAGACTATTACTTTTGGGCTCTATAGCCCTAAAGTCGATTTGACAACTAATAGTCGTTATTTTCCCACTTGAAGACATTTTCAAGCCCCAACTTTTTTAGGGAAGTTTTAAATCAGTATTATCTTTCAAATGCAGTTGGAATTTAACTTTTTCATTTTTTTGGCCTGCAAATGGGACATAGTACCTTTAATAGAAGAAATTGTATACGCTAACTAGCCTTTGTAATTGTAAACACGTGCTGAATTAAACGTACACACAGTTTACAGATCATCAACGCGCAGTGTTTAAACAAGGTTGCGTAGCATCCAATCGAGGACGTATTCATATCGAAGCATTTAAATGTTCATTTAAGAGCACTTCAGAGACTAGGCATGCTAAGTGGTTTGATATATATATAGCCTTTCTTAACGATTGTTTTATTCTTCAAAATTACAGAAAGGAGTGGGGGAGGGGGAAGCCCCGTATCACCCATATTGGCCTCAAGATATAAGGTATGAGTCCAAGATCCCTTGTCATTCCCAACCAATACTGTGACAATCTCCAGTATCTTCTGGCTATAGTTTGTGCATATTCAGCATATCCGTTTCTCTGTCTTGAATTGGTTGAAAAGTCACGAACGAAATAGTTTCGTTTCTTCTTCTCTGTCTCTCTCCCTTTCTCTCTCTCTCTCTCTCTCTTATAAACAAACGTTAGGGCAACGAACAAGTCGAAGGACGTCATATCAATTGGTAAATTTAATTACGACACATGTAGAAGCACTTCAAATAGGTCTTTCGAATAGTTTCTCCTTGTCACAAGGTTGACGTTTCACCCTTTAGGTGCCGCGGAGGGTTGTGAAGAAATCCTGAAGTAGCGTTCCATGGCGTGAGGTTGCAGTATGTATACCTCAATGCATTTGGTTAAAAAGGGGGCGTCGTTGCCC